TTAATATATACTAATTATATTTATCTTAATATAAGATTATATTCTTATATATTAATAATATTATAAAGGATATTATATTACTCTACTTATCTTTAAATATCTTAAATAAAGATAGTTAAGAAGAATAAGCTAAAATAAAAGATAATTTAATTATTAATAAACTTAATAAGTCCTAAATATTTATATATAAGACTTAAGTTATTAATAAATAAAAAGTAATAAAAAATAAAGTCTTCTTAAGTATTATTATTTAATAGTACTTTTATTTTAATATATTTAATTTTAAGAGTAACTTAAATATTAGCTATAATAAAGAATAGTTAATTAAGGTTATCTTCTTATATATAAGTTAATATTAATATATTAAGAAGTTCTTATTCTATTATAGTAATATTAAGATTATTAATTATTCTCTTAATATTATTCTTTTTTTAATTTATCTTCTTCTCTTTTTTAAGGTAGTTTAGAGAAATATATTTAATTTTATTATAAATAAAATAGTAGCCTTTTTTTATTTACTACTTATATTTTTTTAATAAGAGTTATTAAGAAGAATATTATCTTTTTATATTTTTTATAATATTCTTATCTCTCTTTTTTTTTTAGGACTTCTTATACTAGTTACTAGTACCTTTATTAAATATTAATATTATAATTATTAATAAATTATAATTAGTAGCTTTATAAATAAATAGTTTTATTCTTTATAAACTATTTTATTTTAAATCTTTTAATATATACTTCTTAAATTTAATAATTAAGAGAAAGCTTATAATAAAGTTAATATTATAAGAAATAACTAGATTTTTAATAATCTCTTTATATAGCTCTAGTTTAATTATATATATAAAAAATTAGTTTTAGATAAGATCCTTAATAATTACTTAATTTATAATAAATATTTATATAATATTCTTCTAGTTACTAAAGAAATTTATAATATTTTAATTCTACTTTTATTATAAGTTTTAGAGTTTCTTAAAAATAATTAACCCTTTATTATAATCTTTTTTATATTATTAATATAAAAAGTTAAATAATCTAATTAAGGTCTATAATTTTAAGTTATAATATTTTAATTATTTTATCTTTATATTATCTTAAAGTTAATTTTCTATATATTATATCTTACTCTCTTTTTCCTAAAAAGAGGATAATTTAGCTTCTATATAGATTAAAAGATTATATTTCTAAAGATAAAGTTTTTTTATTAATTTACTTATATAAAATTTAAGCTCTAAATATTTAATAGCCTTTATTAATAATTATTATTTAATAATATATAATATTTATTATAATATTTTATTATTTATAAGAGCTAGCTAAAGTATAATATCTTAATATTTCTAATTAATTATAAGTCTAGAGGGAGTTAATAAGTTATTAAATAAATCTTTAAGGAGTTCTTAGGCTAGTTATTCTTTTTCTTAATTTATTAAGATATTAAAAAGTACTTTAGGCCTTTTTATAATATAGATTAATTTATTTATATTAATATTTAATTAATTAATTATAAATATTTTAATATTAGAGGTTACTTAAGAATAGTTAAGTATCCTTATTAATTAATTTAATATTCTTAAGGTAATAGCTTATTATTAATATATTATTTATTTTAAGTTATTTTAGAGTATAGGTCCCTTATAGCCCTAAAATTCTTATATTAAATTAAAGTTACTTTAATTTAATATATAGAGGAAGTACTTTAAATTATAAATAGTAACTTTATATTACTTAAAGAAATTAATAAGAGATATATTAATATAATTAAATAATAATAAGGTCTAGAGATATAAGAAGTCTATAATAAATTTAATAAAAAAATAAGATAAAGTATTTAAGATCCTAGTATTTATTTAGAGAGATTATATATATCTTAATTTTAAGTAGAGTACTTAATAGGTGCCTAACTAATGCTTAATATTAATTAATAGTTATAAGGTATGCTTAGTCAGGTGGGTTGTAGGTCGGCGTTGGTGCCGGCCTTATAGTGAGTGACTTTCACACTGCTTAGGGGTGAGTAGGTGAGATGTTGATATGAGTAGGTAATAGTAAGGTCTAGGGATATAAGAAGTCTATAGTAGGTTTAATAAAAGGATACAATAAAGTACTTAAGGTTCTATTATCTATCTAGGGAGTGATATATATCCTAACTTTAAGTAGGGTACTTAATAGGTGCCTAACTAATGCCTAATATTAACTATTAGTCATAAGGTATGCTTAGTCAGATAGGTTGTAGGGCGGCGTCAGTGCCGGCCTTACAATAGGTTAGCTCACCATTATTATCTAAAATAACCAGGTAACAATGTTGAATGAGTCTTTCCATCCACCCCCTTTATTATAGACACACCTAGAGGTGAATAATAAGATCATTGTCCAGACAAACAGGCGGTGGAGTGGTATAGTGAGAATTTTGGTCGGATCCATGAGGCCAATTTTGGTCCCATTGATCGACGCGTTTCGAAACGTCTCGGCTCAGGAAAGGAGAGGCCAGTAGATATGAAAGGTAATCCTACTTAATCTTCTCTCTGCAACACATACAATCCACTCAAACTTATGATGTCAATTCTAATTAGTAGTTATCTCAATTAGAATAATGATTATAATAAGTCTAGCCCCCTCTTTCATACTCTAGAGTGAAGCAGGTAATAGATGGTGGTGGCAGGGCAATTTATTGAGGGCCATTTACTACTCCCTGGTAAGCGGCATATAGGATACTGGTCTTGGGTGGTGAACACCAACTATCACCTGCACTCTCATCCTATAAGAAACAAATGGCGGGATTTCTCCGCACCTGAGAGGACTTAGATCTGGGCCAGATTGATAACTCCAGGAAAAATGAGAAGGGCTGACCTGTAGGCGCGCTCAAGGAACCAATAAACCTCAATAGGGGTGGGGTAAACCCTAACCCTAGAGTCTATATTTATCTAGACTCTATTATTATATATTATATAATAGCGTAAAGGGGTATCTGGCACTCTTTTTATAGTATAATATATTAGGATAGTCTACACACAATAAACCTTGGGGAACTAAAGAGTTTTCAGCTGAATGATGCAGGGATTATCTTATATGGAGCCAATAATATGGTTATATTAAACTGCCTAACTAGATATCTTTTCTGGACAAATATGGACTGTACCATGGCAACATGATAATGTATTACTGTCTTATATGTGAAGACCACTATTAAATTCTTCCTAAGTTAAATCCAAAGGTATGGGCGACATAAGCCACGACAGGCCTACGGCATTGTCAACAATATCCGCCCTCTTGAAATTATCTTCCCGACGGGTGTTCTGGTCACAACTGGTTGAGTGTCATCTCAGGGGGGAGAAACTCCTGATGCCCATTTAATACTGTGTCTCTCAACTTCTACCAAATTAACGGTCTAGGCCCAAGATCCTTCGGAAATAGGATGGGAACATGATGTCAGTAATCCACTTGGAATAGGATTCGCCAGTCGTTTTCTCCCCGTCTTTCGGGGAATAAACACTGACAACCTCCCCGGCCACTCGGAACGCTGCTTGCTCCAGGCAGAAAACAGGGACAGTCCGAACTCGGACTTTAGATATAAATATCCCCCACTACACACCAGAGAGACTGAGAGGAGATATGTTTTCCTGTAACTATCACATCTAATAGACTGTACCCGCCAGCACTGAAATTAAGGACTTCCCTGCACCGCGCTACGGGATCGCCCACCCGGTGGGCATGCTCGAGTCGAACAATTCATGTTCAAGTTCTCCCAGCGGGAAGTCCTTTTCGAATTCTTTGGCCATGTTCGCTAGCCAGTTCTCATCCAGGACGGGCATTACGTTCTCCAACGATGCCGACTCGTTGACCTCGGTTACGGTGGTTTCAAGTGCGCCGGTGGTGCTCCCCGTGCCTTTATCCCTCCAGGCTTTAAATTCATTGTGATATCGCCACAGTGTCTTGATACCATTCTCGACAGTTGCGTCTTGCAGCTTGTACTGCTCAAGAATGTCGAGCGTTTTGTTCCACGACAGCTTCCCCGGGCCGCGTTTGAAATCCACCAGCAGTTCTGGTATCAGGCTTGCCGCAAGCAGCACAATCATTGCCCCATAGGCCACTGGCTTTCGTATGAGTATTCAAGTCATTCCGAGCAAGACAGGGAAATGAAACACTTACTTCGGACTGTGTGCCATGTGGGCAATTGCCGGGTCAGATGCAAATCGTCCAGAACGATGTGGGCAGTCGAGACTCCGAGAAGGCTGAGATCCCTCATGGTACTTCCCCGAAGGAGTGAAGCGACTGAACTGCTGTCTTCATTGCGGCCGGTCGACACTCCCATCTCACGCATGTGGAGTTTGACGGAGGTGAGGAGACATGGCCGCAGGACGAGCAATCGAATATACACTGCTCTTGGCAATTGTGAGTGGCTTTGGACCCCCCCTATAGTCTGGTTTCCAAGCTCACCTTTGTCTCAGGATTTCTCCTTGCGTATGGAAGCACTCGTCCAGTTCCCGATTCCCCGAGCTGAAGTTCTGCTGTTTGAGATGTGGCGGAAGATTCTCAACGAAATCATCCAGTCTGGAGCACATTTCCGGGACGTCTCGCAGATAGTGATAGCACGTCAGATGCGGGTTTCCGTCTGACTTTTCATCGACGTAGCTGTACACCTTTTCCAGTATTTCGGTGCAGATGGATACAGTGAGCTTTGCGTACTGGTTGAAGAAGGACACGCGAGATGGGATGTTTTCGGGCTGCCGGCCTTCGCCGGATTCCAAGAGATATTCGTCATCGATTTCGGCGGGGAATGGAACTGGATTTGGGACCAACGGCGTGACAGGCCAGCCAGACGAGGTTGCTGCGAATCTGAAGATTCCTCATGGTCAGTGACCCCAATCATCGTGAATATCGACAGGGGAGGGGGGAAGCATTACCGTTCCAATATCAGGGCGCCATACCATAATTTGCGTCTCGTCTCTCTTTGGATCTGGTTCTCCTCCCGCCTATCCAGATGCAGGGCTAGGCCTTGGGCTGCTCGGATCGCAACACCGCAAGTGGTCCAGCAGCGGACCGAGTGAGGTGCATATTGCAGGTATAAGGTGCGAAGAAGCAGAAGCTGCACGGTCACTAGACTATACACATCCAGCGTCTCCACGGAGGCGAGGCGCAACGACCTCTTATAGAACGTGGCGGCATCCTGCTTGCGTTGCTCTGGAGGGATGCCATCGTAACGTTGACAGCCTAACGCGAACATCATGTTGAGAACGGCGTGGAAGTATATGCGTTTCCGTCGCAGTTTCGGATCAAAGGCCGACGGCTGCCACAGATCCATGTAGGTCTGGGAGACAGAGGGCTGGTGCAGAATGGGCAGTAGAGGATGGACATGGCGCCAGTACGCCCGCACAAGGACATCCGAAAGAGGCCTTGGTGGAAGGGTGACGGACTCATAATCATAGCTGAACCCACTCTCATCAACCACCGGAAATCCCACTGAATCGTTGATGAACTGTTCCTCGGCTCCAAAGAGGGCGTTTGATTGCTGTCGAATGTCATCTTCAGAGGCAACCGACGCTGCAGCAGCTACACGCCGGATGAAGGCATGATTCGAAGACGGGCCGAAGATGGCACCCTCATCGTCGAACGATGGTGCATGAGTAGTCGATGAGTTCCCGTTGGAGACTGCAACCGAGGAGCTGCGGTTCAAATGAACAAGGTCCGGATCTACGAGGGATTCTGCAAGGTGTGAGAAGAGCGCAGCGCATCGCAGCGCATCGCATCCAGGGCAGCATGCATCTCCGAGCTTACCGGTATATGGCGGCGTCGGGTTCCCGAGGGACTTGGTCCGAGATGGCGATGGGCTGCGACGCATGTGAGCTGTATAGACGAACCGGGTCACAGACTCGGGCTGGCTGGCGGCCGGAACTCGAGGGCGGGCGTCTGCCTGATAGACACACTGATCAGGCCGGCCTCTAACGACGCAGGTGCCACACGCAGGCCGGCCCCCATCACAGCCAGTTTTCCGGATGCCTGGCGCCTTCAGATTAGATTGATCATCACGCCAAGGGTTCTTGGAGTCGTGGACCCACGGCAGGAGATACATGCCAGTCTCGTCTTGCGACGGCGCCTTGGGGGCACAGCCGCTGGCGAAGACGATGGAAAGGGCATCACAACCGGTGTAATATTCATGTTCGCCGGCCAGATCTGGATGTCCTTTTCAAGTTCTTAAATGAGGGCGGGCGCGGGGTCGCGGGGTGGCAGATTCCATGGTATTATTAAGATGATTACAGGTAACTAACTAGGATACTAGTGATGACTAATTGGAACAAGGCAATATATCACATTAATCTAATAGGGCAGTGATCTCTAGTAATACCAAAAGAATTCCTGTCACTAAGCTTAGATGGGGTTAATGTCTTAGGCGCAGGTTGCAGTTGCATGAGGTTTTATCTATAACCAGTGTGTGCTCTAGAGCGCTAGCTATCCTATATCAAGAGAGATCCTATTATATGTCATGACGGCTACAGATGCTAGTTTACCAGGCAGTTCAGAACACATATTTAGATATAGAGTAGCATATTCCTATATTTTCTCACCATATATTATAAATCAAAGTCTGTATCAAGAATAGGTATTATTTCTGGATTAATATTACTCCTAAACTAAAAGAAGTTGGAGGCCTTAATAATCTTACTAGCTATAATAAGACTAACTAGGTAAGCATATGGCATATGGGCAGGGGTGAATAGAATAATAATAGAATATATTAATATAAATCTACGAGCCCGATACCTCGCTACGCGAGGATTCACCTAGGATTCACCTAGGAATCGCCTAGGAATCAGTATATATACCTTATTATTTAATGATTAGTTAGATACTTACTGAGTGAATTAAAAGAAGAACCGGGCGGATCAAATAGAAAAAAGAATTATAGAGGGCTCAGACTGAATATAGACCAATGCCAAAGAGGAATAGTTAATTGCAACATATTACAAGCAGGGTGCGCCAGAAAACTGATATTTCTGTATCACAGAGAGTACAGAGTAATAGATGAAGAGTAGTACAGCTCCAGCATAATGCCAAAGTCCACAAAGCCATATACTACTAAACCCTAAACCCTAACCCTGTAGTACTACTTAAAATATAAATCCGGGGATCGGGGAGATAACTTGGTGGGCCGGAGATAAAAGTCGATTCCCAATTGGCCACTGGATTGTCTCCCCGATGAAGTGATCCTCGCCGGAACACGGAATTGAGCATCGGGGGATCAACCTTGGCTAGACGGCCGGAATAGTTGGCGATGATGACATTCAGGTAGTATAATAAGATGCTATAGGCAGGATGTAAGAATATATAAAAACACCTGAAGCCCTCTAGCATTGGATGTGTTTCTCATCCACATAGAACACTAAGAACAACAGAACAGACATATCAATCAAAATGCTCGGCAAGATCGCTCTCGAGGAACACTTTGAGATGGCCGGCAACAAGGCCAAGTCGGCGCGCGAGGCGGACTTGTACATCCACCCCAACTTCCAGGAGCGCTACATCAACCGCATTGGTGATATCACGGGTGAGCGTCTCAAGCTCTCCGACAAGTACGGCATTGGCTACACCATCTGCTCCCTGACCGTCCCTGGTATCCAGGGCATCTCCGACAAGGCCAAGGCTGAGGCCCGCGCCACCGAGGTGAACAACTGGATCTACTCTCAGATCAAGGATCACCCCGACCGCCTGGGCGCCTTTGCCTGTCTCTCCATGGTATGTAATGAATAATAGGTGTCCATGAATATGCTAACACCTGCTACAGCACGACCCCGTTCAGGCTGGCCAGGAACTCACCCGCTGCATCAAGGAACTTGGGTTTCACGGGGCGTTGGTGTGCGACGTCCAGCACGCTGGACCGGACGGCGAGACCTATCTCTTCTACGACCAGCCCGAATACGATGTGTTCTGGAAGGTCCTCTGTGAGCTTGATGTGCCTTTATACCTGCACCCTGCCGCCCCCAGCGGTGTCATCCACGAGAAGCTGTATGCTGGGCGCCGATACCTGGTTGGGCCTCCTCTGTCCTTTGCCAACGGCGTCAACCTGCACCTCCTGGGTCTCATCAGCAACGGTGTTTTCGACCGTTTCCCCAAAGCCAAGCTCATCGTCGGTCACCTGGGAGAGCATATCCCCTTCGACTTCTGGCGCATTGACCACTGGTTCCGCGACATTGAATACCCTCTGGCCGCCCGTCGCGGTGATGTCATGTGCAAGGAGAGCATCTACCACTACTTCAAGACCAACATCTGGGTCACCACCAGCGGCCACTTCAGCACGGAGAGCTTGAAGTTTGTCGTCGACGCGCTTGGCCCGGAGCGCGTGCTCTTCAGTGTCGACTACCCCTACGAGCAGATCGAGGATGCTTCGGCTTGGTGGGATGGACAGTCTCAGGAGGTCGTTGATGCTTGCGGCGGCAAGGAGGCCTACTTGAAGATCGGCAGGGAAAACTCCAAGGCCCTCTTTGGTCTCAAGGAATACCACGACTCCGAGGCTCCTCTGGACTTTTAAACTGTTTTCATCATACTGGACCCTTATTTTCTTTCTTTGGAATGGTTCTCATATGATCAGATTTAGATCATGTCAATAATAGAAGTGATTCCATTAGATATATGAATCTAATAAATAGATAATTTAGTGATTTATATAGGTGCGGCTGTTGTAATATGAGCTGCCAATGATTATCTATAGTGGAGAAGTGAATATGTGTAGTATATGTGAGCCCAATACCCTCACGTAGCAAGGGAGCTCGAAGAGGGGGCTATAATCATTATTATTTTTATTTTCATTAAGATATTATAGAGTAGAGCTCTATCACTTAAACCTGCTCTAGACCTATAGCCCTCTATAATAATACTTATCTAGATACTTAGGTCTGTTGGCAGCCACTCTGGACCTACAGCCCTACATTCGCAATTGTTCACACTAATCTAGGATGGGTGCATCTTAGCAACTTTTAAACCTGTCTATACCCCCTGTAAGATTTGTTCACGTGACCAGAGCTAAATGATATTACCCCTCCTTCCTGCCTCCCAGAGAGAGAAAACGATAAACACATGAAGACTTCAGATCCGCCAGTGACGTTGGCTCCATGAACATCAATAGATTTGCTGCCTTATTTTATGATGTCGGATCCAAAGATTTACACTATCGCTTGGATTTGCGCCGTCTCCACTGATTATGTTGCCGCTCGAGCTTTCCTAGATGAAGAGCATGAAGGCCCTGCAGACAACAAGGTCGACTACACTTTAGGCAAAGTAGGGAAACATAATGTCGTGATATTTGCCCTACCCTTGGAGATTATGGAAAAATACAGGACGTCAGCGGCACAGTTCGCAGTTGACATGCTGCTTAACTTTCCGAATATTCGAATTTGTCTGATGGTCAGCATCGGTGGTGGAGCGCCTAGCGCAGATAATGATATACGCCTTGGCGATATTGTGGTCGGCATTCCTTCGAACGGTCAAAGTGGCGTTATTCAGTACGACTATGGCAAAACTATCCAAGGCCAAAGCTTCCAGCCCACGGGCTTCACTCATCAGCCACCTACAATTCTCCGTGCTGCGGTTCATGGACTTCAGGCCCGGTATGAACTTCATGGCAATCAACTTGATGAGGCAGTCAACGAGGTTCTTAAGAAAAGGCCAAGGCTGCGAGAAAAATATAAGCGACCGGAGAGTGACCGGCTATACCAAAGTCAAGTCGTCCATCTGGAGGGGGATGCATCAAATTGCGCTATAGACTGCGGGAACGATTCGAAAAGCTTAGTCTTACGCACTCCACGATCTCAGGACGATGAAAATCCGACAATACACTATGGGTTGATCGCATCGAGCAATGTGATACTAAAGGATGCTATAATCCGGGATGAAGTTGCAGCGGAAATGGGTGTTTTGTGCTTTCAAATGGGAGCAGCAGGGATGATGAATGGTATGCCATGCCTTACAATCTGCGGCATATACAACTACTCGGATTCCCATAAGAATAGGGAATGGCAAGGATACGCATCAATGGTCGCAGCAGCGTATGCCAAGGATCTTCTATGCCAGATATCCCCGCAATCGGTGGAGAGTCAAGAAAAGGATTCAGGACTTCTCAAGCCAGACATCAACCGCTTGACTAAACTTCTACAAGGTCAGAATCCCGCATTTCACTCTCCAGGCGTATGATCCCCTTTACATGATCCAGTATGAATAATTCCACCTTTCCAGATCTCGACGAATCAAAGACTGAAAGTATCCGAAGCATGGACGATGGACCCTCCAGAGAGCCTGAATTGGGCGATCCTTCAGCAGCCAATCATTCTCAGCAGAATCCCGAAGTAGCTGATCCGAAAGTAGAAGAGCCAGCCGAAGATTATCCGCCGTCAGCGGCAGCAAAAACAGCTACAGAAACCTCTGCACGGTCTCAGGGTGTTTGGTCATCGAGAGATGCACGGGAAACGGTCAACGTTTCTACGATGGTCACTTCAGTGGAGCCGGGAGCTCTAAAAATGGATCAGGACCTGGCGGATAATGAATCAATCTATACCTCCGATGCTCCCCGATCACTAGCCTATGTGCGAGAACTAGCCAGGAGCTTCTTCAAGGACTCAGAACTTCCAGACGTCCAATCGTTAGAGAGGATACACAAAAGCCTTCCTGACTTGCTTCGGGGGTTCGCCCAAAGAATTGGCGGAGAAAGTCATGTCTCAACCCATTTTGAAGTTATGAAATTTGTAATTAAAAGACGAGTGTCAGTTCCACCCCGGCCTTGAGTTCCCGGTTCTTCAATCTTCGCGGAAGGTAGGTGCATTACATTCGGAGTTAACTCGTTCAACAGGGACATTGCTTCGTCCTTCGGCAAGACATATCTGGACGACAAGGACACCCTACAACGACGAAAGTCGAACGACATGCCTCTAGACGAGCTTTTCAGCAGGTGGCCGGTGGATCAAGAAATGGGCGACCCCAACATCGCAACACCGCGGCCAGATGATGTATTATCCACAGAGGACGACAGCAAATCAGACGCTGAGGGCGATGACGATGTGGACGATCTTCAATTAGAGATGTATCGAAATGTTGTGGCCAACTCCACTGCTTTTCAATGGCTTCTCTATCGATTGAACCGAGAAATAAGCCTCACAACATCGGAGGCCAGTTCGATGAAAGCGATTTCGACACAAATCCGCCAGATGCTCTATACACCGCGTGAGAATCGACTCGTCAGCAGCCGAAAGGGGCCACCCAAATCTTCAGTGATATTCCAGACGGACTGGGCTCCACTGTTCTTCATTCGCAACCAGGAATATAAAACCAGGCCTGCGGTGTTCAGGTGAGCTACATAGATATCATGTTTTTGATCGGCAACTAAGCTTTATCCAGTGACTTTGTTTGACAAGTCCAAGGCCACAGCTTGGGTGGAAACTTCAGGATGTCTTTCTTTGGAGGCAGCAGGCGTAGTAGAAACCCTTGTTGAGGTTGGAGAAGTGTTCGCATTTATAGTGGCAGCACTTCGTTCTGCGCGAGGCGACTCAGTCGCCTACGTTACCCCTACCATCGACAGCGGCCTCAGAAACAGCGACCAAACTTGCAAATTTTTCATTCATCTGCAACACTCGGATGGCTATTTGCGATCCATTGGTCAATGCTGGCAAGACCTATTCAGAAACCCTGTCGTCGTTCTTGGTTTTCCCGTACGACGTCGTCAGCCGGATCAAGGACCCGGTCTCGAGGTTTCGCTCGCCACACTGGCTGCGCTGGTTGGGACCAAACATATTGCTGTATTCTGTGGGAAGATCTTTCTCCATGGTTTCTGCACCATCTTAGTCCCAACGAAGTATGCTGGAGACACAGTACACTGGCACGTACTATTTAACGAAGATGGAAGCCGAATCCCTTTCACGGACTTCCGTGTTCGCAGAATTGTCACGGACTTTGACCTCTCAAAGCACCTGACGCTCTCTGGTGTCGAAAATGCGCGCCATATTGTCGGCTGGTGTGAACATGTGCGAAATTATGCAGGTAAGTCTAAAACCTTCAACGGTAAATAGGGGGTGTTTCCATTAGGCCTAATGCTAACGGCCACGGATGAAGGCTCCAGGGAAGCTAGCTATGATATACACCAAACAGGTCTGCCTCAGCCTGACTCTCGGTTCGCTTTTGATCGTGTCTCCGTATCAGTAGGAAAAATAGTCAGCATGAGTGGCTCGGTGGCAATCGGCAAGAAGGAGAAGCCAGCACGAGCAGCAAAAACGACCGACTACCATAAACAAATCGAGTGGGCTGAGGAGCGATTCGTTGTGCTCTATGACTGCAAAGACCGTCGAGCCTGGCTCATCGACGGACTGAGTGCCTTGCTGCATCTCGTCCGCGCCCGTCTAGCTCACCGCAGAAAAGTTGGCCGGGAAGTTCTCTTCGCTGAAAGTGACATCAAAGAACCCGATATCCCATATACGGGAAAGGCCGCTGCGACTTATGTCCTCCGGAATCGAGCTAACATGGACCTTAAGATCTGTGAGAAGTGGAATAGACGTGTGGAAGAGACGAGTAAAACCGGAGGAGAGCCGCCAGAGACGACCCTGAAGACGCAGAGGACATGGGAACAACTCCCTGACCTGGTGGGAGATATTTACACGATCTTGGGCATGCTATGCGACATCCAGTCCGACACATTGACGATGGACGGCTTCGGAGCCAAAGTCCATATATCGCCTAGAAGACGCCTCGAAGGATGGGATTTCCGGCAGGTGGCAACTGGCGCTGACCCACTGCTGCCCAAGGCGGCTTCACTTCGTGACATCGGGTTAGGATGGGTTGACCTCATTAGGACTATCAATGCTATTACTCTCTTCGGCATCGGTTTTGGCGAAATTATTCAGCCGGTAGACACTGCTCAAGCCCTTGTCCCTGGCAGGCCTTGCGGCCGATGGGCCACGTTACCGAAAGGCGAAGATCTCTTAGCCACGACCACCCCTGTCATTCGGGACATAATGGAGAGCGTTTACAGAGGATCCGACAACCAACAGCGCTTCCGAGAGTTGTCCACTGGTATATACTGGCACAGCCCGGACAGAGTTTTTGAGGACTGCCACTGCGGAGATGCTCCAGATGGGATACAGTGTGACCGTGTACAGGTTCTCCTGCCGACGAAGTTCCCCAATATTTTTGCCCGTGGCTTCCACAGCCCCCCTGAGCCCCTCCCAACCCATGGGGCTGTGGTCTTCGGGCATAGCATAAGGTTTCCGCTAATATGGAAGTCGGAGGCTTTTTCGGCCCCCATTGAGGGGGACCTGCAACCGACCAAAATGACGTCTCATTCATCTCGCCAGAGCGACAGCGGCCTGGGGACGAGTGTTGCATCGTCGCCAGTTCACGGTGAGTCCACCAGTCAAGTATCAATTCTGGGGCCAGCCAGTAGTGGATCGACTCATGGAGGAGCAGCTTCAGTCACTGGATCGGAAGGCACCACCACTTCGGGCAAGGGCAAGAGTGCGCAGAATATTATTAAGCGTCTCTTCAAAAAGACTAGGCCCGGCAGGAAGTCAGTGGAAACTTCAAGGGATCCAGGTAGATCTTGACACCGGGTGCTATTGGTAGAAACCTCAAATTCAAACCCAGACTCGGTTGTCGACCTTGGGCTTGGTACTTGAGAATGCGAGGGTTCATGCGAGGGTAACAAAGTGACACTGTGTTAGATGAAATCCGTATATTATCAAGTCTATAAGGTTCAGTCATACATATCTGTTCTTCTGCAATATCTATTTACTTCTATCTATCTATAGGGCAAATCTCATACTTTAGATACTTCCTAAACCTTCATATTTTTTCTTTATTTTAGGATATGATAATTCGTCTTTTAAGAGGATTTCAAAGTTATATTTCTTTTCATAATAGCCCTTATAATAGTGGAGTTATAAGAGGTTAAAGATAGTATAGAAACCTTGATTTAATTAGTATATAATTCTTATATTAAACTTAATTCAGGTTTCTATAACATTTTTAATATCTTAATATTTAGAAGCTAGTTCTCTACTAAGAATCTATTTATTATTATTATAGGTTTAATTATAAGAGACTATATATCTTAACTCTAATATTTAGGGCCATATAATTATAGTAGTGATAAAATCTAATAAAATTCATTAATCCTTAGATTAAGAGAAGAATTTCTATTTAATACTTTATTGTAATCTTTTAATTATAATAAAGTATATATTAGACATGTTAACCTGGCCCAATGGGCTGCGTTCTGGCCTGAGGCAACCCTCCCTATTAGGTAATAAGTATAAAATCTCCCCTCCTATACCTACCGATAGGTTACCCATGGGTATTGGCGGGTATCTAATGGGTACCTAATATTCAGACCCACCTTCCTAAAGGGGCTAGATTGGGTTAGGTTAACCTATAGTATAAACCTACCCTACCTGTCAAATATTATATATATAATCTTAATATAAGAATCTAACTTACGTTAAATTTTACTTCTTTAAGAAATATTCTTTATTACTTAAAGACTACAATAATTACTAATAGTTCTTTATTATAAATATTATAGTTTAGTTTTATTAAATTAAGTTATCTTAATTAAAAATAAAAGTCTTTCTTTTTTATTATTATTTAGCTATATTATTCTTACTCTAATTATAAAGTCTAATATATTTAATTTAATTATTATTACTTTCTTGAGATTATATTATACTATTATTATTGTCATTATAATTTAATTTTTATTTTTTTTAAGTATTTTCTTCTATTTCTTTTTTTATTTTTATTTAATAGTTTTTTTTATAAGTCTAAATAATAGTCTTATATTATTTATATATTTATATAAGTATTGTTAGTAATAGTTTACTAGTCTTATAAATTATTATAATTTTTTTATATTAGTTAGTATAGGCTAATCTTAGATTATCTATACTTTATCTTTATCTATTTTAATCCTGTTAATTATAATTTAGTGTCCAAAGAAATCTATTTCTTAAATATAGAATTTATATTTCTTTAGCTCTAATTATAACTTTATTTATCTAATTATATATAGGATTAAGTAGATAAGGATATCATCCAGATATATAATAATAAAGTTATAGATATAATATTATAGTAATGGCAGTGGGAATACATGGATTAGAATTATATTATCAACTTGCATATTACTGTTGTTTTCTATTAATAACCCTCTTTATTGCATGACCAGGGCCAAACCCTATTATATACTCCTATATACAGCCATATTATATCCTAAAAGCCATCTACTTTGTTCAAGGATTTAACAAGATCCAAGGATCCAGTGACATTTTCTGTCATGTTACTCAGGTATTATAACAAGGCATCCAAAGTAAATATTCTCTACACTCAATATCAAGTTTATCATATATATTATAACTAATACCCCGTACCGTTAAGCTTATATTGGCATGTGTCTTTAGAATCAGGCCAGTCTGCCTAGAAGAAGTCAATCATATACAATCTATAGAAAGCATTAAACCTCCATAACCTTCTCCTCGACTATGACACTGATCGAACCCTCTCCCTTCCCGGCAAAGTAGTCCTGCACGGGGGGCATCGTGGCCAAGGATTCAAGATCTGACGCAGCGGGCGAGAGTAGCGGAGAGCCTGAACTGCTGTTGTTGGCCGTGAGTGAGGGCACAGAGGTACTCAGCCGTGTTTCTGCGCCGTCGACGGTGCTCTCCTTCTCCTCCTCCTTGACCTTCCTGGCCCTTGCCTCCTGCTCGACCGCCTCCCGGACCAGATCCCTCACGGAGCCACCGTTCAAGATCTTGAGCGTCGGGATATCGGCCTGCAGCTCCTTGGTGAACCACGCGCGGAGGTCCACGGCCACCAGAGAATCGACGCCGCGGTCTACGAGGGGAACGAGCTCGTCGACCGTCTCCGCCGACGGAATGCGGAGCAGCCGTTTGAGATAGGCGACAAACGCTTCCTGAACGACCACCATCGCCTCGTCGGGGGAAGCCACGCGCTGCAGTCGCACCCGGATGGGCTCTGCAGACGCAGCGCCCTCGCCGCCTTCGCCAGGCGCAACAGCGCCGTCGTCGCGACGGACGAGATGGCTGAATTTGATATCGCGTCTCCGGCCCTCCGGCAAGAGCTCCTCGTCCGCTTGCGTGCGCATGTTGACGCCCATGACCACCTGGGCAGACGCCGCAGTGACTTCCATTGAAGTGTCGGGTCTTCCGGATAGAATCGCCTCGGCAAACAGGACATGCAGATCCTCCTCACTGATGTTGATGTACCCTAGGGATGCAAAGTAGTCGAAATCAAACGTGTCTGAATGCGCGGCATACCCAACCCCCAGCACCGCCGGAATACTCATTGCGGACCCGGGCAGCCGGTGGTTCCTTTGGCGCTGGTGCATCAGGGCAATCATGTACTCGTTGGCCGCGGAGTAGTTGCTCTGCCCCGTCCAACCGATGACCGCCGCGATACTGGCGGCCACGACGAAGAAGTCCATGTCCGGCGAGCGGAAGAGCTCGTCCAGGAGCTTGGTGCCGCGGACCTTCGGGGCGAGCACCTTGGTGAGCTGCTCGTGGGACATGCGGGCGAACAGCTCGTCCTGGAGAACCATGGCGCCATTGACGACCCCGGCGATGGGCGGCAGGGTGGCAGCCAGCGCGGCGTGCACGGAGAGCAGGGATTGCTGGCGTGTGATGTCGAGGGAGACGACGCGAACAACGGCGCCGTGTTGACTGGCCATGTCGGCGATAAAGGCATCCGACACCTTCGGGTTGCGGCTGGTCAGCACGACATACCGCGCCCCGTGGGTGATCAGCCAGCGTGCGAGGGACTGGCCCAGTTCGCCAGCCATGCCGACGAAGAGGTATGTCCGATCTGGACGGAACAGTCGGCCGGAGGTGATGGGTTGGATGCTTGCCGTCACCGTTGGGATAGTCCAGTCGATCACGCTGAGGGGGGAGGTGAGGATGTGGTGGTGCTGAACCTCGTTCAAGGCGATGAGCGGGGGAGACGGAGCTGTCGCAATGGAAACCGAAGCAGTATAGGCCATCTGGAACTGCTGGGCAACGCTGGCGGAACAGTCGGGGTCGCCGTTATTAACAGTATGGCTGAGAAGGGCCTCCTCGCTCAGGATGACGCAGGAGGGAGGCAGAGAGTTGAGGATTGTCTGACGGACTGATGCGTCTCCCCGCGAGAAGAGCACCGCAATGCCAGGGGTTCGAGCAAGCAGGGGTTTGATAGTTGACTGTGTGACGTCGGTATTGATCCAGACAATCGCCACCTTCTTCGCCTCGGCTTGAGCCGTCAGCGCTGTCTGAACCGCAGGCTCGGCCGCGTATATCAGGACGGTAGACCCCTGACAGGCGACAGATAGCATCCGCTGGGCCATGAGCTGCGCCGCAAAGGACACCAGGAGGGCAGGCAATGCTTCGTCACCCTCACGGATGGATACAGAACGAGACAGTGGTACAGAAACGACCGAGTCGCTCGATCCAGCCAGCGCCAGCATCGTCCGTTGAGTCTCGATATCCTTGCCAATGACCGGCCGGAAGAAGTCCCCAGTAAGAGCAGCCACGCTCTGCAGCAACGAGTGAGTGATTCGCATGGAACACACGGCCTCATCGAATTGCGGCATCCATCGCAGGGGAGAGGGAACCTGCAGCGCCCCGTTGCCGTCTTCCCTGGCCACCAGCTCCAAGACCTGAGTGGATGGGGAGACGGTGGTTGTGACCGAGCGGCGCAGAGCATTATAGCGCTTGTTCTTGGTCTGGTCAACGCGTAACCGTGAGATGGACAGCTTGCCGGTGCTGCTGGCAAAGACCTCGGGTTCGATGGTCCAGAGCAGCGAGTGTCTAGGGTTAGGGTTAGGGTTTAGGGGTTTAGGGTTTAGGGTTTTCCAGCTGCGCAGCGCCAACTGGCGCAACAGGGCTTCGGCGAGCATGGTGGCAGTGCCCGACTGGATGCCCGTCTCGAGGTCGAACAGCTGGCTGCTCAGGTCGGGCTGTTCGTTCTGGATGGTGCGGAAGATGCCCAGCATCATGTAGCTCGCCGGCGTGTCGTCGCGGGCCCCAGAGGTGACCCAGAGGAGGGTGCCTGCGGTGCTGGTGCAGGTCTGCAGGGCTGAGAGCTTCTCTTTGCTCACCTCGTCGAGGTATGGGTGATCCAGATCGGTGAGCACGAGAACAGTCAGTGGTCTCGAGGAGGAAGCCTCCTCCGTGGCCATGTCGTGGAGCGTGGAAAAAAACCGGATGCGGCGGAATCGCGGACCCAAGACTGATGCTATACCACGGCCCAGCTTGTGCACCGGCCAGGTGGTGCCGCCGACGATGGCGAGGGCGTTGGTATCGATGCCTTCAGGATGCGTGGCCACGCCGAGGGGATTGCGCAGCAGTGCCACCCGGTCGTCGACGGCCTGGGCAACAAACACCGCCATGGGCAGGGAGGCACTGATATCAGGCGTGACGGTATCGATGCCTCCGAACCCAGCCGCCTGCAGGGCTCCATCCCATTGACTCAATGTGAATAGAGGCCCCCAGGGCCGCCCGGTGTCCGCGCCAATCCACCAGCCTGGCAACGTGCCTACCGTCATGCCGCTGAACAGCAGGTCCGTGGAAGTCAGCTCGGCGGCGACCAGGAACCCTCCAGGACGGAGCAGACGGCGCACATTGCCCAGGGTGGCCTGGATGTCCGCCGAAACGTGCAGGACGTTGACGGCGACGACGACGTCGTATGTTCCCTCGTCGAAGCCCTGTGTCGAGGGATCCTGTTCCATGTCGAAGATCTGGAAGCGCATGCGAGCCCCCTGCGCGGCGAAACGGTCCTCTGCCGCGACGAAGAAGCCACTGGAGATGTCGGTAAAGGTATACGACTCGTAGCTGTCCTGAACGGCGTCCAGCACCGCCGAGGTGGTGGCCCCCGTGCCGGCCCCGACTTCCAGGATATGAAGCCCAGGATAGCGGTGCGAGATCTGGGCCACCACCCGCGACAGCCAGCGGCCTGTTGGCCCCGAACAGATGGCGTCTTCGGCATAGAAGGCTCGCAGCAGCCCATCCTCGTTCATATACTCGAGCATGGAGGTGCCTGCCCGCAAGACGGGGACCAAATGCTCGCCGACGACTTGCACAAAGCGAAAGTCCTTGCGGTGCGCATACCGCGTAAGAAGCTCGGCAATCTGCTCGCCAGTGTCCCCGTTGCGCGCCGGCGAGACCTTGGGATGCGCGCCCCGAGTGACCATGTCGACCATGCGATCGCACCATCCCAGATACCGCCGGTAATGGGGCAGGAGGCTGCTGCGTTCGCCGGGAGCAATGGCGAGGGCAGCCTGGCGCACATACCAGTAGGAGATGCGATCCACGTCCTCGTACATCTGGACCTCGCCGTCGGAGAGCGTCTCCCCGCCGGCAGCAACAAGACAATCCGGGGTGTCGACGCCATACTGGAACCGAGAGAACATGGGCACGTCGTCGCGGGCAGTGGCAGGCGAGAAGGGCACCAGAGTGGCGCCTTCAATGTGCACCACGGTTGTCGTTGCACACACATCCGAAAGCGTCAGCTCTCCCACAATCTCCGCGGGCTTTTTGCTGATGGACGCTTCGAATCGTAGCTGCCCCGGCCGTCTCCCTGGCCCCGTGTAGTACGGGTTGATGGTGATGGCCGCAAAAGACACAGGAACATGCAGCGACCACAGCTGGGTGTCGCCTGGAAAGGACCATGCGGCGAAGATGCTCTGCAGCGCGGAATCCAGAGTCCCCGGGTGAACAACGAGGTCATCTTCCCAGCCGGCGCCGGCCTGGTCGGTCAGGATGCCGGTGCTGTATCCTGGGAATCGACGGATCTGGCTCAGCCCGCGGAAATGGCCGCTGTAGCCGTACCCGACGCGGGCCAGCCGGTCGTAGAAGCGATCCTCGTCGATCGAGACCAGCTGGTAGCCGTCCTGGGCTGCTGTCGAGGCCAGGGCGTCGGCGACTGGAACTCCCACCTGTCCGAGTACATCGCCATGAGCATTCAGCACCAGGTGGTTCGCAGCCGTCAGCGAGTAACACGCCCAGTGGCTGGCGATCTGGCTGGACGACCGCTGGATGCCCGACAGGCTGAAGACGATCTCGACGCTGGAGTCGTCGTCGTCGAGCGTGATGGCACGCGGGATCTTCACCTCGCGCACGCTGATCTCTCGCAGCGTCTCGTTCTCTTCCTGGGCCAGTCGCACAATCGCCTCAATCGCCATGCTCACGTATCCCATGGCGGGAAACACCGTCTGTCCTTGCAGCTGATGGCCGGTGATCCAGGGCAGGTCCCGCGCCTGCAAGAAGTTGCGCCATTGCACCTCGCCGGGGGTCAAGGCATCGGTGACCGGCGTGCCCAGCAGCGCATTGGGTTTATGGGCCTGTTGGCGATGCTTGAAGTGGTTGGCCACTCGGCTGTTTGTCCAATGCGCCTGGGAATGGTCAAACGGATACGACGGGAGATTGTCGACAACCACCGGCTGCTGGTCTCGGCGGGAGAGAAGCCTCTCGACCGCACCGAGCTGGACCGTCGTCGACCCCAGATGCGTCCAGATGGTGCCCAGGGCCGCGCTGAGTTGACGGGCGTCATCCTGGCCTCTCGCCAACAGACCGCAATAGGGCCCGGTGGCAATCGTCGCGGTGGCAGGCCCCTTGAGTGCCGGGTGCGGACCAACCTCGATAGACAGATCCAAGGCTCCTCCTCCTGTGCCTTTGAGGGCGGCTTCCAGCGCCCCCGCGAACAGAACAGGCTGGCACATGTTTTCCACCCAGTATTGGTTCGTCAGGGAGGTGGCCTGCATGTGCTGTCCCTCGAAGACGCTGGAATACCAGACGGTGGACGAGCTTGCCGGCGTCAAGGGCTGGATGCCGCTGCGGTTCAAAGACGCCAGATAATGCCCGGCAGCAGCAGCCATGTGGGCGCTGTGATACGCCGTGTCTACCTTGAGCTTGCGGGCAAACATGCCCTGTGTCTTGAGCAGGGCTTCGGCCTCGTCGACGGCGTCCAGATCGCCACTCAGCGTGATGCTGGAGGCAGAGTTGACCGCGGCGATCTGGAGACGCCCGTCGAACTGCAGACTCGCACACAGTGCTGCTGCTGTCTGCCGGTCTGCTCCCACCGCGATCATGCCTCCACGGGGGGAGTGAGGGCTAGGGCTGGCGGCGCGTTGGGCATGCACCCCGCGGTAATAGGCAATGCGGATGGCATCGCTGGCCGACAGCAGCCCGGCGGCGTAGGCAGCGCCGATCTCGCCAGAGGAATGGCCCACGACGGCCGCAAAGCTGATGCCGGATGCGCGCAGGATGTCCACCAGCAAGATCTGCACGGCGGTGCACAGCGGCTGGGAGATGGCGGCCTCGCCGATGCGAGACTGCTCGGCACCAGCCAGCAGCTGCTCCGTCAGAGTCCACGCAGGACGATCTCCTTCATCCGTCAGGCGCTGGAGACTCTCGTCCAGCTGTGCCATGCGTGCGGCGGCAAAGGCGGAGGTTTCGAGCAGTCGAGCCCCCATCCGAGGCCATTGGGCGCCTTGGCCAGTGAAGATGCCGAGGATCCTGGGAGTCGCCGGCGAGGTGAAGCGGGTACTCAGCAAAGTCTCTGCATCTGCAAGCAGCTCTTCCAAGGCGTGGATTGCCTCGTCGACCGTCCCTGCGGCCACAGCCTGGCGATAGGGTAGAACAGACCGTCGATCCTGTAAGGTGTATGCGATGTCCGCCAGAGACACGCCGCGATTGTGCTTCAGGAAGTCGACGTGTTGGGCCAGCATCGCCCTCAACGGCTTCTCTGCCGCTGCAGAAAACACCAGGGGAGTGTAGAGCAGTGCATCCCCGGCCACTGCCTCCTCGGCGCCGATATACTCCTCCAGGATACAGTGGGAGTTGGTGCCTCCAAAGCCAAAGCTGTTGACACTCGCCCGGCGGACCTGGCCGTCGGCCACCCGCCAGGGCTTCTGCGCCGTCAAAATCTCGAGATTCTCGAAGAAGGGCGCGACTTTGGCGCTGAGAGTCTTGAAATGCAGGTTCGGCGGCATCGTCTGGTTCTTCAACGCCAGCGCCGTGCCGATGAGACTCGCCAGACCGGCCGTGCCCTCTGTGTGTCCGATCACCGTCTTGATGGATCCCACCGCCAGCCTCTCCGTCGAGACCACGCCGGCCGGGAACAGCGCCGTGGAGATGGCTTCGGCCTCCTGGGGATCGCCCGCCTGGGTGCCGGTGCCGTGAGCGTGGAAGAACTGCGGCCGGTCGTTGACGTTGCGGATAGGATCCAGGCCGGCGCGCGCATAGCAGGCCCGGATCAGCGCCGCCTGGGCACCGTTGCTGGGCACCGTCAGGCCCGCGGTGCGCCCGTCCTGGTTGACGGCGGTCTCGCGGATGATGCATTGGATAGGGTCATTGTCGGCCAGCGCCTGCGACAGCGTCTTGACCACCACGGCCGCAACCCCTTCGCCGCGCGCGTATCCGTCGGCCGCCTCATCCCACATGGCACAGCGGCCGTTGGGCGAAAGCATGCCCAGGTTGCTCTCCGAGATGTACATGGCCGGGCTGAGGATGAGGTTGGTGCCCGCCGCAACCGCGACGGTCGACTTGCCGCTGCGTAACGCCTGCACGGCCAGATCCAACGCTACCAGACTGCTCGAGCAGGCCGTGTCGATGGTCATCCTGGCGCCGTGCCAGCCGAAGAAGTACGACAGCCGGTTGGCGACGATCCCACGCTCCAGCCCCGTCGCCGTGTAGCGCGGCAGGGTCTCCCAGTCGCGCGTCAACATCGTGCTCCAGTCGTCCGACATGAGCCCGACATACACGGCCGTGTCGGAGCCGCGAAGCCTCTCCATGGGCTGTCCGGCGGCGCACAGCCCGTCGTAGACGGCCTCCATCAGCAGCCGCTGCTGGGGGTCCATCGCGTCGGCCTCGGCGGCCTGGATGTTGAAGAACCCGGCGTCAAACCGGGCGACGGGGCTGGCACTGTCGTCGGCCTCCTCGGCCAGGAAGTACGACTTGGGCGCGTTGGTGGTGCCGTGATGCGTGCCCACGGGGTGGTAGAAGAGGTCCACGTCGAATCTGGACGCAGGCGGTTTGCTGCTCAGATCGCTGGGCTCGCGCAGCAAAGACCACAGCTTCGAGGGTGTGTCTGCACCCCCGGGCAGGCGGAAACCATACCCGATCACAGCAATTGGCTCGACCATGTTGTAGGATGTTGAATCTGGGGAGAAACTGAGTAAGATCAGACTCGGGTTAATGTGAGTATTGGATGCTTGCAAAATATACAATCGATGCAACAGTGGATATTCAGTGATTGCACTTACATATCCATGGAAATCGGAAAAGCATGACAAAAGGGGAATACACCTCTCGCCGAATGGAGAAAAGATGGGAAGACTTGCCGAAGAGATGCTCCGGTTCGGAGGCATACGGAGATATGGTTATGATTGGGTCAGATGTTTCTGGAGCATCAAGTGTCGTAAGAATTGACCGAACTAATGTTCCGAATACAAGAACTACATCAACATAGACGAGTAGATGTAGGTTAGGGTTGGTTAGGCTTAATGAAAGTGGAGGGTAACCCTAAACTTCTGCACATAACCAAACCCTAAACCCTAAGAAGTGACCGAATTGATGTTTCCAAATACTAGAACTACAGTAGAGGGGTCATCATCCCAACATAGACGAGGAGTAAATCTAGGATTAGGGTTAGGGTTAGGGTTAGGCTTAATGAGAGTGGGGGTAACCCTAAACTTCTGCACATAGCCTAGGGTTGCTAACCCTAATCCTTACATAACCCTAGGTTAACAACCTTCACATAACCCTAGGGCTATTAACCCTAGGGTTAGACATCAAGCCAATTTGGTTCGCCCCAACGACACCAACATATTCCACAAGCGTCTTGAGAACCGCCCACCACCAGCCCAGGCCCATGAATCCAATCACCCGGTTCAACAAAACCAACCGCCGGGCGTAGTAATTCGCTTCACGATCCCGCTCCTCCTGGCTAATCTCCCCCCGCCAGACTCGATCCATCTGCAGCGCGTGCTGTGCCGCCTGCTCGGACGCTTTCCCCAGGTGCGAGCGGAAGCCGGTAAAGGCATCGCCAACCAGCACCAACCGGCCGTCAAAGAAGCTGGGCGTCGTGCATTGGGCCTCGCCGACCTTGGTCACAAACACCCGCGGCGTGAGTGAGACAACCTCCGCTAAAGGCGCCGTCATCTGCGGCACGTACCGCGCCAGCTGTGCCTGCCACACAGCCGGGTTGACCAGGCCCTGCGGCACGGTATTGCCGTGCATCTTGCCGTGGATATCGGTGAATATCTCGGCCATCTCGGCGGAGTTCTCCTGCACGGGAAAATACCAGACCCAGTTGAGCAGGCGTTTGCCGGGCTCTGTGTGGCCGCCCTCAGTCGGGATCAGATAGCTGATGAAATAAGTCCCCCTCAAGAGAGTAAAGTTCAGCCGGTTCAAGAAATAGTCCACCGTCTGTGCGGAGAGCAGCTTCTCCGGCACCGTCCCCCGCCAGCCGATATAGCCCGCGTACTCCTTGCGAGTGGGCACCTGGAGCAGCTGGCGCACGGTGGAATGCACCCCATCGGCGGCGAGGACCAGCGCCGCGCCGGCCTCACCCACATCCCCCGTCTGGACATCCACAAAATCCACATAGACAAGACCCTTGGCGCGGTTGTAGCGCACGCCCGTCACTTTCTTCCCCGCTCGGTAGTCAACAGGGCCATCGCCCGCACGGGGGGACGGCGGCATGGGCACCGCCGCAGAAGCCAGTCCGTCGAAATTGGCGCGCAGGATCAGGTACAGACAGCCCCAATTGCTCATGTTGTGCGCCCAGTGCGTGTTGGCCACCCGGAGGCGATGGCGCCAGGCGGCGCTCATGTACTCGGTGGGAATCGCAGCTGGGCGACCTGTCGCGTCGTACCGGTCCAGCAGAGCGACCACGCTGGGTCCGATCGAGATGCCAGATTCGTGGCTATGCCGGTCTTTCGATGGGTCTTGTTCAAGCACCGTTACATGGCTGCCTTGACGCTTCAACTGCAGCCCTTGCAGCAGTCCTGCGACTGAGCCGCCAATCTGGAGTCATTTAGTATACTCCATTTTGGGGGAGCTATATCTGTAGGATACACACGATAATGACAGATTCCGGAACCATCTGGTGTGTCAGGGTTGGTTTAGGGTTAGGGTTAGGGTTTAGGGTTTAGGGTTGGGAGTCAAAGGCAGTAGTCGGCGGAGAAAAATACTCACAACGACAATTGGGACAGACCACGCATGTTGATATGCAGATACAGAGTATAGCCCTCCAGGATGCATTGCAGGGTTTGGGTTCTCACATGGCCGACAGGTCCTGCAGAATAAACCCTCCGATGCTCAGAGATAGGCTAGATATTACCCCTTCTGGCCAGCTCGGGGTCCGGACCTCCGAATTACCTTATTCGCTCAATGAAGCCTCCTTTGGGTATCATTGTAGGTAGCCACTCCACAGGAATTGGAATTGCACCAGAACAATAGAGCATGACATTGCAGGATTGGAAGGGCTACAGATGATCAATTACCGGCAGTTAGTAATAGTCTGAATGAGCTTCAATACACATTGAGCAAGTCCTGCAGCAATTGCTTAAGCTCGTCTATCTTTTGCTGCAGCTGTCGAGCCTGTTTCTGCATTGTTCCATATAAGAAATGCTCGTTCATCAGCTTGCAGATCGATCCTGACCCATTGGAACTTGTGCCATTGATTGTGCCGCCTTCCTTGACCAGTGGCTCCTCTTCATACCCGCAGTTCTTTGACCCAGCCAGAATGCGAATGTCACTCGGTAGTTCCAAGGCGGCCTCGGCCAAGCCCAACGAGCCCAACAGAACCGCAACGGCTCTATGAGCTCGCGTCGCCGTCTCTCTGCTGGGAGAGTCCACGCAGACGCAGGTCGGTTGAAGCTGGACCAGCCGCAGGCCCCTATACATGTTGGCCTCCTCGCGGAATGCTTCTAGCGAGGAATCTCGCCTGTGGGTTCGCGCAGCGCACTGCACCTGCTCCGCTAGTTCAGTCAGCGCGACGTGAAGGTCGTCGAAGATTGTCGAGTAGATCCGCGTCAGCATCAGATAGCAGGAGAGTATGAGCAGCATCGTTGGTATATCGCAGGAGAGAGGCGTTTGGAGATTCCCTAGCTCTGGTACTGGCTGTTGGTCGTCGCCATCTGGATTACAATTGTTGTGGCCCTGGGCCGCCGCCGAAGCCAGTTGGTGGAAGCGTTGGGAGAGAAATAGAGCATCTCCAATGGGGTAGTTGTCGAGTTTGTGACCGTTGTGACTCTCGCCATCTTGTAGCGGCGGGGATGCCGAGAATTGTGAGATCTGCGTCTCGTAATGGGACATCTTGGCGAGCAAGCCAGTCAGAGTGTTGAAGTGATCCTTCAGCTGCGGCGTGGCCATATTCTCTTTCGTATCAGACATCGCCAGCCCGATCTCATCATTGACCAAGCCGTCGCCGCGCTGAGCGAAAGGTAGCAAGACCCTGTCCCACTCGGCAGACAGCACCGAGCTCACCATATACTCGTCCACCACACTCCCCGTCGTCGCGTTCAGACCATCGTCGGAATCGGGCAGCAGGGGAGGAAACGCTTGTAGATCCGGTTGCTCCATGTCTGACCCGGTTTCATACCAGGGAAAGGAATCAATGGCCATTGACTCCGCATCTGCGAACGTCCCCTGGTCCGAGTTGGCAAAGGGCCGTGGCGGAACCACACAATCCAAGGAGCATGAGAAAGAAGATGGACAAGTCGAAGAGGAAGGGGATAATGAGGATGCCGCATGCAGCGCAAAAGTCCCCATGCCCGGCAATGGGGGCTGGGTCAAGCACTCTCGTTCGACGCGCCTCAACTTGCGCGGTTCAGCCTCCTGCTGGCCGTCATCCCCTCCACCACCAGGCAGTCTGGTCCGGCCGGTCTTCAATCGCTGAGTGTATTTGCAAGATCCCTGGAGTTTTGCCTTTGCACAGCGCTGGCACGCGCTGGTCGGGTCACCAGCTATAGAAGGCACACAGCGCAGCTTGTGGGCTCGGCAGCGCTCACAGGATGCGCGCAGACTCGGATTGGTGTCGCTCATTTTCAAATGCAGTTGGTTGGGATGGGATTTCGATGGAGAGTCTAGATAGAGCTGTCGTGGACCTAGTGACGGTTGTTTTAAATAGCTGTCAAGTCAAGGCGGGGACGGGAAGATAATAGGATTGATCAATGAAGAGTCAACCGTGGGTAGACACAAGGCTACAGAGCAGATTTCTATCATGTATGCTTGACTCTGGAGATTTCATTGGTACGGTGGCAAGACGCAGGGATTAAGCATGGTATAGTGCCAGCATATAGTTCCTTTTTCTTAGTTCATGCATCACCAGGTTATTAGGTCATGTATATTACCCAAATTTACCAGTATTAAAGCAAGTAACTTATTATTCTCTATAAATCCATCTCTAATTTAAAAACCCTAATGCACATCCTATCTTTGATGTAATAGTGAATAAGGAATAATAAGATAATAATCCTTTCATTCATTTAAACGGCTGAAGACTACCTTTAATATCTAGGCCATACACTATGTGGAAAGGTTTCAAGAAGAGAATTATTTTATATACTTAACCTCCATGTTCTGCATGTCAATTTACTTAGATCATATCATCTATATAACTAATATTACTCTTGCAGAGTTGGCTCTGCACTCAGGCAGGCACTGGCTTATATGTCTTTAATTCCTGGTGGATCAGCAATGGAAGAAAGATATACTGGGAGTCAGAAAGAGGTTAACTACACATAGCTAGTGTTCTATCCTCTTTTGCCGGCATTTATCTGCATTGTAACCGTCCGGAAATATGTGGTATAGTGGGTATATTCTTAATCCGGTATAGCCCTGCAATTGTATTGCCTTTTCTGAAAGTTTATTCAGAGTAGCGAGGGCAACTAATAGTTCTCGATCAAGCCGGAGCTCACCACTCTAGTGGCACATCACCTAATCCCAGTTTCAACACATGTTTGCTGCTCTTCGTGGCAATAGCAGCAGATGAAGACACTATCTAGGCACTTGCATACATCGAACCCCGGTACTTGTAAAGCTAATCTAAGTTGCTAGGTGGAAATTAAGGCTCAGTCTAAGCCTCCCGCTGTCAGCCGCGGGATTTGAGGAATGGGCCACAGCCCCTTTGAGACTCACTGCCGGTGGCGACGGTAACATAACCGGAAGCGAGTATTGCATGTATTGCGAATACGCTTGCTGGATATGACTAGCGATGCCTTAGCGTCCTAGGAATATGTAGGCCAAGCAGATAACGGAGTAACAGCCACTAAGTACAGAGCTGATATCTATCCAATTTGCCATATCTCCATTGGTGGGTTTATGAAATGACTTTCTAACAGTCTGATATAAACCTAGATGAATTATATTCTTCTTGATTCCCATTATATATATGCTATGATCTTCTCTACTGCCAAGGTGAAACTATCTGAAAGAGATTAAGAATAATCAGCAGCAGATGATAGTGAGAGTGGAAGATACTTTAATTTAAGTAAGGTCTGTGCAGATATTTTCCCCCGGGAGCGCCCACAAACTAAGGATGATAGTTTGGTCTTGGCAAGGAGAAGAAGCACTTATATCCAGTAACTACTCTAGACCTTGTACTAGGCAATCAAATAGAATCCCTGATACTGTATCCTACGCTGAGTGATTTGAAATCCGGAATACGGAAAACAAAGCTTTTCTTAGGTCCTACAGAGCGAGCATCTAGGATTATATTAGCCTAGACTATCAAGGATACCTGAATTCATCACGCCGAAAAAATATCAGTTCTTACCTTGAATAATCTGCTCAGCTTTCTTCAGGAAAGTTCCAGCCCTGGATAGCTTCATTTTTATAGAATTATAGGATACACATAATACCCCGAGATATCGCTGATTTCCTTTTATAATTCTTGAACTCTTATTACAAAGGATGAAATAGCTAGGGTTTACATATATCAACCCATATCTAATACTGTCAGGATTCTGCAGATAGGGGCCGTACCCCTCTTTGTGGCGAAATCCTATGGGCTAGTGGTACATGGATCTTTCTCCGCAGTTACCCACTAGACACTGTATTATTTACTGCACTGGAGTTCTGTAGAGCTTTCTGCTGAAGACAATGCTACGCAGTGATTAGATATTAAGCAGCATGACATATATAATGTGGATTCGAAGTTATTAATAGACAATTTGAAGTTATGATAGACAATTTGAAGTTATGATAGACAATTGGAAGTTATGATAGACAATTTGAAGTTATTGATAGACACAATTAGACAAGCAGAGTAGAAATAGCATTCTGCATGGCGATTGTCGATCTCAAATGTGACCTGCCGTCTTGGCATGAAGCCACGCCCCATATCTGTAGAACAAGACTGGGGCAGGAAGAAAGGCCAGGGCGAGGAAAGCCAGCAAGGTGTTTCCCCATCCATATCCTAGTGTCTGATACATGGCAGGCCCGGCCAACGGCAAAAAGGTGCTGCAGATGAACCGCAAGACGTTGTTGGCCGCCAGCGCCGAGGCAGATGCCCCAGACCCGAACAGGTCGATCAGATAGAGTTGCGCCGGCATCTGGCAAGGTGAGAAAGGAAGACAACGAATACTGACAATGGAAACATACCATGACGAAGAAAGATCCAAAGCCGATGACTGTGGTGCCGATAATCGGCACGATCCAGTGCACCTTGTAGTAGGTGGTCCAGCCATAGATCAACAGGCCAGCCGCCACACAGGGGCAGAAATAGATCATCGGCAGCAACCGGTACTCCGGGCGATGTTGATCGCTACCGGCGGCTTTCTTGCGGGCAGCTGTCATCCTATCGCCCAGAGGTTTAGCAATAAACATGCAGCTGACCAGCGACACTCCCAGCCCCAAGTAGACCAGTCCCGATGTCGCGGTGGAGAAGCCGTACTGCGTTTCAAAGACATCGGTAAAGGTGGTGAAGAGGAGGTACATCAGACCAAAGATCAGGGCCATGTAGATGGAGATGATCAATAGGATGGGAGAGCGGAACAGCAGTGTTGTAGGACGCACCAGAGCCAGCAGCAGCGCTTGCTGTAGGGGGCGGTGATCGGCCATCTTGGACTGCAGGGTAGATTTACCGGTCTCTACCCGAAGACGGGCTGCCTTCCTCTCCAGCAAGACCTTGGGATGGGTTTCTCGCATCACCACCAGAGCTGCAATGCCCACTGCGCCGCCGAGGATGGCGAGAAGCCAGAAGGTCCATCGCCAGCCAAGGCCTGCGGCGACGAAGCCACCAATAACCGGACCCAGGACCTACCATTAATGTCAGCAAGCAAAGGAAAGTTTAGGGTTTAGGTTTAGGGTTTAGGGTTTAGGGTTGGAGTACCGGCCCAGCCATGGGACCCAAGCTGTACAGCGACATGGCCAGGGCGCGTTGCTGGATGCCAGTGACGTCGGCGATAGTCCCCCCGCCGAGAGCCATTGGGGTGCCTCCAGCACAGCCGGAGAGGAAGCGACAGATCATAAAGGTGACCAGGTTGCGACTGAGGGCATTGCCGACCACAAACGCCACGAAGAAGAGATTGGCGAGGTGGTAGATGGGGACCCGGCCAAAGACCTCACTGAGGGAGGAGACCAACATGGGGCCCATGGCCAGGCCCAGGACGTAGAGGGTGACAGCCAGGGTGGCCACGGTGGAGGAGGAACAATGGAAAGTACTGAGCACTTGGTTGATGCCGGGGGCGCACATGGTTGGGGCCATGTTCCTGGTTCATTAGTATTCATAAGGCAAGAGATAGGCCATTGAAAGAATACAGACTCACATCACAAGAGAGATCAGGGCCACCATTATCACATGGGCCCATCGCTTGCCAGCAGGCCAGTTGTGAGGATTCTGCGCATCTTCAGGGCCATCCCAGTCGACAATATCTTCTACACCTGGAGCAGAGACGGCCTCGTTGTCTTTAGCCATGAGATAGTATACGTTTTGGTGTTGAGTTGATGTGTTAATGTATTGATATATTAATATATTCATGTATTAATGTATTATTGTATTAATAGTGTACTGCAGTACAGTAATATATATTATAATTATGATCATACCACTACTGTAAGAATAACATAATGGTATCTCCGAGCTTTCACCATATTCGTATATGCGTCTATTGATGTCTGTCCATGTCTATTCATTGTCGGATCAAAGCGCATATCCGACAACCGCGTATATACGAACGGCTCCGGGCGGCCCCTCTTCTTCCACCACGCAACAACCTCAACTTGCACGCTGCCCGGCCTTTCCAATCGCCATGTCTGCCTCTAGTATTTCCATGTCGCAGGAGCCGAATCCTTCCCTCTCCAAGCCCCGTCGCAAGCGGGATAAACTGCAATATTCCTGCAACGCATGTCGCCAGCGCAAATCCCGCTGCGACCGGCTCCAGCCTGCGTGTTCCGGGTGTCTCCATCGCGGCCTCGCCTGTGTCTATTCGGTCTCGCGGCCGCCTGGATCCTCGCCGGCGCCCGTGGTCTACGACCGCCTCGTCCATCTGGAGGGCCTCGTCAAGGCATTGATGGCCGACGGGGGGGTCCGCGCCCCCAATTCCACCGCCAGCAGTGCGCGACCAGAGTCTGCCAGTGAGAATGAGGCCCTCGACACCCAGTCCGAGTGCGGCAGCATGCAGATCACCGAGTCCGAGCTGCGCTATGTCGCCGGCGAGCACTGGGCGGTCATCCTGGATAGTATCGCCGACCTCAAGGCGCACTGCGACCGCGAGGAGCAGCTGGGTCTGGTCGAGACGCCCCCGGATCCCAGCGACAATGAAGCCGCCCATGTCCGCCATGCCCTGCTGCTGTATGGCTGCCACCGGGCGGCGTCGCGCGCCGAGATCATTGCGGCGCTGCCGCCCAAAGTTGCCGTCGACCGCTACATTTCTCGGTATTTCAACTATCTCGACCTTGTCGCCTCGGCTGCCGTCCATGGGCCCAGCTTTATCCGAGAGGTGAGCACAGCGTAGCTTGGACGAGCAAGAAACATTCACTGACTGTCATGGCCAGTACGAAGCCTTCTGGGCCGATCCCAGCCGGCCTTCCATCCTCTGGGTCGGGCTGCTCTTCAGCATGATCTGTCTGGCGGTGATGGCCTCGGACGGCCCCGAAGCCGAGCAGAAATCGCTGCAGATCGACCTGTACCGCGAGAAGATCGTGCAGTGTCTGGTCATGGGCGAGTACACCAAGCCCGGCCCGTATGTGCTGGAGACGGTCGTGCACTACCTGTACATCGAGTTCGGCATCAACCCGGACGCAGACCGCAACATCTGGTTCCTGCTGGGCCTCGAGGTCAACCTGGCCATGCGGATGGGCCTGCACCGCGACCCGGGCCACTTCCCGCGCATCTCCATCCTCGAGGCCGAGATGCGCCGCCGGCTGTGGGCCACGGTCTTGACCAGCGACATCCTCCTCTCCAGCCAGATGGGCATGCCACGCATGATCTGCGACTGGAAGTGCGACACGGGCGAGCCGCGCAACCTCAACGATACAGATCTCGGCCCCGATCTCACCCAGCTGCCCCCTGCCCGCCCGGAGACCGAGCACACCACGGCGCTGGGCATCATCGCCCGCCGCCGGATGATCGTCGCCCTGGGCGCCATCGCCGACCTGGTCGACTCCGTCAAGGCCGTCAGCTACGCGGAGATCATGCAGACAGACAGGAAGCTGCACGACGCCGTCGCCAGGATCCCGCCGCCCCTGCGCATCAAGCCGCTGGCGGCCAGCGTCACCGATCCGCCGCAGGTCATTCTCTCCCGCCTCTTTCTGGGCCATCTCCTCTACAAGGGCCAGATCATGCTGCACCGCCGCTATCTGGATATGCCGTGCACCACCACCACCGGCGATCCCGAAGACCCCTTTGTCTACTCGCGCACGGCCTGTCTCGACGCCTCCCTGGGCACTCTGCACATCCAGCAGATCCTCGACGAGGAGACTTGTCCGGGTGGTCGACTGCACGAACTGCGCTGGCGCATCACCTCCAGCATGACGCACCTGTTTCTGACCGCGACGATGGTGCTCTGCTCGCTGCTGCATCGGGGCCAGCCGCTGGGCGACCGCACCGAAGAGGTGCTGGCTGCCTTACGGCGTGCCCGCACCATCTGGATGCGCCGCAGCAGCTCCTCTCGTGAGGCCAAACGCGCGACGGAAATCGTCAGCTTCACTCTGGCCCGCACGGAAGACGAGCCTGTTGCAGCATCTACAGAGATGGACTATACGGGCTACGCATGGTCGCAGCCAATCGGTGCAAATGAAGGTGTGTTCATTCCTTGTTTTCTGCGAATCTTCTGACCTGGTACAAGGCTTCTCCCCCATGATGAACGACTGGTTACAGATGCAGTGGTTGGGACAAGATACATTGTTCCCGGGTTGATGTTATTCTTTAGTCCTTGAAATTTCCATGTATATTTCTCGACAGCTTTAAAATGAACTATTTGTTATTATTAAATATTGTTTATTAGTTTAATATAATATATATGAACTTTTCCTGTACTATATTATAAAAACCGGAAGATATTCTATTATAACTTGCAAGAATATCTACACCTTTGGGTGCAGTGGTTAGATGTATGCTATAGAAATTATATTAGCTATCATATATCTATCTTCATTAAATGATGGTCCTTTATAATATCAGTTATCTAGTATCTTAATATGAGCCCGTAACCCTTGCTACGCTCAGGGGCCCAAATGAGCAAATCTAATACTACTTAGGACCTACAGCCCTTTATAGTTAATTATTTTTTTTAGCATCTTTATATGCCTTTTTGCTAACTATATATCTTTATAATAATCTTATGTTTCTACTCCTATAAATAATTAGATATAGTAAGTGGCTTATATAGGTAAGCTAGAAGAGGTTACTTTTCAATCTTAAAGATATTCACCTTTACACTCTTACCTAATTTTCTTATCTATTTATTAAGTATTAATTGAATGACTTTGCCTTTTTGAATAGCTTTTATTTATTATAGCTTTTAGCTATTGAATAACTTAATTATCTTTATTTTTTAGGCCTTATAATATTTATAGTATATTATATAGGTTTAATAATAGTTGATTTCTTTATTATAAGGTTTGCTGCTAAGGAGCAGTCATATAAGGTAGAACTCTTCTTCAAGTTCTTATAAAGCTAGAGGCATGTAGTGATAATCTTACTATTAAATAGAACATACTATTTATAAATACTATTATATTACCTCTTTTATGTACTATACTTACTTATCCTTATATTTATAAAGAAAAAAGAAATTTTATAAAGTTAATTATATTATAAGTAGTATTAAGAAGTCTTTGGATTCCAGAAGTGATATCTAAAAATATTATAGAATATTAGTAAAATAAATAGAAAAGGAAAGTAAAGAGAAAAGAGCTATACTATTAATGAATTGAGGCATTATTAGCCTTAATTTTAAGTAGAGTCTGCTTATTTTTAATAGAGCAAAATATAAAGGTATATTAATAAATAAAAGAGCATCTTTTGAAATCCAATAATTTCTCTATATGACCTTCAGCAGGTGCAACGAAGGCGATTCTTGGGCATATTAACAATAGGAATTGACGCAGGAATCGACGCAGGAATCCCCTGAATTAATAGGAATTATTAATTAATTCCTTTAACCTATGATATTCACTCATCTAAAGGCTCCTAAAGCTCTTGGTGCGTCTTATTCTACAGTCCTTTATTATACTTGATCAACATATTACTATTGTAGAGCTAAGTAAATTAACAGAATCCAGAAGTATCTATTGCAACAATCTTCCCTGGCTCCACGATTGACCCATTGATGGGAAAATTGAAGCCCCCCCCCGTGGCCACATAGAAAGTGTGTGTATCGCCTGGCACCCGCCCAAACACCCCCGTAACCCCCCCGGCAACCGTCATCTGGTCCGACTGGCCTGCGACAGTGAGATACTCGCCGTCCGGCCGGATGGCCACCACACGACTGTCGGCGTTGGTCATCGCCCAGACCGTGTCTGCCGTGCCGCCGCCGCCGCCGCCAAAGGCGAACTTGTCGAGGAAGATCGAGCGCACCGTGGTGATCAGCTCGCCGCGCGCCCCCGGGGCAGCGAAGCCGTCGACGGTGACGGGGATGCGCGAGAAGGTGGCCGCAAAGGCGTTGCTCCAGTACAGATAGCCGTGGTGCAGTTTGATGTTGCTGATGCCGACGGGCGCCGGAGCCCAGCTCGGGGAGTCCATGAGGGGATCCTGCAAAGCGAGCTCGTACGTCTTGGATTGCAGGTCAACCTGCCAGACGAGTCCCATAGAGGCGTCTGCCACCAGCACGTTTGTCGGCGAGATCATGTCCATGCTGGTCATGAACCCGCCCGATGACAGACGCACCATCTCCCGCGCCTGCGCCGGGTGGTGTGGCGAGCGCAGGTCCAGCTCCCAGACGCCAAAGGTGCCCGGTACAGCGGTCGCGTAGGCCGAGGTATTACCGCCTAAGATGGTGAAGACGTCGGGCGAGGTCTCGATGATGCTGGTCAGCGTGTTGATCTCGGTGAAGTGCTGGAGGAGGGTGACTGTCGGGCTGTCGGTGTCCACCCCCGTGAGATAGTAGACAAAGGCATCCGGGAAGGCCGTCACAGCCAGGAGATCCCCGTTGGCGCGGGCATAGATGCCCTCCAGGTAGGTGGGAAAGGTAGGGAACTTGTATACCTCGCGCACAGGCAGGGGGAGAGACGGTTGACATGAGGCCTGGGGGCGACAGGAGGCCTGGGGGAGGCCGACAACCGACAAGAGGAGAGAGACGAAGCCTAGAGAGAGCCACATTGTCAGACGCTGGAGTCCTGAATGGAGTTGGAGATAAAGTATGTGTATTTAATGGCACAACCCTCCGACTGCCTGTTTAGGCTCCGAATGGATTCCTCCGAATTCTCCTTTGGGCAAGCCCTAAAAAGACTAAAACAGATCGATCACTTGCTCTTTTCTCCTAATACCACAGGCATCTCATTTTTTCCAATTCACGATGAAGGCTATCTTCTACCTCCTCGCATATGTGACCGGCTGGAGCTGGAGCGGCTTGCAGAATAATCAGGTCGTCTTGCCTGGTGGTCAAACCTGCCAGAATACAGCGACCTCCCGACACTGCTGGGGCGAGTATAGTATCGAGACCAACTACTACACCACGGCGCCCAGCACCGGACATACCGTCGAGGTGTGGCTGTCCGTCCAAGAGGGTATGTGCAGCCAGGATGGCTACCGGCGACCCTGTATGACCTTCAACGGCACGATGCCGGGCCCAACCATCACCGCCAACTGGGGCGACGAGCTGGTCGTCCACGTCACCAACAATCTCCAGTCCAACGGCACGTCGGTCCACTGGCATGGCATTCGGCAGCAACACAACGTCCAGAACGACGGCGTGCCGGGCGTCACACAGTGCCCCATTGCTCCCGGGGATACCTTCACCTACCGCTTCCAGGCCACGCAGTACGGCACCAGCTGGTACCACAGCCACTTCTCGCTGCAATACGCCGAAGGGCTGTTTGGGCCGCTCGTCATCCATGGGCCAGCGACGGCGGACTACGACGAGGATCTGGGCACGCTCTTCCTGCAGGACTGGTCGCACACCACCTCCTACCGGGACTGGACGGCCAAGGCCAAGTACGGCATCACCAAACCGCAGCAGAACCTGCTGATCAACGGCACCAACACGTTTGACTGTCCAGCGAGGGAGAACAATGAGCCTATAGACAGCCACTGCGTCGGGGGCGGGCGCAAGTTCGAGGCCGTCTTCGAGGCCGGGAAGCGATACCGACTGCGACTGATCAACGTCGCCGTGGACAGTCAGTTCCAGTTCAGCATTGACGGCCATAATCTCACCGTCATTGCCAATGACTTTGTGCCGCTTCACCCGTACGAGACGGCCAGCGTGTTGATCAACGTCGCCCAGCGGTACGATGTCATTGTCGAGGCCAACGCTGTCCCGGGCGACTACTGGCTGCGTGCGGGCTGGGTCAAGGCCTGCATCGGGGTGGCCAACGACCACCCGGACGATTCCACGGGCATCATCCGGTATAATGCAGATAGCCAGGCCACGCCGATGAGTATCAGCCGTGTGAAGCCCCCTGTTGCCTGTCTGGATGAACCCTTTGACCAACTGGTGCCATATGTGCCTCTCGACGTCACCAACATCACCGGCACCACCGTCGAAGACATCAACGTACTGTTAACAGGGGCGTCCTTTTTCCAATGGACCATCAACAGCAGCTCCTTCATGCTGGACTGGGAGCATCCAACCCTGATGCGCATTTCCAACGGCGAGAACAGTTTTCCACCGCAGTTCAATGTGGTCAACGTTGATGTATGCTGTTTTCCTTGAGTAACCCACACCTCGTTTCCTTGAGCTAACAATATAGAAACAATCCCTCAACCCTAAAACCAACGAATGGGCGGTCCTCGTCATCGAGAACAAAGCCGTCGCTCTTCTCGGCAGCATCGCCCATCCAATCCACCTACACGGCCACGACTTTTGGCTCCTCGCCCAGTCGCCGACAACCTGGGACGGCACAACCGCCGGCTGGCAGACGGTCAACCCGCCACGACGCGACACGGCCGTTTTACCGGCCTTTGGCCACCTGGTCGTCGCCTTCCAGCTGGATAACCCGGGCGCCTGGCTGGTGCACTGCCATATCGCATGGCACGCGGGGCAGGGGCTGGCGCTGCAGTTTGTCGAGAACCAGGGGGATATCGCCTTCAGCACGGTAGAGCGCCAGCAGTTTGATGAAACCTGCCACAAGTGGGATGCCTGGTGGGCAACAGCGCCTTTTCCACAGGAAGATTCGGGGATTTAATTCCCAATTTTCATTATACGTTGGGTTGGGTTGGGTTGGCTTAGGGTTAGGGTTTGGGGTTTGGGGTTTGGGGTTTAGGGTTAGGGTTTATGACTGGATTTAGGGTTTATGACTGGACAACAAACCCTAATGACAACTCAAGAATAGCCAAGAATGAAGAATGACAAGAATGAAGAATGATCAAGGCAATGGAACCCCAAAACACTCCACCTCCGCAACGGTCCTCGCCTCGTTCACCGTCGGTTGACCCAGGATGTACATGGTCTGCAAGGCGCGATACTTCCCCCCAACCTGGACGATCAAGCGGGTGTTCTGCGTGCCCCCCGTGCCAATGCCCGACTCCTCAATAAAGAACGGCTCTCCGTCGTCCGCGTGGCCGTACGCCCAGATGTACGCCAGCTGCGCCCGCCCGGTCTCGTTGTTGGAGACAATGACGGGCGCCGCGAGCCCGCCTTCGATCGTCGCGTTGAAGCCCGGGCCCCAGATCTTGCCGCCGGTAATAGGCTCAACAACGCGGACGCCGCCTTCGAGCAGGGAGATGGCTTTGAGGGGCGTGCTGAGATTGACAGTCGCACTGAACAGGTAGCTCGAGGTCAACGCGGTTGGTGCCATGTTTCTGGAGGCTGAGTGGCCAATATAGGGTAATAATGTGTTCAGGTAGCTTTAGAAGCTTTCAATAATACAGATAAATATATACTTCATACTCAACTGCGTATTAATAGGATGTTCGGAGGTTTAGAAGCTGCCGGCCGTAAATGCGCGAATCTCCGAACCTGCAGGCATCGGAAATGTTCGGTATAAAAGCACTATTCCCACAACAATAGCCTATTCAATGGCAAGTAGATCACCATGAAACCCCCCCAATTGACGCCGACAGCGCTCGCTGCAGCTACTAAAACATCGAGATTCTCCGCTTCTGTCTTGCTGCAGCGTTACCATCCGGCCAGCAGGACCACCATTCCAGATCTTCCCCTCTCCTTGCCACGCCCTCGGCTTCCATCGTCTGCACCTTTCCATACCTCCATCGCCATGTCTTCGATGTCCGCCACCAACGGCCACAATGAGGCCTGCTGCAACATTCCTCCGGTCGTAGCCGATGGATACGTGCCCAAGGGCGCGTACGAACAGCTCGGTGGCCTCAAAACATGTCAGTTTTTTGTTCTTCTTGTTATAAGTAACCCCTTAACCCCCGGTAACCCCAACAGACGTGACTGGCGATGCCGGCGCCACCAGAGGCATCATCTCTATCTTTGATATCTTCGGCTACTTCGACCAGACGCTCCAGGGCGCCGACATCCTCGCGGCGGGCGATGGCCACAGCCGGCAGTACAAGCTCTTCATGCCAGATTGGTTCAAGGGGAATCCCTGCCCGGTGGAGTGGTGAGCGTCTTGTTTCTTCTCCCTTCTTTCCATCCCCATTGCCTCTCATCCCTGATAGGTACCCCCCCGACACCGAGGAGAAGCAAAAGAACCTCGGCGAGTGGTTTGGCCAGCACGCTCCAACCACCACCGCCGACGCGTTGCCTGACTACGTACGGGCAGTGCAGGCGGCCAATCCGGCCATTCAATCATGGGGTTTGATCGGGGTGCGTTTATTCCTTCATCCTCCTGTCATTTCCATCAACTCAAGAATGAATAGTTCTGCTGGGGCGGCAAAGTCACCGAGCTCATCACCTCCAACCCGTCCATCAACCCCTTCAGCGTCGCCGCCGCCGCTCACCCCGCCATGGTCGATCCGGCCGGCGCGCCCTCCATCACCGTGCCCTACATTCTTCTTGCCTCGCAGGAGGAACCCGCTGAGACAGTCCAAGTCTTTGAGGAGGCTCTCAAGGTGCCGCACCACGTCGAGACGTTCGGCGACCAGGTGCACGGCTGGATGGCGGCGCGGGCAGACCTCAGCGATCCCCGCGTTCGGGAGGAGTTCTTGCGCGGATATCAAACCGTGGTGAAGTTCTTCGCTGAGAATTGGCCATAAGCATATGCGGCCCTTATATTAGGAGCCTCCTCTATTATGAAGAATTCTTTACCAAACATGATACTCCATAGACAAGCTGCATAGTAGGCTAGAGTATTAAGTTAATTGACTATTGCTTCTTATATCTGCCTCTAGACAGGTACGCCACAATAGTGTTCATGGAGATCATTGTGGTTTTATACACTGATTTGAAGGTTGCTTAAATCCGCGCATAACAGGCATTATAGTATTGGTGTATCTAGACATTAAGTATAGTATATTAAACAATACATAAAACAAAGTATACAGAATTTTAATGTACATTTCAATCAAGGTTGATGTGCTCTATACTTGTCTACAATACATATTGATATACATGTAGAGCATCAAAACTTCAACAAACCCTATGCTTAGACTTGATTTTCTATCTATCGCTGAGCCAAGTGATGCTGCCACAGTGATAAAGAGAATCCAAAAGATGTAGCTTAAGAGAGGGTTGACGTAAAACATAAAGTAAGAATATAAGACGCACAACTGGGCTCTATATGCCTAGCACTAGAAATGTACCATTAGTATTAAAGAAGTGGTAAAATATCTCACTTGTCTGGCCCTACTGCTCTCTACACCCATTTGCTTTACACTCTATCTATATAGAGTTTATCCATGCTTCAATATATTTATATATATAATCCATACACACTAGACCTATGTCATGCTTAATACCATCAATATCTTATGACATTGCCGATTGAATTCCAAAAAAGAGACTGGAAGCAGTTATCGGCTCCCTCGCCTTCCTCGCTGTCACCTCGGAGGTATCATCAGTATCTTCTGCAACAAATTCTATCTGAAGATATTCGCAAGGAATAATAATAGACACGTCTTGAGGTAAGAGTCTTCCCTATAACATCAAGGGCGTTGTCCTTGTCGCCTCGCTGTTTCTGGCCAGGTTTGCTGGCGGAAGCCTTTCCCCTGTTTACAGACGCAACTAGATACATATTATATAGTATATTTCCTATTGTAAACAATTAGGGTTTTGAGAATATTAGTTAATACTGCTAATATAGGACCAGTGAAAAATCACTCTCCTAGTCTGCATATACCTCGCCTACAATAGTAATATTGGCATATATATCGCACCGTCAGTATACTCGACACACAAGCATTCACTCTATTGATCTATTAATTCTAAAATCTTACTTATAATTTAACTATGGGGTTAAACATGACCAAGGATGTAGGAACAGATAGTATCCTATATAACTAAGCTATTATTAGAATAGTGAATCATTCAAAAGATTATGATAAAGTAAGCTGTTTTAGTGATCACCCAGTACACCTAAGATAGCCCTAACCTTAAAAAATGTAATAATATAGTTATTATCTAGAATAATCTGAAAGAGCCATGACACTGGCATATAGGATTAAGAAAAGGTAAGCAAGAATTAAGTCTAAATCATCTTTTAAATAGATTATTAATTATATAAATCTAAATTATAACTATAAGTTATCTATTTCTCTACTTCTATATATCTTTCTAGTGAATTAAATATGACAAAACCTATAACTTATACCTAAATATAGATCCACGGCGCTATAATTATTATCTCTTAGTAGTAATCTTTCCTTTCAACCTATAAATTTATTCTTGGTGTACTACTTGATACCCAAATATTCTATGATGTTGGATAATGTATGCTTATTCAAGCAGATTCTAAAATAAAATCTTTAGAATAGAATCCTCTCAAACTCGGCAATGGTTTCTCCCAGAGGCTTGAATGCCTCAATGAGGGTGACCGGGGCAGTGCCATCTGCCCGTTGTACATAATGCTTGGGCACATCGTCGACGACCAGGCGCAGCAGGTCCGGGCGAGAGTAATGTCCGACGGGGTCTGCCAACGTCTTGGCCTTGTCGATCTCGTCCAGGTCGATGTCGCAGTAGACGAGGCCGTCAAAGGTTGGGTCGGAATCCGCAGTGATCTTCCTCCCATCCGGGGCAAACACCCCTGCCATGCCGCCGCCGCCGCCGCCGACGGCGAAGGACTTGCCCGTGGCGGCATGGCCCTCGGTGTTCTTCTTCAAGCCTTCTGGAGAGATGGACTGGTTCGTGACGAGGACAAAGGCGCCTCCCTCGATGGCATACATGCGGCTGGCGGTGATCTCGTTGGCCTCACTGCACACCGACCAGGGCTCTGCGCCGGTGGCCTCGCCGTTGTACGGCCACGCGGCGACATGGACCTGTTCGTTCTGGGCGTAGGTGTGATATTTCAGCAGGGGCTGCAGGTGCTCCCAGCAGTTGAGCATGCCAATCCTGCCCAGCTTCGTGTCGACCACGGTCTTCAGCGAGTCCCCCGTCGAGTCGCCAAACAGAGTGCGTTCGCAGTGGGTGGGCTTGGTCTTGCGCCTGTGCAGCAGCACATCGCCCTTGTCGTCGATCAGCACCTGGGCCAGATACAGACTGCTGGCCACCCGCTCGCTGAACCCGAGAACGACGTGGATCCTGTGCGCCGCCGCGGCCTGACGGATCCGCAGCATCTCGCGGCCATGCGCACTCATGCTGTTCTTCATGTACTTGTGCACCAGCGGGATGTTTTCACTGTAGGTGCCCCCCCACAGAAAGTTGGGATAGCCCGGAATCCATACTTCGGAGAAGGCCACCAGCAGGGCGCCGTTGTGTGCGGCTTCTTGGATGAGTTCGATGGTGCGTTGGACGCCTCCCTCCAGGTCGAACCACACCGGTTCGGCCTGGGAGGTGGCAATCTTGTATTTGCGAATAGACATGGTGAAAGATGGCCGATGGAAGTTGCACAGAAAGAAGTTGGTAATGATAAGAAGGCTTATATAGCAGGTATTTCAGATCAACCAATAAAACAGTTGACCAATCTGATAAAGATAACATTCAACCGGAGTCTCATTATCCTATCAAGCAGTCTGGGGTAATCCCCGGGTAGCCATTATCCTATCAATGGTTTACTGCAAGGTGGATTCAAGATAAGGAATAATCTCCACGGAGTATGGAGTAGGGGTTATCTATGAAGTCTTCAGTATAAAGGGAGCTGCCTGTCTCGATGCTGACTGACCGTTTATACAAACATCAGCAATCATGGCGAGCCCAAACGCGGCAAGACATCTTACAACGTTCAACGTGTTGGTATGTTGACTCCAGTTTGTTTCACACTCCGGTGCTCAATAAGGGGATAGATTATTCTTTTCGCTACCCTGGGTAGTCTTACCTACGGGTATTGTACAAGTATCATCGCGACCACACTGGGTCAGCCCAGTTTCCTGGCGTATATCGGCCTCGACACCGCGCCCAATGCGACACAGCTCATCGGGGCGATCAATGGCCTATATCAAGCCGGGGGGCTCCTTGGAACCATCCTGGTGGGTGTGCTGGGGGACTGGCTCGGCCGCAAATATGCCATCTTTTGCAGTGCTTGTCTGTGTATCCTGGGTGGTGCGCTGCAGACTGGATCTGTCCATATTGCCATGTTTATGGTGGCGAGGCTATTAACAGGCTTCAGCATTGGTATGGCATTGAATCATACATATGTATATATCATATCACATACTGACGTCTGTAGGAGCCCTGGTCACCTTGATCCCCTTGTGGCAGAGTGAGATGGCACCTCCAGAGACCCGGGGATTGTTAGTCGGACTGCATGGTCTGTTTTCTTCTTCCTTCCAATACCGCTGTCTAATGCTCAACAGGCGTGTTCATTCTCATCGGCTACACCACCGCCAGCTGGGTTGGAGTGGGATTCTACTTTGTTCACGATAACAGTGTCTCGTGGAGGGTTCCGCTTGCCCTGCAGCTCGTCTTCCCCTTGGCCCTCGCAGCAGGAGTGCTATTCCTGCCCGAATCCCCCCGTTGGCGTAGGTCCTGTTGATCCCTGCGATGGTTGCGATGGTTGCCATTTGCTAACATTACTGGTTCGTTAGTGGTGGAGAGGGGACGCAGCGAAGAGAGTCTCACCATCCTGAAGCAGATCCATGGCGAGACGTTTGCCGAACAGGAATTCAAACAAATGTCGCGACAGATCGAGCTGGAAAAGACGCTTCCCAGCTCATGGGGCTCGATCTTCACCATTCCATCCTACCGAAAAAGAGCTCTCATTGGGTTTGCCTGCATGTTCTTTGCCCAAGGCACCGGGACCCAAGTCATCAATAGTGAGTCCACCAAGGGACGTATGGATGTAGTCCTTGCAGACTGACTCCTTAGACTATGGGCCCACCCTTTACGAGTCTCTGGGCTATGGAAAAGCGCAACAGCTCATGCTCTCCGCCGGCTGGATCACCGTCGGGATCTTCGCCAATATTCTGGACGCTATACTTCTTGATAGGGTAGGGAGGAAGTGGCTCATGAGTATGTTTCTCTTTGCTTCTGTGTCTCCTGTCAATCGGCCAACTGATTCTCTGCAGCGACTGGCCTGGCACTCACCGGCCTGGCCTTATTATGTGAGGTCGTTCTCCTCGCCGTGGCAGCGGGCAGCAAAGCGGGAAGTGCAGCGGCTGTTGCGTTTCTTTACCTCCATATCTGCTTGTGAGTTGGACCATGAAGCATTGCAAATCAAGGCTTATGATGGACAGTTACGGATCAACCCTGGATGCCAGTACCTATGTGTATGCGGCGGAAATCTGGCCAACACACCTCCGGGCCCGAGGCTGTGCCATCTCCACCAGCGGCCTCTTTGTCTCGTCCCTGATTCTCTTGATTTCCGCCTCGGATGCCTTTGCAGCCATCAAATGGCGATATTACCTGGTCTTCCTGTCGATGACAGCAGTGGGCGTCTTTGTCTTTGCCTTCTTCTTCCCCGAGGTAATGTCCCCCGTTCTCTTGTGCAGATGAAGGGGCTCGCCGACTGATCATTCTTGCATTTGCAGACTCGGGGTGTCTCGCTGGAGGAAATTGCCAAACAGTTTGGAGATCAAGTGGTTGACGTGCATCTGGATGACTGCGCTTTGGATGGTGATGACTGTGAACAAGGTTATGATATTCAGGGGAAAGAATAGACAAGGTTTATTCTTTATCTATCATAATCAACCAGCCTTATCCTACTCTAGATAACAAGCCCGCGGTGATTAATCAAATTGGCTTCACCTTCCTTATCTTTTCGTATCTTCTCCGAAGTTCCAACCATTCTGCCAAGTGGACAGACAATCGGTCACTGCCTGCAATAGCCATGCAACAGCCATCATCCCGGCAGCGGGTGTCTCTAGCCTGTACAACGTGCCGGGCCAGAAGAACTCGAGTAGGTTGATGCACTCCTTCTCCACAACCCACTAAACTAAACCCTCGATGCCAGTGCGATGGGCAGCTTCCAGAGTGCGGGACCTGCCTCCGAACGGGCCGGCAATGCGAGTATGTGCATGATGCAGAACGGAGGAAGTGAGTATGGATTCGAATTGCTGGCCTGGCTGGGGCACTGATATCGCGGGAACAGGCCGCCGAGTAAACGCTACATCGAAGCCCTCCATTCACGCATAGAGTCTCTGGAACGCCAGCTGCAGCAATGCCATCAGGAGACTGTTGATGGGGTCAAGTCTTCAGCGAGAGCGTCACGGAATCCGATCAATCCTTCAGCGGGAGCGTCACAGAATCCAGTCAATCCTCCAAGGGACCCGGTCGACGATCTGACTGACATCTATGGCCGCCTCGACGTCGCCGAAGATGGCCATCTGCGTTACTTTGGGGCCTCGAGCTATTTCAACATGTTGAGACGCCCCCCATACGATGGCGACACCACTGCACGCGGCCATCTCCCTATGCTGAGTCCTTCCCCGGCCTTGTCCTCCTTCCCTGCCCCGACTCAAGTGGACATCCCCCGCGAGGTCCAAGACCATCTCCTGGACCTCTACTGGACATGGCAGAATCCCTGGCAGTATCTGGTCCACAAAGATGCGTTCTGCAGAGCCCTGGAGCAAGGCCGGCATGACGAGTACTGTACTCCACTGCTCCTCCACTCCGTGCTGGCGTTGGCAGCGCGATACTCGGACGACATCTCGCTCCGCACAGATCCGGCGGATGCCAACACGGCCGGCGATCGGCTGCAGTGGACGGCCAAATCCATCTTGCAGTCTGAAGTCGAGCATCCGACGGTGTCGACCGTGGTTTCTGTTGCCATCCTGGCCCTCCGGGAGATGTCTACGAATCGAGAAGCCATCGGGTGGACTTATATAGGTGAGGCGCCCCGTCGTGGAATCAGAAAAGGCTCCTCTCACAATGCCTGTGGTTGAATCAAGGGATCGCAGTCCGCATTGCATACAATCTCGGGCTCCATCTGGACTGCACGCCATGGCGGAATCAAAACCAAATCAGTGAAGAACAGGCGGAAATCAGAAGAATCGCTTGGTGGGGGTGTTATCTGCTAGACAAGTATATACCTTATATATCCATCTTCCCTGCCCGAGCTTCACGCTGACCACTGTGCAGGCTGTTCAACATCGGGCTTGGAAGACCGAGCATGATTAAAGAATGGGACATCACCGCCCTGAAGCCATCCCTGCTGCGAACCGTCGAGTACTGTCCGTGGCAAGTCCCTGGCAATGGGGTGAACATCGCCATCCCCGTGTCGCGCAGTATCAGTAATATGCATTACATGTGCGAGATCTTCCAGATCGTTTCCAACGCTCTGGATCAAATGTCGGCTCAAGCTTCAATTCACCTCTCTGAAGTACACTCTAACTGATGGCCTGTCTAGTTACGCCCCCAATAGTCGTCTCAGTCTCGTGGAAAAGGAGGATTTGGCCAGCAAAACCTATCTTGAACTGGAGACGCTGTACAAGAACCTGCCCAGTTTCTTGAAGCTGCCACGCTCGGCTCAGAATCCTCGCCCAGCCCATACCTATTCACTGCAGTGTGTTTCTCTCCTTCAAACCATATAGTTGCATTGACTGACACTATGATTTTCCAGTCTTCAATACCATACGGTGACGATTCTGCTCCATCGGCCATTCTTACGCAGACGACAGGAACTTTCTCCCCTGTCTGAGCTTCTTGCATCGACCGATCTCACTCATAATCAGATCTGCACCGCCTCTGCGGAGGCCATTTCCTCCATAATGAAGGCCTATCGAACCCACTACACGCTGGTGAGTCTGGCGATATCCCTCCCAACCCTGCTCACGAAGCCAACCGCTGCTTAGAGACGCATCCCCATCTCAACCGTCCACGCCGTCGGGACCGGGTCCGTCGTCCATCTCCTCGACGCCACCTCTCGAGACCCTCTCAGGAGCCCGACGGCAATCCGACTGTTGAAATTCAACATGACCTGCCTCAAGGAGATGAGTACCGCATGGACATGGGGGCTACGGGCAATTCGATCCCTCCAGATCCTAGCTGAGGGATGGGCAGTGAATGAGAAGCTGTTCCTGCACGCACCGAGGGATGATCCTAAACACTCCAGCCAGACCCAGGACAGCATTCAACAGAGTAATGAGGTGGCGCCAGGCTGGTGGGAGGGCTCTCCCGCAAATAATATCAACTGGCTACTAGATTTTGATAGCGGGCTGGATCATGAACCGGCAGACATGTTTGATTTCAATAACGGCGTTTGGGCTATATTCTCTTGATTTAGACTATTCAAGTTCTCATTCTGGGAGATATAACCCTGAGATACTTTAAGCTATACAGATTGAGAATATAAGCTACTTTTTATGAAGGATATACTATTTTGATAGTAAACAGCTTCATGCTGACTTGAATCTTTTCTATCAGCAGAACCATAATAAAGCAGTGAATTAATATACTGAGTAGCAAGTATACTAGATATATTCATTAGACTAGTCTAACTCCTGTAAGACTATTTCTCTGCCAGGTGTGAACTAATATCCTATTAAAGAACGCTAACCAGCGGCGTCCCACGAACAAAGGAATCAAACTGATTAAGCAGACGCTCTGGAGACTGCGGATTCAAGGCACAATCTGACCAGCCCATTGCCTCAATCCACGTCTTGCTAAACGCTTGCCGCTCCATGGGGGGATTTCGCCAGATCCCTTGAACAGCTTCTCTCTTCTCGGGATTGGTCTTGCCAGGTGCATCTACTCCCTCCCAAGAGGCATCTGCTTCCCGGGGCGAGGGAATAGGAGGCGGCGTGATTGTGATGGTGTTTGTCATGCAGCTGACGGGGAAGGGCTGGATGGCGTCTTCGCATGGGCGGGCTTGAGGCATGCGTACACCAAGACCATAAACAGATGGAATAATGGGAGAGGAGCCATCTAATAAAGCAGACTTGTTGCTGGAAGGGGAACTTGGGTCTTCCAAGGGGTTATCTAGGGTTAGGTTAGGTTATGCTTATAGTTAGGGCTACGATTTGAGTGAGATCACTTACAAACAGACCAGAGAGCTGCAGGAAGACCTCCAGAGATTTGATCTGCCTGGAACTCTTCAGTCCCCTCGGGAGATGTGATGTTGACCTTGAGATCCGCCTCGAGTCCGCCGGTCATGTTGGTCAGATGCATCGGCGTGGCGAAGACCGAGGAGGCATTTCCCACGGGTTCATTGTTGAGGAATGGCTGGGTGGTGGCCACGTTCGACTTGACTTCAAAGACAAAAGTGCCTGCTCGCACCCTCCAGCACTGCTCGCCGTCCTCCATGAGCATACCGGCGCGACAGGAGATCTTCAGCTCCTGCCGCTCGCCCTGGCCGGATTGCTGCAGCATTTGGCGGAATCTCGCCAGATCCACCGGCCCTGGGACATTCCGACCACTGGGATCGCCAAATTCCACGGTGACGTTCTTGATCGGCGCTTTGATGGTGAATGTTCCATAGACGGGGGGCCCGCACATATGGAGATCCGCCGTGATATCGACCCCGATGGTGGTCCAGATACACAGCACGTACCCGCTCCAGGAGACACTGATATCGATCGCGACGTCGAGCACATAGTGGAAGGGCTCGAAGTTCATGAGAAAGTCGATCAGGGCCGAGAAGGAGGCATGCAAGCCGGCGACATCACAGGTGGCCAGCATGGCGGCGCCACCCATGCACAGCTTGGGGGTGATGGCAAAATAGGCCCCGGCGCGCACAAAGATGCGCTCGTCCACCTGCCAGACGATGCCCACGGCGGCGATATCCCGTGGGTAGTATACCGGCGGCGTGAAGTGCGGGTGGTAGCCCCCGAGAGTGAACACCCATTCCCCGGCATACGGAGAGGGATCGAACCAGGTGCTGGCGGCGAACCCGCCGGTGAGATGGCAGGCCGGGTCCAGCACATACGAGGTTGGCGCCAGAGCGCCCGCGACGAGGATGGATCCCTGCACCAGGTCGACGACGGCCATGATGCCGAGTTCGAGGGAGACGAACGGCTTCGGGGCGGGCTTCTTGGGCATCTGGGCGATGCAGTCGACGAAGAGGCCGATCTGCGAGAGCCGCGAATGCTGGATCTTGACGACGGCGGCGATCTTCGCATCCAGCATGTTGAAGGCGGATGCCTTGAGGCCGGCGCCCACCCAGAAGGACCCTTCTGTGGGCGAGATCCATCCGGACTCCTTCATCAGGTCCTGGAACGTCTGCAAGGGATCAATAGGCGGCTGTGGCTGTCCCATGGCCAGCAGGGGGAACGAGGAGACGGCCTGGGGGTCCGGGAATCTGAGATCCGAGTTGTAGCCAAAGCCCGCGACCACATCCGAGATCATGACGCCGTTGATGTTCAGCAAGGGCCCGCCCACGGACAGGATCATGAACGCCGTCTTGATCCCTGCCACAGTCCCGTACGCCCCCATGGCCTGGAAGAGGTACGGATCCAACGCCGCCAGGACGCCGCCGGCAAGGACAGTGTCCTTTCGGAGCAGAGAACCCGCGAGAGTCAGCGGCGGCGATTGAACCGCCAGCCCCAGCCCGGCCAGGGATGGCTTCAAGCAGATGGCACCGCCCGCCAGGCTGCGCAGGTCGAGAGCGAGCCCAAAGTCCAGCAGCTCCATCTCCACGGGGCCAACCTGCAGCAGGGCATCGACCACGACGAGAATCTGGCCATCGTGGAACTTGAGCCCCAGGCTGGAGATACGCAGGGGTCCCAGTTTCTTGCTGTACTTGGTACTCGACGTCTTGGAGGAATGCTGGATCTCCCTGTCGGTGGCAAAGATGCTGGGATGCAGGATGCTGGGAGCCATCCCTGGCTCCGGGCTCGCCTTTTCCTTGGCCTGTTCCTTGGACTCTCCAAAACAATGTTTCAATAAAACCTGGCCGTTGGCGATGATGCCGGTATGGAGGCCTGCCTGGAACGATTCATCGTCTTGCCCCAGAGAGCATGCCTCGGCAAAGGAAGAGTCCAGGCCGGCCAGCGTACTCTCGGGGATATCGTGGTCGGTCCAGAGCACGAAGAGGCTGTCAAAGGGCTTCTCCAGCTGTTTCAATAACGGCACATCCGGCATCGGAATGGTGAAAGACTCCATCTTGACGAGTAGAAGCCGTCGCAGCGTAGGGGGACTGCTGTCCTGATGCTCTGCGGCGGCCGTGTATTGACAGTACGTCACACTCAGGCTGCCAACCTTGATGGTGGTCAATAGGGTTATTGTCGTTTGTACATGCCCATCGGGAGTGGTGTGTGACTCGGGCTTGACCTGTAATGTCAAGCCTGGAGAGGTACCAGACTTGACCAGCACAATGCCGCCCACCAGGTCAATGATGCTCCCTAGGAGGCCGTCGCCAGGGCTCAATGCACGGAGGAGGCTTCCCAGGGTAATGTCCTGGGCGACGGGGTCGGTTTGGAGAGAGGCAAAGATCTTCCAGGGCCCATTCGAGGAGTATTCGTAGTTGAACTTCAGATGGGCGGCAGCAACATCGATCAAGCCGGTCATGGTGAATCCCGAGGCATTCTGGCCTGCTTCCATCGAGTACTGAAGGGAAAGCTGCCGGATCCCGATGGCGCTGAGCACCGTGACAAGAGCTTTCTGATGCTGCGGCTGGAAGAACTGCCAGAGATGGGCGAGCGTGAGGTCCATGACACTCGCTTCGACCTTCCAGCCGCTCGACGAGGCATACGCGATGCGGCCACACAGCAGACTCGCCCCCAGGTCGACGTCCGGGTGCATCAGCGCCGCGGGAGGCTGGATCTCGACGGCCAGCTCAAAGGCGACGCCCCAGGCATGACCCGCGGCCAGGCTGTAGAAGCAATCGAGGGCAACGTGGTCCAGCGAGATGACGGGCAGATCCGTGGCGGGGAGGGAGCAATCCTCGATTGTGCCCCAGATCCTGACCGTCTCGTTTTCATACGCGATCCCCAGCGCGACAATGTCCGTCGGGATGCCCGCCGGAGGCTGTGGCACGGTGACGCCTGGCAAGAGGTCGAGGAGGGAGACTGACGCTGCTGCTCCGGACTGCGGGCCAAAGTCCTTGAAGGCCTCGTACGCCGGCATGATCTGATACGGAGGCGACGGCTTCAGGGGCGGGAGATTGGGCGTCCACAGGCTCGCCTGGAAGCTGAGCGACTGGAGGTTTCCCGGCTGGCAGGCGATGGACAGGTTGACCGACACGTCGCCGCCATTGTCCTTCTTCTGGTGGAAGCTGGCCTCCAAGTCCAGCGATATCTTGCCGAGAGAAAAGGCCCCCTGTGTTGCTCTCCCTTGGGACTCGAGGATGAGCCTGCGGAACGCGATCTTCGGGAAGAAGCTGCCGGGGATGCTGCCGTTGATGTCGTCGAGGCTGGGGAGCGAGACCAGGGCCCCGAGGCCACGCAGGATGTCTTGGATGGCGTGGAAATTGGGGGCCGCCTGGATGGTGACGGCCGAGGGCAACGAGTCCTCGCGGATCACATCGATGCACACATCCAGCGGCACCGAGAAGCCGGCAATGACCAGCTTGCAATGCAGCCACGCCCAGGCAGTGCCTTGAACAAACGCATCCGTGCCTTTGCTGGTCATCAGCGTACTCTGCCATTTGAAGGTCATCCCGATCTCCTCCACCGAGAGGGCGTCTCCCAGCTGGGCGCCCAGCACGGCCCGCAGACGGCCCCTGAACGTCTCTTGCTCCTTGCTCGCCAACGAGAACTCCAACCGGACAGTCAACCGTTTGTTCAGCGCGGGCGTGAACCAGATGGCAGAGCCCCGTTGCGTGCCGGAGGATGGCCCGGCCTGTAACTGCCATGTCGTCGCCTCCACCATGGCCTGCCCTATCCCTGACGGGCCCTGGGGGTTCCAGACCAGCCACTCGCGGAGTTTGGCGAAGATGTCCTTGCCTGGAGCTGTCCAGGGTGAGTTTCCGGCCTCCATCCCGAAGCCGATTGTCGCCAGTCCGGGATAGATGCCCAGGGGGGATTTGGTTTGTAGTCCCAGGCTGGCGTCCAGTCGACTTGTCGAGAAGGTGGCGACGTCTTCAAGTTGCAGTCGCAGGCTGTGGAAGCTGTCAGCATCAACCGAGTCATCAGTAAAGACAGCGACGAGGCTTTTGCATCCCGCCCAGCATCGCATCCACTGCAACCAGCGGTCGTCTTGATGAACCGGGACAAGGTACTCATCCCCCTCCCTCCTGGCCGTGGTCGTGTCGAACCCGAGGATGCCGCCAGGGAGCGTCGTCAGGAAGCGATCAAAGGCGTGGCCAGTTGGCAGCTGCACCGTGATGGGAGGCAGGTAGGAATGCTCGCCGAAGACGAAGCTGCTGCAGCAGAGACCGCAGGGGATGGTTGGAGAGATCTCGACCGGCCCAAGACGCTTGCCAGGGCGTTCAAAAATGACCTCTTCCTCGTCGTCCGACGCCGCCAAGACGACGTTTTTGGGTGCGCGAGAGGCAGCCTTCTTTATTCTAGATGCGATCGAGTCCTCGGCTTTGAGGGACGTTTTCGACATCCTCGGTGATTTGGATTCCGTGAACCCACGCTTGCTGGGATCCCCGCTGGGTTTCCACGGTTCGAAATCGCCGTCGCGGTGGCGGCGGGCAAAGAGCTTCGTCAGAAGCCGTTTGGAGCTGGCCTTGGCCTGAAAGGCGGCCACGTACCAGATCTGGTCCTGCGAGGTCGTCGCCGAGCCTGTCGTGTTCTGCGAGGCCCCCGCGATGGTCGTGGCGTCCACCGTGGAGTATTTGTTGTACTCATCCTCCAGCTGGCTGACCAGCTCTTGATACGCATCCAGTCGAGGGACCTTGTTGTTCGTGGTGTGGTCGGCCGCCCATCGTTGGAAGCTATCCCAGATGCTCTCGCGGTTCAGTTTGGCCTTGTCGTAGTAGGTCTTGATGGCTTGTTGGAACCTGGACAATATCACCTCCTTCTTCGTCGTCTTTTTGTCGCCCATTTCCAGGAACGGCTGCACGGTGAAATACCGGTACATCTTGTAGTCGCCATCGTCTTTGGTGACCATCCAGTGCGGATACTGGGTCGGCCAGAGGGTCATTGGAAGATAGGCGGCTTGAGTGGCAAAATAGGAAAACAGCACCAGGAGGGTTTCGGGGCCTATAGATTGTTAGGTCAACTGGTACATGCAACCCTAGGGCTATAGCCCTAGGGTTAGACAACCCTAGGGTTTAGGGTTAAGTAGGTTTAGGGTTGGCTGCATGGTTTGAGGCTAACCCTAACCCTAACCTAACCCTAGGGTGATAACCCTAGGGTTAGGGTTAGGTACAACCGTACTTACTAGGATGTCCATGTTTGCCTCCCGCAGAAATGATGATGTTCTTCGGTTGGTACATCTCAAACATGTCCAGCGGCGTCGACGACTTGGCGCCATGGTGGCTCAGCTTCATCGTCGGGATCCTCCGACCGATCCATGCCGCCACCAGGTCCTCGTTGTCACAATTCAGATCGCCGGCAAAGTAGTGGGTGACCTCCCCCCCCGGCCACACGATGATATTCGCAATCGACTTCATGTTGGTTTCGGTGATGGTTGCATCGAGCACGCTTGTCCCCGGCCACTTATTGGTGCTGCATACGCAGAGCATCGCCGGCGCGTCCGCTTGCCCTCCAGCTCTGCGAGTGTCCCTGTACAGTTCTGCCGTCCCCCCGGGAGGGAGGGAGCCGTCTCCCAGGACGCCATCGAAGAAGTCGCTGCCGATGAGCCCCGGGCCATGACAGAACCGGGCGACGGGGCGACCATGGCCGCCGATCACCAGCACCGTGTCCTTGCCAGGTTCCACCAGCTTGAAGCTGCTCTTGGGAAATTTATCATCCGGCGCATAAATAGTCGACACCGGAACCGTCTTCTTATCCTTGTCCTTTTTGTACTTGAGGAACGGGATGTCGTCGTCTCGGTCACCGCCGTGGTCCCTCATCAGACTCACCACCCCCTTCCAGTGATCCGTGTCCCAGTGCGTGATGACGATCGCATCCAGCGGCAGCCACTTGGCCTTCTTGCAATTGGTATACTGCGCCGGCAGCGCCTTGAGCAGCTTGAACAAATTGAGCACTTCAGGCAACGTTCCATCCCCGCCGTCCACCAACACGGCTTTGTCCAGCGTGTAGACGAGATTGTCGTCCTTGTCGATCGTCACCTTGGCCCTCACATGGACGGCGGCATCGCCGGCACCCACGTTGACGTGGAACGACTGCACCACATACTCTTGGGACATTGAGCAACTATCGCAATTCTCTTCACCCTTTGCTTGAGTTTTTTGAAGAAACAGAGGCAGTCCAGTACTCCGTACGGAGTACCCATCTTCTTACGTCGCCTGTGACGCTATCTCAGGCTAGGAACGCCTAGTAACAGCGTCTCAATACCAGGTATTACATTCCGTCTGCTCAGCCCCTCGGACAAGTTTAAAAAATTATAACAGACCGTTTAAAATTATAATACAATTAAACATCCTCACAATGGATCCCTCACACCCCCGATATCTGACCAAACTCCACGACGCCCAGGTGAGACATGCACAACGCACAACGGATCAACAGCGCCTGTACTCCTTCCATGCCCCCTCCCTCACAGCGGGCAGGCGGACCATCTCGGTCTCGCAGGAGGTGACGGCCCCGAACAATCCCTCCTTCACCCTCACAGCCTCCCAGACATTCCAGGTCGTGGCTCCACGCTTCCATCTGCCCCCGACGGATCTCCATGCCATCTATCCCCCTCCCGGGGGCACCATCGCCAGCACGACGCTGCCCTACATGGTGTTCAACGACCCCCATCTGCCCTGGGAGCGACGCCCGGCGGCGGCGGCATCACCGTCCCCGGGCGCGGACGAGAGGATCCGTCAGCCCTGGCTTGCCCTGTGGGTGTTTCGCCCAGACGAACTGCTTCTGCCCTTGGGTGAGGAGATCCTGCGCGGCAAGAGTCTGTCGGAGTCGGGCAGTGTGCGATTGCCGTGCTCCCAGCTGCTGGGCGCCGGCATGCCCACGCCGCTGCGGACAAACGCCCTCGAGCCCGACGAGGAGCAGATGGAGGCCGACTTCATCTTCGTGCCCCGGGCGCTCTTCCATTCGTTCACGCGTGGCTACGGGCCCGACGGCACCCCATTAGAAGGGCTGGATCTCTCCCCGTACGGCTACCTGGCGCACGTTCGACAGGTCGGCGGCGACATCTTGAAAAGCGCTGCAGCCTCAATGGAGGACCGGTTCAGCGTGGTGATGGCCAACCGGACGGGCCCCGGCGACAACAAGACACCCGTCAAGGCTGTCGCGCATTTGATCTCACTCGAGGGGATCGACGACACCTTCTCCCTCGCCGATACCGACCCGTTTGTCGCCCTGTGTTCGCTGCACAGCTGGGTCTTTGAGTACGCCGTCGATGACGACCAGATCAAGACCCCGGGGAATCCCATAGGCAACATCGACGTCCTTCGGCCTCCATCACGGACATGGGCGCCTCTGGTGGCTTCCGACAACCCCGTCCAGCAGCAGGTGGGCAAGCGGTTGCGCGACGGTTACTCTCTTGGGCGCTATCGAACCCTCTCCGGCGAGGAGACAGTCGCCTTCTATCGCGGGCCCCTAATCCCAGGCCTGCCGCCCCCGAACGCAGCCCTAAACGCCCCCATCCATCTGTTCGCCTCCCAGCTGCAGATCCTGGATGCCCAGGTCGGCCTGCCGGATAACTCATATATGGCCGCCTGGAACCTGGGCAAAGCCAACGCTCTGGCAGACGAGCGGTTCCTGGAGGCTCTGGTGCGTCTGCGCTCCGCCATCTTCAGACGGGCGCTGCTGAGCGCCAAAGGGTCCATTCTCCAGACCGAGGAAGATGCCCCCGGCGCGGTATGGGGACGCATCCACGCCGCCAAAGACGCCCTCTTGACGCTGTCCGGGGAAGCCCAGGATCCCACGCTCAAGTGGCGGCCCATCACGCAGCAAGAGGAGCCCGGTCTGGGTCTCTGGGATCCCGCCTTACGCCAGAGCTTCCAGGATGCCGTGGCACAGGAAGCAGCGCACCGGAGCCAGGCTCTCACAGGCGATCTGTATGCCGAGGGAGACAGCCCACGAAGCTCGGACTGGGCGGCCCTCCTGGCGTGGCTGCTGGACGCCCTGTGTCTATCCAGGGTTCCCGCAGACCTCTTGCTGCCGGAGCCACAGAGTCTGTCGCCGGGCTCCCTGCGCTTCTTCTCCCTCGATCCCACATGGATGAACGCCTATATCGATGGCGCGCTGAGCGTGGGAAACCATGTCGAGGGGGACCAGGACTCGGTCCGGGTGGCGATCAAGAACAACCTGCAGGCGTTTCTGGATTCCACAAACCCGACGCTGGGATATCAACCTCAGATCCCGACCTCTGGCTGTCTCATCCGCTCTCCCCTGGTCGCCCATCACCCAGACCTGACGATCCGGGCGCCCCGAGCCGCCGGTGATGCCAGAGCTCAGGTCCTCCAGCGCCTCAGGCTGGCTCCGGACGTTCTCTTGCTCCTGTTCGACCGGCCGTTGACCACCACCGGCTTCCCTGAGGGCATCCGCATTGTGCCGCCGCCGCATGAGCAGAGCTTCGTCGTGACCAACGGACGCATGGCCGGCGACACCATCGAGATGGTGTACAGGAACATCCCTACCCAGCAAGGGACGCCGCCCAGGGAATGCATGGCACAGATCGCCGTCGAGAGCCGGCAGAAATCATGTTTCGTCCGTCCTGACGGGCTTGTTCTCGCCTCAAACGTCGCTCATGACGTTTATGACTTCCTCAAGTCTCGTCCGGAGCTCAAATTCACAGAGCTGGCCCCGTCTTCCGCCATGTTGGCCCTCCACTTTGCCGAGGCCCTGCAAGAAGTGTACATCCCCTTGCCTGATCCCGAGCCCGATCACCCGGGACAAGACGGTTTCCACATCACCATGTTGGAAATGCCAGATCTTCATCGTCTGGGAGATGGCTATACACAGCGACAGGGCTACTGGAAGCATAAAGACGCACCACCAGTGTCTTCCCTTGCTGAAATCACCTCTCAAAATACAACTCTGCGCCCCCCATATTGGGCCAAGATCTCGACGTCTGCAGTGGAACAACCTGGGGGAACCGTATCGCCTGAAACATCACTTCCCCTACCGTCGGAGAGTCAGTATCGACTCCAGATCCATGCCTTGGGGTATCCAGTCGGTGAAGCGAAGCTGCCTCGCGATTCAACCAGGCCGCTGAGTCTGGTCTTTGCCCTGCAGAGAATATCAGACGAACAGTCATACCTCCTGCGGCAGCTCCAAGTTCATATCCCGTCCGGGCCAGATGGACTACTGGGACAAGGGTATCGTGGCCCGGGGGCGACTATGGCGAATAATATCCGCTTTCTGCCTGACATCCGGAATCTGCCAGGGGAGGTGATCGTGACGCTCTCGCCGCGCAGCAAGGCACCGATTTCCACCTCGCCGCGGAGCTGTGAGACCAGCATGAACCGCGATCTGACCTTTATCCTGCGTGAGGCGTCGCTATATGCAGCAGGTACCGCGGAGCATCTCTTCACAGTCACCGTCCATGAATACTATGGCGAGAGTTTGGAGCCGGTGACGTCTACAGCTCAAGTAGAACTATGAGCATGAGCTCTTTTCTTAACAGTCTTATGGATTACTGTTTAGAACACATAAGGCAGTAACAGCCTAGGATTTAATAACCCAAGTCCTGCGTCAATTCCTCAATTTGAATTCATTCCTTAATCCCTATATTAATTCAAGATTCTTTATAGCCACATAGTACTAGTTATGGAAGTTGATAAATTATAAACCTTCTAGGCGTCTATCCTTAATGGCGAGAATATATGGCAGAGAATCCCTAATAAAAGGGGTGTCGCCTGCCATGCTTTATATATTGTGTATATATTAGATATGTCTTGAATAATAATAACTACTACTATTAATTAGGGCTTGATGAATAATGATGATTTTAATTTCATCTAGTCTGGGCCACTGTTGGTTGATACCTTTAACTTCTAAGATTATACCTCTTTATTAACTCAGTCAATTTATATATAGAACATTTTAAAATATCCAACATATATAATAGATTTTAGAACTAATTGATTACTGTCAGGAGCATGTTAGTATCCATCCTAGCATTAAACTAACTATAAACTAATGTATAACCACCATCAAGAAGATCAGTCTAGATACCTAAAACCACATCTGGGCTTGACAAAGGGTCACGCTGGCCAGCGGCCCGTCTGGCTGCTACCTCATCCAGTGGATTATACCCGGCGGTAGGCCGGCTGGGAGGCTGTTCACCTTTGCCTACATATCCTGCCCACTGCCTCATCAGATCATTATGCTCATGGCCCAGAATGCCACACAAATAGGTAAATATCGACATGTAGTCAGACTGTACTGTGCTCTTCAAACAGGTCATGAGCTTTGAATCACCACAGGCGCCCGTGGCCCCAGGGGCCCCGGGGGGCCCATTATCGCCCGGAATCCCGATGGTCGAATAGACGGCGAATCTCGCCCTGGCCCTGTCATCCTTACACTGAACCTCCAGCCGGCCTCCATCCCCACCAAACCCCCCGGCCCCGGGAGTGCCGGGCGCCCCCCCCGGGCCCCCCAGAAACGTGCTCTGGACCAGGGTTGCGTACTCCCGGTCCCGCGGAAGGGGGCAGCGGGAGACATTATCAAAGTGGTGGCCTTCAAACGCCGCCCGTAGATCTTCGGACATTCGATATGTTGTTTCGTTGTCGTAAGAGGAGCTCAGCCCCCAGCCGCCATCCCCGCCATCGCCCCCGGGACCCCCGCGCCCGCCTCGTCCCCCCCCGCAGCGTGCCACGAAGAAAGTCCGCTCCTCGCTGCCCGCTGCCAACCGGCTGGTGTCGATCTCGTCCGCCCGGAGGATCAGAGACCCCGCGTCTGCACCCCGGGCGCCCGTCGCCCCCGCGGCACCTGCCGCGCCCGCCCCCGCGCCCCGGCCCGAACCTTCCTTGAAACGCGGCACCTTGGGGCTGTACCACACAGGGCGACCCTCTTCAATCTCGATCCTGGCGTCAACTCCTTTGTTCGCCAGTTCTGGCTTGGCGGGCGGGTTCTGGGTCGCGTCAGCCCCGGGCAGATGGAACACCACCGGGACGGACGGGCCCGGTTGGGTGGGATGCGGTAGGAAGATGGCCCGTTTGCACTGCAGATACAGCGTGGTGTTGGGGCGGTAGTGGTACTGGGCGCCGGCGATGAAGACAAGCTCTTTGGCCTGGATCCGGAATGCCTGGCGGTCAGGGGTCCCCGACAGCGGCAGCCAGAGCGTCTCGAAGGAGTCGTGGGCGACCACGCCGGGGGGGAGGGCCGTCTCTGGGACGGCTCCTTTGGAGGGCGTGAGATACGCCGTGCGTGGGATTATATAGCGCGTAGGGATGTCCATATTATTAGACAGAGCACAGTCAGTAATTGTGGACAGTGAAATTCTAGGTGGTCAATTGATGGTGGCAAATACGTCGCCATCAAGGTCAATCAGAAACAATCTTTACCAGGGGCTAGAAGAGACCACATGATAAATAAACAGATGCAGATGAGGTTATTTAGAGCGAGCAGCGCACCAATCATGTTGAAAGAATATATAAAGTACGGTATATTACTGAAATACACGGACCAGACAGTACTGTAAGTTTGCCAGTATAAAGGAGGTTTTTAAAAGACACTGCTGTCCTAATGGTTTGAGACACTGCTGTCCTAATGCTATCCTTCAAATCATTGCCAACAACCATGACGACTCCCGACGCATCTCTGCTGGTCCCCATCAAGCTGGATATCTTCGCCATTGGCGATCCTGCTGCTTACGCCTCACACTGTCCCAGCGTCACGCTGCTGCCCACCAACCCGTTCGACTATTCACGCCTACGCCTGGAGCCCAAGACTCTGCACGCCGACCTGCAGGAACACGCCGACTTTGCGAGCGCACGCCCCGCTGCAGCGAACCCCCGGCTGGTCGATGTGGCCACAGGCAGGCCCCGCGACAATGTTTCGGGCGTGTATCTCTCCTGGACGCTGCCGCAGATCTACCGCCGGGAGACCATCGCCCTGCCGGGGGCCCCGAGAGCCCCGGGAGCCCCGGGGGTCGTGGCCCCGGCAGCGCCTAACCGCTGGATGGTGGCCAGGGTAACGCGCAGCCCGGCGACCAACGCCGGCTGGGTGATTGAAAGCGATGTATGCCGACATATCGATACAGTGGACGCTTCGGTCGACCTCTTAACCGAAGCAGCGCTGTGCATGGCCCCGACGACAGGCGGAGCTCCCTCTACTGTGTCCCTGGAAGGACAAGGCGAGTACTTCCTCGGTGCCCAACGGCCCCTGGAGAACTGGGTAGAAGAGGCAGCAGAGACGGTTCGCATCAAGCCTTTGACGGCCAACGGGGCGGGCAATGTGCTGTTCGCCGACTACCAGCCGCATAACCCTAATGTCTTCAGTTTCCGCGATCCGCTCGACGGTGTCCCTCCAGGGACCCAGATTGGGTATTCCGTGGTTGGGTGGCATGCGGATGCCGCCGAGGACCCGTTCATGAGGCAGGATGGCCAGGAACAGGTTACCAATGAGGATCTCCTCGCCCAGTTCGGGCTGCGACTGGATGACAGCCCCGGGGCCGCACCCTGGACGGCGTCGACCCTGCCGGCGCGACATCTCTGCCATGGCAGCACGTACACGCTGCTGACTTGGAGCCCGGAGTCAGGGGCATCCCCGCCGCCGGATGACCCCAAGATCTCGGCTCAAGCTGCAGCAACACGGCTGCAAGCCAAGGGGAGTGTTGCTGTTGGGGCGGACCCGATGGATGCATTTGGGGCGTTCCTGCACTCCGCTGGTAGGGGCCAGACGCATCTCGATTTCCGGACGCTGCAGGCCCTGGCCGCCAGCGGGAGACCCGACGCCGCGGTGGACGAGCAGACGGCCGCAGAGCAGAGACTCGCCATCCTGCGCGAGTTCAAGGTGCTGGATGGAGGCAGTCGCTGGAAGGTGCAGCCCGCCGAGGAGAAGAATACCTCCCAGGACTCTGCCCTTACCATGCGGCTGGACAGCAGGCAGAAGACGGCATTGCACCAGCTGCATGAAGCCCAATGGGCCTACAATCACTTGCAGTTCAACCTCGACCACCGCCGCTGGAAGCTGTTCTGCGAGTGGTGGCGCTGCATCAACGCCGAGCAGGACGCGGCCAGCGAGGCCTCCAGCGGGATGAGGCATACCCAGCTGGTCGCCGAGATCGCCACGCTCCTCGCCGCACTCGAGAGCCTTCAAGATGAGCTGGCAGGGCTGCAGAGCGCGCTCCCAGAGGTCGTCAAGGTCCCTGATGAAGCCTTTGTGCGGCGTAAAGACCCGACGCTCGCCCTGCTGGGCTGCCGCTCCCCCTGGCCCCGGGGCTTCTCAGACGCCCAGCCGGTGCGGCTGCTCCGCCAGTGCGTGAGCGTCTTCCAGCCCGACCGGTTCGGCGTGGAGGCCTTTGGTGAGGCCGTCGACATGGCCGACCGCATCGTCGCGCTGCCCGCCGCTGCCAGGGCTGTCCACGGCGAGCACTGCGGGTATATGAGCGTGCGTTGCGGCGATCCATTGCCGCCGCTGGCCCCCGGGCAGGTTGAACCGCCGTACCGTGACGCAGTGTATAACACGGCAGCGATAGTGGACAGCCCCCTGGTCCCCCTGTACATCGAGTGGGAGGCGGAATACTCGCACATCCCCTACAGCCTGTGGGAGCCGCGACAGGTCCCCGGGACGAGGGGGGCGGCCCAGGCATACTGTGAGCTGGTCCAGGGGGTCACCGCCACCACCGCGCTCTCTGCCCACAGTCTGGAGCGACGTGCGCTGGGGGGCCGGGCGATCATCCATCCAGGGCCCGGCCACTCGCTGGCCAACGCCCTGCGGCAGTCAATGGCAAGGATGCCGGCGCAGGTCTTGAATGAAGAACTGCCGGCTGGCGAGCGAGAGTCGCTCATTGCCAGCCTGGAAAACGACATCCCCGCGCTGACATGCCGCCTGGATGGACTCTCGGACCAGCTCACCACCCTCATCAGTGGCACGACGCATGTACGGCCGACCCTGCCCGACGGGACTGTGCTGGACGACGCCGTCCGGGCTGCCCGGGGCGCTGGATTCACCCGCGAGACGCTGCGTCTGGTGAAGAACCAGTGCGACCCGGTCCCTTATGGCGATGCCGTCGACCCAGACGCGGTCTTTGTCCCCGTCACCCACGGCCAGGTCAAGTTCACCAAGCTGAACGTGATTGACAAGTTTGGCCGTGGCGTGGAGATTATGCGCGGCCCAGATGGACTCGCACCCTCTCTGTCTGCCGGGTACATGCCATCCCCCCGGACAGACAGCGACTCGGGCAGGGAAGTTCCCAATATCGTGGCCCCTCGCGACGACGACAACTGTGAGTATTTCCAGCTCCCGCCCTCGATCAACCAGCCGGCGCGCCTGGTGAGTGCCTATCTCCAGCCGGGCGCCGACGGCGACAGCCCCTGGGTGCGCTGTAGTGAATGGGAGGACCCCGTCTGCGGGTATATCATGTACAACAGCGCCGATCTCTCCTTGCAGGTCTTCACGGCAGCCGGGGCTCTGTACGCGGAGGTCTTGACGTTCCCGGGGGGCGACAACGCCCCGAGGAGGAGGGCACGATGTAGTGTACCCCCGGGGAGACAGGAAGACGATGCCTTCTCTGGCGGATGGAAGACCGCCCTTCTGGATCGGTATATCAAGGCGCTGCAGACGCCCCAGTACGCCCTGCGCATGGTGGAGATCCTGGGGGACGCGGCGAGCTGCTCAGCGCCTCCCCCGGCGTCGTATTCAGCGGTCATGAACGCCGGGTTTGGCCGTCCCTTTGCCCTGGCGGTTGCCGGATGGTCTATTGAGCTGTCTCATGAGCCACTTCAACCACAGACGACGGCCTGCCAGAGCCAGACAGGGCCAGCCCTGTGCGATTATGAATTCCCGCTGCAGCTCGGGCTCAAGCAGCACTCCGAAGACGGGCTGGCAGCGTATTTCCCCATGCTGGACGACGACTCTCTGCAGCCGGACTTTGGCGAGATCCATACCTTCTGGCCGGGTGAGGCAGTGGACAGCACAGAGACCAATACCTTCACCTGTACGCCGATCCATGCTGCCTCCCTGCCGACTCTTCAGGCGCATCATGTCGACCCCTTTGAAGGGACGCAGCTGCGCACCGTGAGGAGCATGGCTAGGGAGAGAGACGAGCAGCTGCGCCCCTTTGGACTGCTGGTTGATGTCTTCCACCCGCTGACGGCGCAGACGGGGGTGCTCCCGCCTGCAACACTGCCGCTGCCCGCGGCGATGGTGCACCAGGCGTTGAAGTCGATGCGAGTTTCCTTCCGCTCAGGGCCCTTTCTCTGCCGTGACGATCCGTTGCAGTCTGTGCCGGACCCTGCAGCGCAAGACATCCAGCCCCCGGGTATTGATGCGATTCCTGTCCTGCCGTACGGTAAGTGGTCGTGGCTGCAGCCCTATATCGCAGACGGGCAGACGCTGTATTCCAGCTGCAAGATCAACAAGAGCGCGCAGTCTGGCTCGTTGAATATCGATGTGAACTATCCATATACCATGGTCGACGGTATTCTCCAGTCTGATGAGCCTCTGTTGCAGACCTAGGGTTTTAGAACCTATATCCCTTGCATTACTTCTTCAGGCCATAGTTGATTAAGCACAAATTATATCAAAATGAGCAATGTTCCTTGTCTATAAATGAGTATTCCTCGGCCTGCCCTTATCCCTAACCCTCATCAGCCTCCCTAAGCAGTCAGCAGCGAGTATAGAGTGGCCCTATAGGAACTCGCCAATACACGAGGCTGTGCTGGACGCCTAATGCAGGGATTAGTGTTTAGTCAGTCTTCTTGGAGGGATTTATCGGAAACTGGTTATATTATCAAACACGCCGAGTCGAAGCTCAAGTATATTCATTACTTTCATTTAACAGGTAATGGTTAATGTTTAGATTAAACTTCCCACACATATTATAAGTGCACCAGCAATTACTCGAAAACTCTTCGTATGTTCTTACACAATCGAAATATATTTTTTGCTAGATTGTGTATTTCCTTACAACTCGTTATATAAATCTATCTAGAGCTGGATCCTAGCATCAGCTTCAGTAAAGGCGTCTCATTTGACAAGTTAAACCCCAATTGAAATTCTATAATGATATAGTTTCAGTCTGCCTGTAGTTCTCGCTTGAATGCATGTAATTGGTGAATAACTACTGTACCTGAGCCTGGTATCGCTTAGAAGATGTACACCATTTAAGATGTGTCTCTGCCAAGGTCAGCTGGGCCCTGGCGACGTCCAATGCTGACGATGCATGAGGTCCTGCAATCTCTGAGAGCTGCTTGAACTTGTCAATTGCTCGGAAGACTGCTTGGTTGTGAATGCTGTAGATATGAGACACAGCTTCTGTTATGTCCCCTATTTCACTTCCCTTTTTGTAGATAGGGATACCATCCCCCACAAAGTTTATGGCACTCATCATCTCCCCATTCTCAATATCCTTTTCCAATCCTATAAGATCATTCTGTAGACCGGTTATGAGGTTGATGTCGTTTTGGATATCGGAGATTAGATCGAGGCAGTTGGGCGGAAGTTCAGTGCGTTCAATCAAAGCGAAGAAAGGCGCCACTCCAATTGTGCGAGTACGGATGGCCAGATATGTCGACAGATCCGAAGGCAGAAAACTCTGACGAAGACACATCTCCCTCTGGAGACCTTCGATAACATTATAAATCTTTCCAAGAAACGGAGTTATCTCGCTTTCTAGCAGGTAACGGCTGCAGTGCTCCCGGAAGCGCTGCCCTGTCAGAAGAACATTCTTCCTTTCAATATCCAATGCTGCATCTATATCACAAAGATAAAGTGTTAAATTTTGAAAACATCTGTGAATTGATCAGAGCATCTTACCGCACGGAGGGGATCCGCCGTAACGTATCACGTCCATGAACTCGAACAAGATGGAAACAGCTCGATTCGAGTCCATTTCTTCCAGGACGTCATCAATATGGCAGAGCGTTGCCAGCCATGCTGCCATACAGACACAGATTTTGGAAATGTGTATGGTTGGGAAGAAGAGACGTATGACTTTGACCTCCATTTCGGCATGCTGGAGGACTTTATCATTGTCTGTAGGTCCTCCAGGCAAGGACAGCCGGAATTTAGAGTGACCATCGATCACGTCGGCGAGAAGATCCTTCCCCCCTTCAAATCCCTCATTCTCCGGTGCATCAGAAGCTATGCCTGTCAAGCAGTGATGGGGCACTCTAAGCTACAATAGTCAGCCCTCGTGTGTTGAATCTGGTGGCCCACTCCAATCTCACTTTCATTGCAACTGAAATTTTGCTCAAGTATATAGTGTATGTTTTGGTAGAAGGCGGATCAATGTCGCGACCTTGTAAACGTGAAGGCGCTATATCCGCTGCCATTGTGTTTGCGACGGCTCAAGTAATAAATAGTAGGCAGCTCTATACGAAGAGAATCAGATAAGTGAGGAAAGGAAGGATGGAGGTGCGAGATTGGAGACATGGCCTATATTATAGTACAACTCACCTTACCAGTCACAAGGCTTACCGACGTCACGGCATTAGATTGAATACTCAGAGCTGCATTTAATGCTTAACTCTATTTTTAGGTAATATGATCAACATGAAATTCCCGGAATATAAACCTTCGGATGCTAATTGGGCCTACAAAATATCAGGAGGGTCAACAGAATTCTTACAAGGCTTAGGTCTGATAGTTAAGTACTATTAAGGAATATTATTCTTTTCCCTTACTGTCCGCAGCATGTAGGATGTGTTTGGAAAGATACAGAGAGAAAGGTGTTTCTAGTATCAATATAGATATATAACAATTTTGAGTATTCTTACTACTTGCCTATACATGCTATTAGATATAAGAGTATTTCACATGGTCATCTGATGACGAACCAGGTTTTATTTACCCTTACATCAAGGCGTTCATTATTGTGGTGGTACAACATTTTTGAAGCACGTTATCCTATCAAAATCACTGATGAGTTGAACCTTGAAGTCATATGCAATTATCAGGCCTTGAGGGCCTCTGGTGCTTCACCTCCAAATTGGCCATGGATTTGGCTTTACCCCATGGGAAAATTCAAAAGTCCTAGCAAAGCTCCCCATCTACACGTTAATATTATATTAAATATGGTCTTGAATGGACCCTACATAGTTTTAATTCTATTCTAATAAGAGTATTTGACATCAACCCCTTGCATAACACTCTATTTAGTCTATACAACTAGTTTCTTCATGCCAGAAGTAAACCCTGAAACATCTACCCATGCATCGATTTGGAATGCTGCCTAAAGGTAGCACAGAGTGAATGGTGGATGAGGTACTATCTTCTAGGCAGGATCGAGTAATTTGTCTATCTTGTCCTTCTTAAGGAAGTTTCTGAAGAAAGAGATTCAAATCCCGAAATGCCCCGTCGCAAGTAGGGGATTGCAAGCCCACACACAGCCCAAAAAGATTGTGGGTCTAGAGGCAAAAGAGTCATCCTTATGATGTATCATTTGTGATCTAATTAATTTAATTATTTTCATCTGATAGACCCTCTGTAGCCAGAAACTTTGCATACTCAGAGCCGGTTTCTTCTGCATCTGTTGCACGCCTGGAGCCGGCACTGGGTGCATTCGAAGATATACCGGTAGAGATAGTGGGAACATTCCTCGCATCGATGAGGGCCGTTTATGAACCTCCATCGAGAATGGTTGCACTCATGGTTCTCCCGCAGCTCCTGCATCGTTCTCTCCACCAGAAGCTCTCGCAAGGTCGGCCTATCGGGGGGCGGTTCCAAGATGGGAACTTGAACCTCGCCTACTGCTATTCCTTCTAGTTCTTCATCTGACTCTTCGATTACATCGAGAGGCTCATCTGCGTCTTGAGGAAGACGGTCATCCGGTCGAGGGTGATCAGCAACCAGGGGAGGGTCTATCTGTCGATCAATGATCTGGTATGCACGGGCAAGAAGACGATGCTCGTCCCACTGTTCACATGCACAAGCCTTCCACTTCTGGCCACAGTTGTAACAAAATTGAGCACCACAGACACAGCTATTGGCACCTTTGATTAGATGATCATCACTGCAGTATGGAATGAAGGGGGTACAGACGTCATATGGTTGCAACCATGGTCCAGCTCAACCATGCGCCAGCAAGCATAACACCGCTGCCAGCCATTAGTCTGTGCTGTGGTGAGGAGCTGTTGCAGGGCCGTATCGTTCGGGCAGTCGCCTGTGTGTGCCCGCGCCTTGCAGCTGGTACAGGTGGTGCGTCCGCAGTCTAGACAGGTGGCAACGTCGCCTGCGATGTGCGCTGGGGCAATAAAGGCCGAGCATCCAGCAGAGTAGCAGTACGTTCTATTTGGCGTTTCAAACTCGATCTTCTTCTTTTCGAACTCCTGCACGAGGCTATATTCGAGGAAGATGCGCGCGGTGCTCATCACGATTGGCTGCTGGCAACAGCGCGGGGGGAAGAGGGATTCATCGGTCATCGACGCCTTGAACAGATCTTCCAGACAGGAGCGACAGTATTCGTGACGGCAGGGGGCCCGGACCACATCGACGAATGCTGTCTCTTCTCTGCAGGCTATACAACGTCGCATCCGTGCTGGGGGTTGACCGACTCCTCGCCTGGCTGCCCACGTAGACGATTCGGCTCGCTCTTCTTCCTCGGTGGTAGTGCTGTGATGAGCGTCCATGCCGTGATACAGGATCTCCAGCTTCGTCAGAATCTCGTCGTCCAGGCCCGTCGACGGTTCCGGGCCCTGCTGGCAAACATTGGCGGTCACTGGATGCTCGCCGGTATCCGTCAACTGGCGAGCCATCTCTCGGTCCCTGGCCACCCTCTGCTCCTCTGCATAGGTGTCTGCCAGAAGCGATCCATCTGCCAACACAGCGGCTGCAAAGCTCATGGCCATCCGGCGATCCAGGAGCAGCTGGGAATTGTTCTCCAGCTCTTCATTTTGCAGTCGAAACGCTAGCTCTTCGTCTGTTGGTTCGCGGGACTTGCCTTTGGAGGATTCCGAATAGAGGCTAATATCTTGCAGCTGCAGTTGAATGATCAGATCAGCAGTGGCTTGGTCAAGCCCGGTTTCAACCATATAGTCCATTCTAGTAGCTACTCTGAGATATCAAAGGTGGGCCTGGTGGTGTGCAAAAACAACCGCTTCACCGCAAGTCCAGACTTTGCCCCGCCTTTGATTAGTTGTTTTGCGCTATTCCATTTCCGCTTAGATTAGCTATTAACTAATTAAAAGTACTTAATTATGTTAGAGAATAAATATTCATAAATATAGTGATTATAATAATGTATTACTTCTAAAATATAGTATGCTTCCCTTGATGGATGCGTTCCTAATTTTCCTCTATGAATAAGTGTTTATAAACACTCTGGAAACAGTAGACTTTTGCTTAGAATAATTAAAGTAACTGTATAGAACAAGTCATTTTTTACTCTTTATATACTTGAACCCTGGATCAGTAGCATGAGAAATCTCTGAGGCTAGGGCTTATGAGTTCAAGGTTAATATTAATGAGATTAATGACTGAATCAGTAGCACTACCTAAGACTCTGAATTCCTATAAAGAATATAGATTACAACTGATTGGAAGATGTTCGCATGAAAGGAAACTTCAAAGCCAACTCTTTCCGAAGGTCATTTGAAATGAATTCTTCTTCATTGGGAGGTGGCCTTGAGGCAGTTGAGGATAAGAAACACATATGGGGGCAAGATAGAAAGTGTTGTACACTTGACGAGACCAAGATATTGGAGAAATCTCTTAGTCTAGACTTGCAAGTTTGAGGTTAATCTTGACGAGATTGATAGACTAGCAGGTAAATCACTCAGTTACTACAGCTAGTCATATGTTATCCTAAATTTATATCACACAGCCAGACCACTTACAAGCAGACCATCTGGCCTTTCCGAGTGCTTGCCATATGTCTGGTTAAACGTCTCCTCCTCGCCCACACAAATCCTGTACGTCGTCCGAGCATATCCCTCCGCTTGGGCCTCCAGCTCCGGCGCCACGACATGGAACGCGTTGGACAGACACATCCAACAGCGCACCAGACTGTCCACCAAGTATCCCCATTTCTTGACGACAAGGGGCACACCAGGGGTCAGAGGAAGGCAGGCCCCTTCAACGACGTAGCCAAGTGACTCGAGAGTGCCCAGTGCGTATTTAATGGCCTTCAACGGCTGGTTTTGCGTCATGTAGAGCAAGGAAAGCGCCAGACATGGATCCCACAGGCTGAGACGGGGGACTTCCACGGTAGGACGGGTATATGTCTCATTGATCATTGCCAGAATGGATTCAATCTTAGCCGTATCGGGCTTCCGTCGGGCCTTGTATGCCCCCTTCAGATCCGCCCGCAGCCGTTTCCTTCTGGTCAGGTCTCCCTTTGGAGTCCGTTCAAGATCCCGGCAGATGACACAGCGGCATTGAAACCCCCAGTGCTGCAGATCTAGCGGCTGTGTTTGAGTTTCTGATAGCGCTTTATACGGGAAGCGGACTTCTGTGCCTGGGGGAAGGTCTTCGCTGGCACGAACCACCATCATATCCCCGATAAATGACCGTCGAGCGTTGCTGTAGCAGCAATGGTTGATGTGAGATGCTACCGGCCAAACACCACAGGAGTTGAATTTCTCCTCTTTGGCCTCCGCTTCTTCCTGTCTCAACGACCGCATATAACTCTCGCGGGAGGTCAATGGACACCCAAAGCAGTTCAAAGCCGTAACCCGCCCAACCAAGAAGCTGAGGGGGAAATAAGTAACAAGAAGATAGGAATCGAAAGAAAAGTATGAAAACAATCAATAAATGAACAACTGAAACTTACGTGTCCACAATAGGCCGCCCATCAATGGTAGAAACTTCCCCTGCCTGATATGATCCATGATAGAGATCTGTAAAGGACGGTAGAAAGGATGGATTCCTGTACAGCTTCTGTACGATCTGCGCAATTAGTTCGGCCTGGGTTCCGAGAGTCATCTCGTTTGTCTCGGCATTAATAGTGAGACTCAGCTCTTGCTGGGGGTTGTCTGCATCATAAAAGGCATAAGCAAAAGCCTTCTCACAGAACAATAGATCTCCAGCTTGCACGGCCTTTGTTGTAAACAGGCCGCGGCCGCAAGACTCGGTGGCCTGCACCGCTACTGGCCCCAGGAATGTCGCGCGGTCGAGACGTGGCGGGCGACGGCGAGCGGCCTCCTTCAGCAGCTGTTTGAAGGGATACTGGCCGGTATTCTGCTCTGCCAGACGGGCAATGGCTCTCGAAAACTCGGCACGAGCAGCGGTGTTGCCAGGGTATTCCTGGGCGAGTATGCGGTGGACGTCGCACGATTCGCGAAACCTCTGCAGATGGTACAGCGCCTGCGACTGGCGGAAGAGAGCCTTCTCAGACTCTGGACCCCTTAGATCGTCAAGAGCAGCGTCGAACTGGTGGGTTTTCAGCAGGGCGAGGGCGCGGTTCAGCTGGATCGTACGGGCCTCTTCCTCGGTTGGAGAAGCGCCCAATGCTTTGGTGTAACTGATTGTTCAGTATACTGCCAACAAGGACTGGGAGTGAACATACTACTCAATTGCAAGGTGGAAGCAAGAGTCGTTGAATGCATCGTTCCCTTGGATCTTCCAGTCGTCTGCGGAAGCGTCCGTTGCAAGTAGCCGCCGTCTCCAAGACACAGGGATTCTATAATCATCACCAAGAAGCAAATGAATATCAGAGAGATGGTCCACTCGAACGCCATAGTCTCCGTCAGACATGAGCTTCAGATAGGGCTCCTTGACAATCATCACCGTGCCTTCTTGCAGCCGGCCGTCGCGCGCAAGGTCTCGGTCCTGTTGGTACAGCTGCACCATCAGAACGTCGCTATTTTCGTCCTCGGCGATCGCCATCACGGCCGTCATGCTATCTGGCGAGGTGACGGCGCGAAGAAGCAGATAGGAGCCGCGGTGGTGTGTCTCCAGGACGAGGTCTTGAATCGTGATCTTTTTGAGCTCGGTCAAAGACGTGACACAGGGAGGGTAGGCCGGAGGAACGAAAGAGGAGCGAATGGAGGTTTCTTGGGTCGGTGTATTCCGCAGCTGTCGGAACATGAACTGGATCAAGATCTCCTGGCGAGACTTGCTCATCTGAAGGCGCTGGCCCTTGCGAGCCTGAGCCCGGCGGAGCACCTGCTTTTGGCGATCCAGGTACTGCATGTACTTGGGGATACTGGATACATCATGGGTATTCATTTTGACTTCAACCACTGGATATTCAACGAGGTGCCACTGTTTCTGAATGATCTTGATGGATGGAAAGGAGGGGATGGCAAGGCTGATGTGTTGTCAAGGCGGGGTGATGCACGTGTTGTTCTTGCAGGGGTGTCAACATTGAAAGATATCAAGATAGATAGATGTTATTTATAGCACTACTTTAGAGCTGTTTAGACCCTACACCTGGCATAGAATCTATTTCTAGGCAGACTGAACTTCCAGCTGCACAATTGTAAAACCAGGATCAATCGTGCTCACATCTCCAATCCACCACAGCTCCTGCGCCCCGTCCAGACTGGTGTTGAAGGCAAAGTTCTGCTCCCCATTGAGTGCCAGATAGCCATCGTCTGTGAGCCCGTAGCTCGTGATGGTCGTGCCCGCGATCGGCTCAGAGCCCGGCTGGATGAGCCAGGCGAGGCTGTTCACACCCGTAAGGACGGACAGGCCCTCCTCGTCGCCAGAGGCGTTGTAGTAGACAAAAGTGCCACTGTCACTGGCCACGGGAATCACTGGGTAGAATCTCATTAGCATGCCATCTGGTCTGTTTCTTTCTTCTCTCAGTATCTGGTTCGGAACGTACGTTCGAGAATGCTCAGTTCGGACGTGGTGTCGGTGTGTCCATAAATCTGCCATCCGTTGGTCGTCAAGGTCGAGCCATCCTCCGAGGAGACGAGAGTGAATTTAGAAGGCAAAGAAGCAGCCGTGGCCAAGGCAGCCAGGCTGCTAGTAAGTGCAATGACGGGTTTCATGATCAAAGCTGAGAAACTCTTGTAAACTGCAATGAGTACGAAGATTGAAAATGGTTATATATTTGGATGAAAATCAGGTACTCAGCACCATCTCACTCATGCAGGCACAGCCCGTCGATCATTGCTATAAAAGGTTCTTCAGGGTCCAGTGAGACTGCGAATATCTGAGACATGGACGCCTTAATGCTGACTGATGGCATAAGCGACACCGCGAGCCTGTATACGAGCTGCTTGTTGAATCCTCATCAATTCAAGGGAATCTCTAATGATTCAACACGTCATGTTTTACTTCATAGTGAAGGTAATTCCATCAGGCGTAGTATAGATGTAAGTGATCAGTAAGCCATGCGAAGGATGCCCTAACAACTCATTCTAGGGCGCCTAATACCCACTGGCCAATCCAGATATTGTTTCTAAATGTGGTAACAACCGTGGACCAGTACACAGCTATAGTTGCCATCGCTAGAACCTTGGCAGTTTTGGTTTGTCTAGAATCTAGTCTATCCCGAGCCTGCGGCGGAGAATCTCTTTAGCCGACCCTTCATCATAAATCACAAATATACTTCACTAAAACGCAGCATGTGAATGGAGTAGGCTTGGTGGGGTTTCCAATACCTGAACATTGGGTTGAGTCTTGGGGTTAGGGTTAGGTTAGGGTTAGGGTAGGATTAGGGTTTCCTTCATTCGAGCCCAAGTGAATGCAGTGGTGGATTGCTTTGAGATCTGTTTCTGCCATTCGTTTGTACCGCCGAGTGAGCCCATAGTACTAAATCCACTTGGTAGCGAGGCTGATCAGGGGTTGATTGTCGCTGTCTTCAGGGTGCTTGGCCCTTCGCATTGCCAGATATAGCAACAGTAATCAGGCATCAAATCTCGGCTGAATTCATGGCAATGAGAGGCATTGAAGGTGTGTTTGGATGCATTAAATGCCGGGCGTACAGGGTTGATACATCGTGTCCCATTTTACCTACATGCCCATTCTAAGCCTGCAACAGGCGTCACTCTCCATTCTTGAGCGACGAGCATCTTATGACAATGGACATGGAAGTGAATCAACATATCATATGTTCATAATGGAGGAACAACTAGCTGCTTTTGAATGCCTCTTTTTGCTATTTCAAGTCATAAATCTATTCTATGAAATAATGGTGTAATAGGAAGCGTAGAAACATCCCCTACTGGTACTATCTACTACCTACTGATAGGCAGCAGAGATATAAGTCATTATGGCATGATTTCATAAGCTGGTTAGTGCACATTAGTTGTAGGTGAATCAGTATCTTATGTGGTATGATCACTTTCTACTCCCATATAGACTTTTATGGAATTTATCTAATCCCCCTGCAGGAGTGGTTTGATTATTGCATATACTAAAGGAAAATATATTAAATATTCATGATAACAAATCTATAACTTCATTATTGTTGTAGTCTTATCACTGATAGAACAGTCTTTACTTATATATAAGCATAGAGTAGTTCCTTGACCCTGAAATTAGTCTTACGTTATTTCTTATAATAGGCGTGATTATTCGCATGCATGTGCCCATTGCCATGTCCTATTCCCCTCAGAGTTGTCCCAATAATATCACCATTTCCCTATTACTAAGCTGTTGCAATTGGTATTTATCTGCCTGCTGCTAGGTAGTTAGACTGGCTTTACAAGTCAAACACGGCCTCCTATTCTTGATTCTCTAGTCACCGCTACTCGAGTCAGTTCAATATGCCTGTTTAAGCTGATAATATGTGTGGGGTTTACATCTAAAGATAGGATAAATCGTAAAATCCACCTCTTCACCGCAACTACAGCTGTGAAGAGAATACAATTTCATCTACGCGCATAAATAAATAACCATCCAACTCTTAATACAGCATACATCAGTACTCGATATATAACAATACTAGTAGAAATACTCATATCTCTACTCACTCTGGATCATGGATACTGTCTAGGAGTTCATATACTCACTATGACCCCTAGACAGTCTCCATACAGAAATTGAATGAGAGAATATCCACTTGTGGAAACTTCGATCAATGCATGTGCCTCTTGAGAGCAATTTTCGGCTGCTGCGTTGTACTGCAGGTTATCACTCGTGGCAGTGACAACCAGAATACACATGCATATTGATACCTTTTTGTCTGTTTCCTTCGAGTACAGGTGTGGTACCTGCATCAATCTGCCTTCATCCCTGCTGGAGAGGAAATGGGTCCACGGCTCAGGGTTATGATTAGCAGTATGGGTCTTTACTGTTGCTTTCAGCTGTCTTGTTCCTCTACCTTTTAATATATAGATATCAGGGCGGATTAAGGGGCAGAAATATAAGGCTATATGAAGAGGTAACCATCAAACAAGTCACCTCGATATCACCGTATCCTAGAGCTCCTGTAGTCGAATGTTCTGATCTGTGTAGAAAAGGAGATTACAGAGTTTTTTGAGTTCATTAGGAGGTGGAGACAAGCAAGGTTGGCATCGGCTCCGTCGTGGCGCCGTGGGGCAAAGGAGCACGAGCCTTGATTGGGGAAGGCGGCGGGACTGCTCGGCCCGTGTCGTCTGGTGCGGATCAACCCGATGGCGATGGGCCAATCGGAGGGGACGCGGATCTAGGGAGATTATGGTTCCGTCCTGTGTGTCCCACATGGCCCCGGCTCCCTTGTTCAGCGACAATGAGGTACGCGTATATGGTCCAGATATAGTTAGTAGTCCTGTACTCTGTACTCTACCCCTCTGCATGTTCAGAAGTCGCTGCTCGGCCTTTAGCTGAAGCGGTGGGGTCTGAAACAGAATACGAGCACCAACAGGGGTGGAAAATCATCAGTTGCTTTCTATTCTAGTTCCGTCTAGTCTAATCTACTGGCCTGGAACACGTTCCCTTCTCAGGCTTGATCAACATTGACCCAGATGTCGACCGTCTTCCGCACGCCACCCTCCGGCACCACCTGGGTGAGGCGCTGCGTGCTCTCGGGGCTCCCACCGCCTCTGTGCTTGCTCTGGGCCATCGACCGGTCGCCCCCACCGCCGAAGCTGTGGAGAAGGGACGATCGCTTCGTATTAGGGTTGTGCGATCCGGAGCGGTTGTATCGCGACGAGGATCCTGGCGTCGTCGTGAACAGCTCGATGTCGCCGGACAGATGCATGTCGTTCAACCCGGTGGTCAGGCTGCGCAGCACTCGGTACAAGGACGGCATGCAAGACGCGATGATGCTGACGTACATCATGAGTCTAGAAAATTAGAAGAAAAGATTCAAAAAAAACTAGGAGGAAACAGGAATCAACGTACTCATTACAGATGGCAACATTGACAATAGTCCCTATTCAGTCAGTCTCATGCCTTGACACCCAGGAAGTGACGTACAAGTAGGATCGGTCGATTTCAGGTATTTTGGTAGTAATGCCAGCTCTACCAGACTCACGATCACCGCCCTTGAATGTCAGTGGGTGAGATGAATATACAGATATATAAGCGTCAGGGAAGGATGACATACAAGACCCGCGACGCAAAAGCAGAGATGACCTGTAGCCGTTTCTGCCAGGTCATCTGGACGGTCCAAAGCATGACGATGGGGATGATAATGAGGGCCAGGTCGGTGGCAATGTTGAAGACGATGATGGGATACGCAATGGCGCCCTCTCCCGCACATCGGTTGGGAAGATACTCCCATCGCGGCGAGGAACACTGCAGGGCCGTTCCTAGCAGGGCAAACACCATCCAGACCGTTATCACCGCCAGCAGAATTGAGCTTGCGCGGGTGATCTGTCGTTTAGGTGTGAGGTGATGGACCAGGAGACAGGTCGAGGCCTTGGATAGGTACAGGGCGAGAATGAGAAGCAATTGGGCGGCGTAGGTTAACTACTTGTCAGATAAGTCTAGTCAGCCTTATATGTAGCCTCATACCAAGGTAACGACAACAGACCTTGCTGTACCGGGAGAAGGTATACGCTGAGAGCTTGTCACGGTGTTGCCCGAGGCCATGGTCGACTGTGAACTGGATGAGGAGGGTCTGGAGGAATGCCAAAAGCTGTATATTTCAATCAGGCCATTAGTCGAATCTCGAATATCAACCACTGTGAGGAAGGACATGGTGTATAACCATACCAAAGCTATCCACAAAGGGACATCACAGTTCCAGAAAATGGCCTTTGTATACACAGAGGACCCTAGCTTGGCCAGGACAATAAGGAAAGTGATGAAGAAACAGGAAAAGCCCACCACCGTCAAGATCGGTCCTTTGTTGTCTGCGGTGACTGCCTCAAGGGGTGGCCTCAGGATTTCCGTGGCCAAAGACATAATAATAGTGGTCAAACTACAACAATAATAGGAACACTGGTCAACCCTGCGACATATAAATAAGTATTTAAAGCCGTACCACATATAATTACCAACTAAAATAATCCCTGTCAATGGCTGACGCACTCGCACCACAAGACCATCCGGCGAGTCATGTCCCTTTGCCCCCCCGGAAGCCCTCCGAACCTGACCCCTCGCCCCTATACTTGATGGTTAGTATGCAGTAACTATTGTTTAGCGAGGTGGTTACTTACAAAGTACTGCATCTATACCTTGCAGTCCCCATAGATCTTCCCTGCCCTATTTAGCTATCCATTGTTCCTTTTTTTTTTTTTTTTTTTTTCTTTTTCTTTCCTATCCCCTCACCCACTTCCCCCTCTGTCTGCCTCTATACAGCATGGAGAACAAACCCATTGAATTGGCCCCTGGCAAACATGCTGTCACTGTCACTACTCAGCAAGCCCATGACTCGTCTTACCGGGGATACAAAGCCAAACCGCGTCTAGAGGTACATTTTATCCCTTGATTCTTCTTCCTTCTTCCCCCCTGGCTGTCCTGACTGTTTGTATAGCGCTATCTTGGCTTTCTGCCCATGCTGGCGTTTGCTGCGACGTTACAGGCGTCTTGGGAATCACTATGCTCGAGTCTCTCATCCGGGTTGCTCAATGGTGGCCCTGTAGCCATCATTTACGGCATGTTCCTGTGTTTTGGAGGCTCCTTGTGTCTGACTCTTTCTATGGCTGAGATGGCATCCATGTAAGTTCTATTCATCATATCCATGTTCACACACCCTTGTCATTAGACCCCTGCACCTGGTCGCTTGTAGGTATACTTATACTGAGAATGATCTAGAAATCCTGTTGCCGGAGCGCAGTACCACTGGACATACGAGTTTGCTCCCTTCGGCAACCGCTTTTTGAGCTTCATTCAAGGTAGGATCTGGTTTCCCTTGTAAATAGCCAACTCTCTAATCACTCCAGGCTGGATCACCGTCATTGCGTGGTGGGCAAACGTGGCGGTAGGCCCGTATCTTGTCGGCACCCAGATTCAGGGCCTCCTCGTCCAGAACTATCCCGACTATGTGGCCAAAAACTACCAGGGCACGCTACTCATCTTCGCCATTCTCTTCATTCCCATGTTGATCAACATCTTTGCCCGCCAGCTGCTGGCCCCCGTCGAGGTCATCTCCGGTCTCATCCACATCCTCGCCTATCCGGCCATTCTGGTAACCATGATCGTCCTGGGTTCTCGCCACACCGACAAATGGGTCTGGACGCAGTTCGTCAACGACCAGAGCGGCTGGCATAATGACGGAGTCATCTGGTCTGTTGGACTGTTGACTGCCGCCTTCAGTCTGAGCAGTATGTTGTTTCGTTAACCATGATTCTAGCCCTATATTCCCCCCATTAATTCTTGTCACAGGCTTCGACGGTGTCATCCACATGTCCGAAGAAGTCAAGGATGCCCCCCGTGCTGTTCCCCGGTCGATGGTCTGGGGCTTGACGATCAACGCAACGATGGCTACGGGCTTCGCCATCGCATTGCTGTACACGATGGGCGACTTTGACGCCGCCCTCGACTCCCCCACCGGCTATCCCATCATCGAGATCTTCTACGCCCAAACCGGGTCCAAGGCTGCTGCCAGCGCCATGATGCTGCCCATTCTCCTGGCGGGCTGCTACTCCTCCTTCAACGTCCTGGCCTCCGTCAGCCGTTTGACTTGGGCCTTTGCCCGAGACGGCGGCTTTCCCTTCTCCGAATTCTTCGCCTATGTGTCCCCGCGCTACAAGATCCCCCTGCGCTCCCTGTTCCTCGTCACCACCATCACCGTCCTCATCGCCCTCATCAATCTCGGCTCCTCGGCCGCCTTCAACGCCGTGCTCTCCCTCGACACCCTCGCTTTGTACGCCTCCTACCTTGTGCCCGTCATCTTCGTCCTCATCAAGCGCGTGCGCCAGCCGGAATCCATCCGCTGGGGACCCTGGCGCCTGGGTCGGTGGGGGATCCCCGTGAACGTCATCGCCATCGTGTACGGGACGTATATCACCATCTTCCTCCCCTTTCCTGAGACGCAGCCCGTCACGGCGACCACCATGAACTACGGGGCGCCCGTGTTTGGTATCGCCATGTTGTTCGGTCTCCTTGATTGGTTTGTGCGGGGGAGGAAAGTCTGGAATGGACCGACCGTCAGTGCGGAGGATATCGCGGAGAATATCGCGGAGAATATCCCTTAGTTGGTGCAATTGCCAATGTACAAGTAGATAGTATTATAACTGAGAATCGCAGTCAGAAATCAGCTCCATATATACTTAAATAGTATCATAAAGTAGCCCTCTTCTACCAAAGACATAAGATGAGGCATTCCTATGCGAATCATTGAATTCATTCCCTTACTCCTATTACTCTTCTTACTCATTCATCTATTATTAAATGTCCTACTTTTAGTGCAGGGTAACTTGCATAAGGCTCAGGTAATCATAGCCTATATATATTATAACTAGTAAGGCACTTCAATATTAAATTAAAATAAAAAGCTAAATAGAGACTTTTCCTATTATGCTTTAGATTCTGTGTAAATAAAGAAATCTAGATGCGACCCTAGCTAATAACTACCCCTAATATAGCTAAAATAGGTGAAAGGACTCATTTTATTATCTTATTCTCCAAAACATAGCACTATATATCTTGAGAGACATATTTCCCCTTTTTGAATGATAGGTTGATGCCTTCTTTAGAGAATAAGGCAATTCATATTCATTATGCCTAGAACGAGTCCTCCGCATCGGGGCCAACCATGAAGTTATTCGCGCGAAGCTCATTGACTGGTTTGGATGGAGTCTACCAGAGGACCCGGAATCTGGTTATAAGGAACAAGGTGTCTCTATGAAAATGTCTGCATAGTTTTGATATTAAATCTTCTGCAAATACCATATTTCTATATGTAGTATTAGTATTTGTGCATTGAATGAGCATTCCTCTACTAGGCTTTGTAATTGTAGGATAATATCATCTCTACTATATAACATCTACTAAACATCCTATCTACTCCTCAACTCACAACTAATTCCCCAGTCAGCGGTATTTGCCACGACTACGGTATGATATTGCCGATATCAATAAGCGCCCTGGTAATGTAAAAATTCTACCTAGTCAAACCATGAGAGCTGTGGAGAATGTGGTAAATATATGTATTAAGGCTTTATAAGTTTCAGAAGTAGGCATTTATAGTCCACTCAGAGGATTTTATTATATTTATAGTCATGGTCTGGAAAGTCTTTTCTGTTAACTCCAAGTAGTAGTAATTGTGTTTAGACAATATTTGCAATACAAGCCATGTACATGGATATAAAGTAACTTCTGATAATTGAACTACAGCTTCGGTTTAGGCGCGGAAACAAGACCTGTTTTATGCTCTGTGATCAAATGGCGGAGGATCTTCCCTGTGCCATTCTTAGGGAGCTGCGTCACTTCCCACACGCCCCCCTTCAACCTCTTATAGCCACTGACTTTACCGTCCAGGAAGCCCTGAATGTGTCCCAAGGCAGTGACTTTGTCTTCCTTATCATTCAGATGCGCCTTCAGAATGACGTACGCCGCCGCGACATCCGTCTGCTTGGCCTCGTCATACACAGGGCCGACAGCCACCTCGGCGACATGGGGATGACCGACGAGATGATGCTCCAGCTCCTGCGGACTGACCTGGAAGCCGCTGGACTTGAACAGCTCCTTGGTGCGGCCGACAATGGCCATGATCCCAGCAGGGGAGATGGTGCACACGTCCCCCGTGTTGTACCAGCTGCCCTCCTTGAAGGCTGCCGCCGTGGCTACGGGATTGTCGATGTACCCGGGGGTAACATTGGGCCCGCGAAGCCATAGCTCGCCCTTGGCTCCGACGGGCACGTCCTTACCGTCGCCGTCACACAGGCGGAACTCCATGTTGGGCACGAACGAGCCGACCTGGCCGGCCGGGAGCATCTCGCCCAGCTTCGACCAGGAGACATACGGGGCCGCCTCGGTCATGCCGTACAGATTGACGAGCGTCCAGTCGTGCAGCTGCAGCAGCCGGTCGGCCACGCTCTGGTTCTGCACGCCCATGCCCACCAGGTACTTCACCGAGGAGAGATCGTACTTCTTGGTCAGCTCGCCGGTCAGGAGAGCGGTCACCAACGCCGGGGGCAGAGGCATGTCCACGACGCGGTGCTTCTCGACCAGCTCGCACAGCCGGGGGATGTCCAGCTTGGGCATGATGACATGCTTGGTGCCTCCCCACGGACCCAGAAACAGGGGCACCGTCGTGTTGGCGATGTGCACCATGGGCGAGTACACCAGGCTGGTGTGCGGGGGGGACCAGTGCGCCGGATCGTGGGCATGGCATTGGTACACGTTGGCGACGTAGTTGTAGTGCGTCAGCAGCACGCCCTTTTGCTTGCCTGTCGTGCCAGACGAGAGGTGAATACTGGCCGCGCGCGTGCGGGTGTCGCTGTGGTGAGGGACCTCCATGCTGTCCGCCGACCTGAAGGAGTCAAAGGACGGATATCCATCCACGGAGCCGACGGTGATGATCTTGGGTGGGTTGAATTCCGGATCAACTTCTTTCGAGGTTTTCAACGCTTCCAGAACCAACGGAAGCACCTCCGACCAGACAATCGCATACGCCGGCTTGCACACGGTGAAGGCGTATCCGATCTCGCCCGCCCGCAGCTCGTGGTTGATCGGGCAGAAGACGCCCCCCTGCCAGAGGATGGCATGCACGGCCTCGATGAAGGTGACGCCGTTGGGCATGAGCAGCGCCCACCGGCTCTGGTCGGCGGGCTGGAAGTGTGAAGACAGCCCCTGGGCCAGCCCCCCGGCGTTCTGGCGTAGTTCTCCGAGCGTCACGCTGCGACCCTCAAAGGTGTCGGTTGCGATCTCATGGGAGGGAGGAAGGGGGGGAGAATGGGCGCTGGCATGGAGTAATTCCGTGAGATTCACATCTTGGGGGATGGAGATTTCCTGTGGTGATTTATATATATGCATTGTGAGGAGAGAAGAGGAGAGGAGGAGAATAGAATTAGAGAGAGGGAGAGAGAAAGATTTAAAGAATTAGGAGATATTCAAGAGAGAGAGAGGAGAGTGAATTAGAGAATCAGGAGAAATTAAAGAGAGAGAAGAGAGAGAAGAGAAGACAATTTATGCGGGGAAACAAGCTACCAGATCAGTTCCTAGGCTAGCCCAGATGTGGTTAATCCATCTTCAACCAGGCTAACTGCTTACAGTCTAGCCCCCCCCCGCTAGAGGAGAAGATTAAAATGGCTGCCACAACTTCGGCTTCACTTCCTCAACCAAGAGATCTTTATCAACGCCGTCAGGATGAATCCCCCACCCACGCAATTCCTCAAGCTGAGCTTCCCCGCCGAGCGTGTCCTGCTGGTGACGATGGACCGCCCCGAGAAGCTGAACGCCATGACCACCGCCGCCTACGCCGAGTTCGGCCTGCTGTGGCCCTGGTTTGACGCCGAGCCCTCCCTCTCGGTCGCCATCCTCACCGGCGCCGGGCATCGCGCCTTTTGTGCGGGCGCCGACCTGGCCGACTGGGCAGACCGCCAGGCTGGCAAGACCGCCCCGGCGCCGCTGCTCGACGCCCCCTCCAAGGAAGCAGCGCAGACGCAGCTGCTCAGCCGACGCCTGGGCAAGAAACCGGTCATCGCCGCGGTCAACGGCCTCGCCCACGGCGGCGGCTTTGAGATGGTCGTCAACTGCGATCTGGTTGTCGCCTCGCGCTCCGCCGACTTTTGTCTCCCCGAGCTGCAACGCGGCGTCGTGCCCATTGCCGGCTGTCTGCCCCGTCTCATCCGCACGTTGGGCCTGCAGCGCGCCTCGGAGCTCGTTCTGACGGGGCGCAGGATCCCCGCCGCCGAGGCCTACGCATGGGGGCTGGTGAATAGGGTCGTCGAGCCCGAAGGTGTCCTGGAGGAGGCAGTGCGCCTGGCGGTCTCGATCGCTGCCAACAGCCCGGATGCAATCCTCTGTGCCCGGCGCGGTCTCAGGGAGGGCTGGATCCAGGCGGATGTCGAAGATGCCACACAGACCACATTCGAGGATCTGTTCACTCAATTGCGCTCGGGGGAGAACATGCTGGAGGGCATGCTCGCTTTCAAGGAACGGAGGCCTCCCAAGTGGGTTCCTAGCAAGTTGTAGGAATTGCCTTGGGGTTAGGGTTGTTTCCATATAATCCACACTGTTGTGAGTGAGATGGTGATATCAGGCTGTCTAAAATGCACCGCGCTAATCTCTGCTTATCTCTATGCTATCGCTGCTATCAGGAGAAGACCCACAGATAGCCAGATCAGGTCCTTTCCAAGCATTATTGAGATGGGTATTCTTTCGAGCTATTTCTGAGCGCATTGGTCCTGTATAGACACTGGGCTAGGATTAGACTGTAATATCAATTATTCTCGAGTGATAATTCGGCTACCTTTAGAAGGGTCCTGATATCAGTGCAACATTGCACTATAAAATATGCTTTCTGTGCGCCCTCAATTCAGTTGTATTTCTCTCAAATCCCATAGCTAGTTGTTGTGTCACTTGTGCTAATAATGAATAATATCATTATAAAATTCATAAACAGAGCTTGGTGAACAACCTCCATGAGACTTTCAATACTAATCTTATTTACTTAACTTACTTGAATCTATAGTTTATACTACTAATATACTTATAGCATTCAGGCAAATGAACTATTCTATCTGTGCTTTTATTACTGTCCATGCTATAATACCATCATAACTCTTGATTAATCCAATCACAGTGATACTGCCTATGACTGTGTTTTGGATGATGGAATTCATTTATCATTATATTGTATCCCCCAAGAACACCAGAAAGTCCAGGCCACCTGGCTATAACTCCTTCATACTATCATACCATCCCTCGCCGGAAATACTGCTTCCTGGCAACAGACTGCACCTTCTGGGCATGGACTGCATGAGGCCGCTGAACCCAACTATCAATAATGATGATGAATAACCAGAAGAAATGACTTACATTTCCTGCACTCACAGGCACTGTCCAGTCGTTGACCGAAAGGGGAATATACCGGGAATGCTCTCCATATTCGAGGTGCAGTTGAAGATCGAGTCCAAGTCGGGAATACTGGGAAGCAGCGAGATTGGGAAATTGTCGTCTAGCATGTCGAAAAGGTCTGTTTCTGTCTCTGTCTCGGTGATGTTTGTCGCATTCACCGTGGTGTCTTCCTTTCCCCTTGCCCTTTTCAAAGTGCTTCCTGTATTGTCTGATGCAAAACTGCCTGGAGATCGCCCTCGGACTGTGATAGGCATACTCTTCAGCTGGCAGAGAAGATGCCGACTGCCTTTGATGTTGGCCAGGATGGTGACCCGCACATGGAAATACTGCCATGATCCCCGTCGTTTGACCGTCGCATGGCGGAACTGGACTTTCTCCCAGGCCAAGGACATTTCCTTGCCTGGATCGATGGAGAGGATCGTCGTCGCGGTAGTGGTGTTGCTACTATTGTTGAACATCTTCACCGGCTCTTCCTGAGAATCGACGGCGTCCAGGGCAGCATCCAGGCTCGTAATCCGATGCAACTCCCCGTCCCGCTGGATGCTCACAGCCGGCAGCACCAGACTGCCAAGCACCTTGAATTTGTTGCGGCGGTAGAAGATCAGCTCGCCCTGCTCGGCGATGAAGCGGCCATGCAGATGGGCGGAGATGTTGACCTCATGGGCGTTGCGAGTGCTGTCGAAGACGGTGTTTTTCGTGATGATTTCGAATCCTGTGTCCATTCTGACTTCAATCTGTCTGGGGATGGAAGAATGAGATGTGAGATGAAATGCGGGGTTACATTGACAGTGTTATATTAAAGGTCTGTGCCCAATCCTAAACTACATGACTAAAATGTTACTTTAGGATACTTCAAAGGATATAGTCTCTCATATATTTATCTATTAGGGAGTTTATCTTCATTAATGTAGTTATTCAGCTATAAATCTCTAATACTTTGTATCTATTATGTCCCCCTGTAGAGCCGAAAAAATCATAATGCACTATGCTCTACTCCCGGTGAATGTCGGCTCCACGCTCGGCTCCACGATTGAGTCGGATATCTTTTCGGTCTACGTAGAATGGGGTATAGAATGCGGGGAGATTCCTTCAGAATGTCGATTCATACCTTCAAACAATCCAACATGTACATTCCGGGTCCATTGCAAGTGCTTCGCCTGTGCATGGGCATCGTCGTCGCGGTGTCCACAGGTGGTGCAGCATCCCTGGCTCTGCCCCGAGGATGGTCACCCTGATCCTGGATTCGATGCTGGCGCACGACCCGTACACCCTGCCGCTGGCCACGGTCTACAAGGCGACCGAAAACTCGCATCCAGCCGCTCTGTCCATGATGACCGCCTGGCGCACGATCACCGAGGCGGGCCCCCCCAGCCTTCTCGCCCTCGACAGCAGGCAGGGGACGGCCTATTTTGCCCTGGACGTCAGCGAGGGCAACGCCGCCAGGGAGACCATCCTCCGCGGCCGCATCAAGGTGGTCGACATGGATGAGATGGAATCCGAGGGCGTGATGCCTCTGCTGGCTCCCTTTGGAGCCACAGGCGACACGCTGGAAGTGCTGCAGTTTTACGACGACGCGCTGCAGGCATGCAGATCAATGTTTACCTGAACGGGCCCAATATGACCTCGGCCTGGGTATAGCCTGTGACTGGTGGTCATCCGTGCTGGAGATGCTGTAGATGACAGCTTGAAATGACTCTATCAAGTTCATACTAAACCCTAACCCTAACCCTAGTAGTCTAATTCCATACTTGAATCCATCTCTACTCCCTTAACTCTGGAACTGCACCGTCTGGTTCTCCCGGCAGACTCGTCGGGATCCTGTACATCTCATAGTGGTGACTTACCAACTGCTCAATCCTCCCTCCCCCACACGTGGGATACCCCCCCTGGAGCCTGCCAAGTCCACGTTGCCATAGCCCGGAAAGTGCTTGACGCAGGTCATCAGCCCGCCTTGATGCTATCCCCGGACCGATTCTCCGGCCTGCTCGGCCACTGCGTCGGGATCAGGGCCAAACGACCTCACCCCGATCAGCTGGAAGCGCTCCTTTGAATAGTCATGGTCGGAGGTATATCCATTGCTGCTAGGACTGCCCGTTGTGTCTTCCGTGAACGTCCACCACCGGGCTGATCAGCCAGTTGACGCCTAAACACGCCAGCTCGGCGGCACTCGGGTGAGACGAGGGTCGTTGCACGCCGCCAGGCCCATTGCAGAGGGAAACTGGCGCAGATAGTTGTCGTCGCCGATGGAGTTGACGGCGCCATTCTCCTGGTCCAGACTGATCAAGAGGGGGGGTTTGTGGCCGGCCGCGTAGGCGAGGTTTTGCAGCGACTGAATGAGCTATAATCAATATACATAAACTAGTGTATCCAGAGTTATACCTGAATAGCTTGGGGGGCGTCTATTAATTAGATATTATATAGTATTCAACAGACAGCATTGGAGATATACTGTACATACCTAGTAAATTCCTCGCCTGCAGGGCAATGGCCCCAACATGGTGGTCCTGGATAAGCGACTGCACATGGGGAGTGATGCTGGTCCCTTCAAAGCCGATTTGTCCAAGGTTTCATTATTAGGGGAACTGTTTCGGTACAGAGCGCAGGTACGGCCATTCGCCTGCGCGGGTGCGTTTGATTGCTTTCAGTGCGGCGGTCTGGAGGGTGTTGATTTCTTCAGGCGACAGGATCAAGCGGATCACCACGAAGCCGTTTTTCTGCAGGCATTCAAGAGAAGACATGATATGTAGAATATGGGATATAGAATGTATCTGTTGTCTATAATCTGTCGACTCGTATATAGTCGAGAGGTGTGACGCCACATAAGGTGATATGGATACCGGGTGTAGTATATTATATGGCATGTTGTAAACTCATGTATGTTGCTTAGAATACATAGAGCCAATTGAGCCGCAAGGCAGTATAAGTTATTACTTTGTTGTAACCATTTTGATACTTGATTTACTCGCCAACTGTGTAAGTAATTATTATATAGATAATACTACTCCTTAAATTCATCATCACTATACTCAATATATACTGAATATATGCTCAATCTCATCGACACTCAATCTAAAGTTCGTGCAGTGTCGGTTGCCTATACAGTCAATTCAATATAATTCAATACTTCTAGACAGCGACTGACGTACTTGGAGAAACAGGTGCATTTTGGCGGTGTGCAATTACACTGTATGCCATCAGGAGAGCTACTATGCAGTGTGCGCTGGGGGACACGGGGGGTGAATTGCTCGGCTAATGTTGTGTAACCCAACAGCAACAGGACAACTAGAAATAGTAGAACCTGCATGATAGAAAATATAGTAAGAGAATGACCTATAAACAATAGGCATAAGATATTAGGACAGTCTTGAGAAAGATCCCTTGCTGGTTAAAGAACCATTAAGAAATAGCTCAGAATAATAACTTAAATAGTGCTAAAGGTCTTCCGCTTTAGTCTAGATAGATAGTATCAAGTTCTACATCCGTCTTTTGGGTGAAACTGCCCGCCTAACATTCTTGCCTGATGCTCCCTTACTGACCGACCTTCTGGCAGCCTTTTCTAGGAAATATCATGGAGATGGATACTTAAAAGCTGAACATGGCCCATCTGACTACAGATTTGCCTTCCAGTCCATATGATCGAGTAGGTTGGTTAGGCATAAACAAAATGAATGCCGGGGGTCAGAGAAGAAACCCTAGGGTTGATGAATCTCTCTGCCTCGAGTCGCTGCTTCTTCCGGTCGTCTCTTCCAAGAATTCTTCCATCGAACATTCCGACACTTCCACAATCCTGCCTTCCACGAGCTTTACTTCCATAATCGGCCCTCCCCCTTCCAGCCCACGCGAGATCGAAGATGAATCCATCCAGCCCAAGCCACCAATCCGGCGTTATCCCCCACCGGATCCTGGCCTGCGCATCCGCCACATCTGCATTTTTGGCCTGGCTGCAGGATGGGCCTTTTCCATTGCCTGCCTAGTGCTGGGATTGCTGCTGGTGATCTCTAATCATAATATGGTGCCTGAAAAGTTGCAGGGGATGATAATTCTGGTCAATTTCCTCCAAATCAACATCGCTCCCGCCTCGATCGACCTGGCCAGCCATCGCATTTTCCCGTTTCCGGCGGGTACCTCGATGGCCCTCAAGCTGGTCATCAACCTACTGGCCACCATCATCGTCGACACGACCAACTACATCCACGCGGTGAGCCTCAAGTGGGCGCTGCTCGGCGAGCGCCGGCTGGAGTTCAATTCCACCATCCGTCTCATCACCTGCACGCGGTCTCATGGGCCCAACAGTTGGTACATGAATGCCATCTCCCTCGTGGCACTTGCGCTGACCTACGGCGCCGTCTCGTGTGTTGTGACGGACGTGACGACCATCGGCCACTGGGATCCGCAGGCAAAGGAGTTCATCACCCATCCGATGCGCCAGACGCTGGACTATATCAGCGTCAATGGAGCTGTGCTCATTGCACTTGGAATTGGCATTTTCGTTCAGGTCTGTATCTCCACCTACTGCCTCCTCTATGACGGGAGACGATCAGCAGTCAGGACGTGGAGTCGTAACACCCTTACCAACGCCCAGCTCTGGGCAAAGGCCATGGAAGACGATGACGATGATGCTTCTCTCGCCGTGGTGGAAGTATCTGTGCAAAACGAACAGGCTTCGATGCTAGAAATAGCACCACAGGTGCGACTCCTCCGACACCTCATCTGGGGCGTCTGTCTCTTCCTTTCTCTCTGGTCTCTCGCCCAAGGCATGGCGACAGCCACCGCCGGGCACAGCATGAAGGACACCGTCGACTCTCTGCCCAGGCCACTGCATCACTGGCGGTTCTACGGCGCGTATTCGTGGGCATTCTCCGACCAGAGTGACCCATACTGGCTCGGGCTCATCATCCAGACCGTCTGCCAGTCTTTCATCACCTTTGCCCTGCACTGCGTCGAACTGCTCTTTAATCTCTCGCGCGACGAGGCTGCCTGGCGCCAGACGGAATCCATCGGGGCAGAGATCGACCAGTCCTTCTGGTCCACCCTCAACTGGCAGATCTTCCTACTGGTGATTGCCAAAGCCACTGTGCACTGGGTGTTTGGGTACGCCATCTCTGCCGACCTCACCTTCAACATCTCACTCCTTCCAGCCATCACTTTGGCGGGGATGTTCGCCCTGCTGGCCCTCTTCGTCGAGTACATGGTCAAGAAGAGACCATTAGGCTCCCTTCCAGCGACGTACGGCTGTTTTGCGCGTCTCGCTGAGCTGGTCGACGACTGGGACCATCCCCGGCTCTTCTGGGGGGACCGGGGGGCTTTTGATGCCCATCGCCGGCGGGCAGGCACTGCCGGACGACGCTTAGCAGATCTGCAGCCGGGAAGTGATTATATCATCGTTAAACATACTGATGATTTACAGCATAATGATTTACAGCATAATAATTTACAGCGTGATAATTTACAGCATGATAATTTACAACATGATAATTTACAGCATGAGAGTATTACAGCATGAGAATATGCTAGTGCAACACTGCTTCTACATTGAATGCTTGAGATCTGGTATTAAGTATATCCTACAATGGCAATGGTTATATTATCTTACTATAGTCATATAATTGATGACATACGTTGATATATATACCTTTATTTCAATTCATACTTCCTTCTCTTACCATATTATCTGCATACCAGCCATGCTATGTTGCCTGTTTTTAGGAGAATATATAGCAATATTTTATATTGGTCCTCAGCATGTCTAGAATACTATATATTCCGTCTACTCCGTATTGGCTCCATCAACTGACTATACTAACAGCTCAAAACAAGGCTCGTTCCGTCGACTGGCTGTGCGTTCCACCGTCGGTATTTCTGACAGAGCCATCCCAGTCTCGCTCCTGCTTAGCTCTGTCTCTGTTCCTGTTTCTGCGCCTGTTTCAGGTTGATTCTGACTCTGACTAAACCGGCGCATCTCCGCCTCCCTCGCAAGCACAGCGTAATGGGTCCGGCGATAGACCCCCAGCACACTCAACGCCAGGCCGACAAGCTCGTAGACAAACAGGACAGGCAACGCATAGTCGAGCTGGGGATTACACCCGCCCGACCAGATGTCGACCAGGACCTGAAACACGCTGTGCGCCGGCAGGGCGTACCCCCATTTATAGAACGCTGGGGACAGCTCAAATGGCAACAGGATGGAGGTGACGTTGAGGATGATCCAGGAGATGAGTGCCATGGGCACAAATGGCGGCAAGATCCAGATGGTGAAGATGTTGAGGACGAGAAAGTTGAGATGCGCAAACAGCCACAGAACCATCCACGTCAGCACAAACTGGGCCCCGTTCACCTGCCAGCCGTGGCGAAACGCCCAGATGGCCCCCGTCGTGCACAGCGAGCCGACCAGGGTATAGGTGACGGACAACAACACGCGGATCATCGTCACCCGCTGTACGGGCAGTGAAAGGTACAGCTGGAACTGCTGGTGCAGGCCGTTGATGTACCCCAAGTAGAAGAACTCTTGGATCAGGATCAGGATGATGACCAGCGTGTTGTAGATCAGCCGGGAGCCTTGAGTGGTTGGTTGGATGTTGATCGCTGACAACACCCACGGCTTCACAAATGACTGCACGGAGATCTGGTCCGTGTGGTTGACGGTCAGGATCCTCTGCGGCGTGGAATAGACCACCCGTGCGGCCTCGGCGAGGATTTGCATCTCCTCTTCCAAGGAGTCCACCACAGTCGGATACCGCGCTTCGTTCCAGGCAAAGAACATGATGTCGGTCGTGTTGTATTCTGTCCCGCTTACCAACGCTGCCGACACCCGGTTCGACGCATTGGCTGTGATGTACAGCCCGCCCCAGTACTGGATGCTGCACACTGAAGAGACAATATCGACTGGCTGGGGATACTGTGCCGGCGAATGCTCGGTGAGGGTCGGGAATGTAGGGCCTTTGAGGGTCGAGTAGGCCGAACGGACTGCGGCGCCGATTGTTCCGTTATTATCATAATCAATAAAGGCCACATTGAGATTATGCATATGTGTTGTCTGTTGGAAGAGAGAGCCAAATAGGTAGCAGAATAGGCCTAGGAAGAGAAGCTGTAGGAGAATGAAATTGATCACGGCGGCTTTTATCACTTTCTTATGCTGGGGAGGTACCCCGTAGACTTTCTGCTGCGCTTTAGGATAGATCATCATTATGAATTACCTCACCATATAGCATATCACATTTGAATAGCAGTATAAGAATGATCTTGAAGTCGAGGTTGAGATAAGATTAATGAGTCATAGAGTTCACAATTAACCTTTTATTTGAGGTTGATAAACTCGAATTATATTGACACCTCATATCCACCGCGCGTTTAATGACTAGTTTTTAAATGCTTTGAACACCAACCAGTTGAGGAATAAAGACCATCCTTTTTATAATAAATAGCTCTTCCTAAGGGTGTCTTAGAAGCAGATTTTACTGCATAATATCTAGGCGGGCTCAAAGTATTCATTCATAGCATGCTCACTGTAGTATATCCTTTTGATTAAATTTTTGTATAGAATATGTCTTCATTGCCGTGTTGATCCATATGTAACGGCGACGGCGAGGTCGTTCAAATGCTTTAGGCTAGCCGCGGTGAATAGACATACTATTCCTATTCTAGTTTAGTATTTGAAGGGGAGAGAGATATCAAGTATACCTTATAATATATCTCTCTCTCCTCTCCTCTTTTCTCTCTTTGTTTAAATATTTTAGTATTGCAGCCACCAATTGATTATTCATTTGCTTTGGGCCGTCACATAAGGCTCTTATTTCATCAGTCTCTAATAAGGCAACCTTCAGTTGCTGACATCTAGTTATATCGGATAGGATATTGAAAAAAGCAGTCAAATACTAAGCATATGGTGGTCATTAGGGTAGGACTGCGCTATGCGCAGACCTAGATGCTTTAGTAGAAGGGCTAGTTACAAGAGACAAATTATCATGAATCATAATACTATATGGTATCTAGATTGCCTATTTTTCTATCCACCATCACTAGAAATACTAGCGGGCTGTTATATATCTATCCTCATATTTTGACCATGAAAGAGCTCCTAAAGGGCTAGCCTGTTGCTCTCTGAATATGAAGTGGCGATTGACTTCAAATGCCGAGACCAAAAGCCGTCGCGCATGTCAGGCTTAATCCTGCTCCTGAATTATAAAATATTACATAACTATATCTAAAAGTACCAGAGTACCAGAGACAGATCTTTACCAGGTGGTGAAAGTGAAAACATTCATCCTGGATGAGAAAGAACAAGTCTTTCAAGAAGAAAAAAGATGAATGTTGAAATACTCAAGAATACTCAGTTTTCTATCTACATCTCTATGCTGATGTATAGGCAATGCAGATCAGTCCATTCTGTTGTCTGTCTATTCCATATCCATCAATCCTAGACTATATGGCTGCTCTGTATAATTAATAATACAACAGAATTTCATGTCTTGATGGCACCACTCGGTGTTTGAAATCTTACGACAGTATAGATATCAGGTATAAAAGGAGACGGAAGATATAGAGATGTATGAAAGTGGTATAATCTTATATACAATGGAAGTTGATGGGGGATATGGATGGGTCGTCACCGCGGCCACCTTTTTCAACAACGCCCACCACTGGGGGATCATCTCAGTGAGTACTACATACTATCTATCCTGATACATGAGCCGAGCTATACCGAGCGGTAAGTATATATATCAGAATGCTGATAATCAGTCCTACGGGGTCTTCCTCTCATACTTCCTCACCCACAACGACTTCCCCGACGGCAACAGTCTGGATTACGCCTTTGTCGGCGGCCTGTCCGCCTCACAGGCCTTCATGATCGCCCCCCTGGCAGCGATCATCAGCCGGCGAGTCGGCCTGAAACTGACATTGGCGCTGGGAATTGTGCTCGAGACAGCAGCCCTGCTGGGAGCCTCATGGGCAACGCAGACCTGGCAGTTATACCTGAGCCAGGGAGTGTGTTTCGGCTGGGGGCTGGGCCTGCAGTACGTGTCAACCATTGCCATCATCCCGCAGTGGTTCACCCGGCGACGGAGTCTGGCGGCGGGGATCGCGGCTGCAGGGAGTGGCACAGGCGGCCTGCTCTATTCCCTGCTCTGCGGTGCCGTCCTGCTGCCCCGGTTCGGCCCCGGCTGGACGTACCGTATCCTCTGTTTGATCCAGCTGGTGGTGAATACCGTCTGTCTGCTGCTTCTCCGTGACCGGAACAAGATCACCGGCACCATCACGCACAGTATCTCGCTTCGCCATCTCGTCTCCCACGTCGAGCTGTGGCTCTTGCTCGGCTGGGCGTTCTTCAGCACCCTCGGCTTCATGGTGATCTGGTACTCGCTCGACGACTTCTCGCGGAGCATCGGGCTATCCGCGCCCCAGGGGTCGATCGTCACGGCCGTCATGAATCTAGGCCAGGTGGTCGGCCGCCCGCTGGTAGGCTATTTCAGTGATGCTGTTGGGCGGCTGAATATGGCGTCTTTAGCAACAGGCTTGACTGCGTTGCTGTCCCTCCTACTGTGGACATTTGCTCGTTCGTACGCCTCCACCCTCTGCTTCGCTTTCTTTGCGGGTATGGTGTTTGGGGCTTTCTTCACAGTGAGGCAACGTGAATGAACCATTCAATGCCCAATACTAACAAAGTATAGGTCGTCTCGCCCGTCGCTACCGAGGTCGTGGGGCTGGAGTATCTCTCCTCCTGCCTGACCATCGTCTGGCTCACCTGCGTCGCTCCAGCAACCTGTACGTATATCTATAGATATATTTTAACATCTCTAACGTCGATAGTTGGCGAGCCGATTGCCCTGGAGCTGAGGACGGTGGGGTCGAACGACTATCTCCACGTCGAGTTATTCACAGGCTTCATTTATGTCGGGGCAACCATCTGCGTCGTTCTCCTGCGGCAGTGGAAGGTGATACGCAATGAGGATGATTTCCTATTCAGGACTTGGATTAAACGTGTCTGACATACTGTTCAATCCTCTTGACCAGATCTAGGTTAGGTTCACCCTTAGCAAATAGTCGAGTATTAAGAGTTTAGTTATGAAACCATTGGGTTTAGGGTTAGGGTTTAGGGTTGACCCTACTCTAGAATACACAGTCTGCGCTAAAGAAACAAACCATACAGATACCATCATCCCAGCATCAATCTTAAGCCTCGATGGAGCATGAAATGGAGCCATGACCTTGTATCCCCCCTATCCCGGGCCTGCCAGGTGTCATCTAGAATCTCGAGGGCCTTGAGATTGGCCGGCAGCCGGTTGATGGAGTACAGGGCGTTGAATCGCTCAACCACCAGCATCCGCTCGGTATCGTCGGCGGCCGTGAGCTCGGAGCCAGCCGTTAACAGACAGATGGCCTGCATGTTTGTATACCAGTTGGTGGTGGGGATGAGGATGAGATCCCGTACCGTCTGGACGGCATACTGGCGGATGAGTTGATCGGTGAAGTCGTCATGATCCGTGTCTTGATTGGGTTCATCCTGGTCATCCCCCGGCCGGCCACATATTCGATAGAGATTGATCAAGCCGTGGTTCTTAAAGGCATCCCCCAACAGCCCGAGCTGCTGGTCTGTCCGACTGGGCTCCCAGGCGAGTAACTGTTCCTCCAGCGCGTGCTCCAGAAGCGGGTTCCGGACGCCGGATTCGACGACACAGCGGCAATAGCGCCCCAGGTTCCCCAGCAGGTACATGATCTCGACAAAGTAGCCGGTGATGGGGTGGAAGACGCCGAGGGTGCTCTGGACGGCGCTGTACATGGAGGGGACGTTGAGCTCGGTGTGCAGGCGCGGGTCGACGAGAAAGGAGCAGGCCATGTCCCAGTAGAGATAGGAGCCGAGGGCAAGAGTGGCAAAGGGGGTGTTGTACAGGTCGGGCGAGGCGATGATCAGGTCGATGAGGGCGCGGGCGGCGCTGAGATGCTCATAGCCAAACTCGGCCGGCTCGTCCTGGATCCACGAGCTGGACAGGCCCAGCATGAAGACGCTGAGGAAGGTGGTGGGCAGCGGGCGCGGCGTGAGGCCGACCTCTGCGCGCAGGAGGCCCAGCGCGACGCTGCGCTCCTCCAGACACGTCTCCAGCCGGTCCTTGTGGAAGAACTGCTCGTGGGCGGCGCCAATGCTGGTGATGGTGTGCAGCAGGGCGGGCGACTGCTCGAGATAGGCCACGATCGGGAAGGAGAAGGGGTTCAGGTCCGGGTCGAGCACCATGATCTGGCTCGCCCGCTCGCACCAGTATCTCACCAGGCGCCGGTGCCGCGGGCTGGCCGGGTATACCGATGCTGGGAGCGCCAGGCTGGGCACTTCGACCTGCCACTGGCGCAGCTGCGGCACTGCCTCGCACACGGCGCCGCGCTTCTGGCATCGCAGACACACGGGGAACGTCTCGTCGCATTTGACGCGCCGTCGCTTGCAGTTCTTGCACCCGAACCGGCTCTTGCGCAGCTCCCGCGTCGGTGTCGGTGGCTCGTCCTGTCTCGTCGCGATCGTGGCGATGGCGGCTTCCGAGACGGGGGCAAATCGAATATTGTATTTTCATGGCATCTTGATGGTTGGGATGAGAATCTATCGCAGCGGAGGAGACAATCTGGACATATTCATTAGGGTGATAGGAGTGAAAGTGCGGGGAATCATGCTTGTCCAGGGAGGTGTATTTTTCAATCGTGTATTGTCAAATCCTGATTGTCGGTGATATCAGATAAGCTCAGGATTCTCGCATTACGCCCCAAAGAGGAAGCCGGCCAGAAATACTGTACCATATGTACCATATGTACCATATGTACCATATGTACCATATGTACCATATGTACCATATGTACCATATGTACCATATATACCATATATACCATATGTACCATATGTACCATATATACTATATATACTATATGTACCATATATACCATATGTACCATATGTACTATATGTACTATATATACCATATATACCATATATACTATATGTACTATATGTACCATATATACCATATATACTATATATACTATATATATTATATATACTATACTGTAATCTAATATAGATAGATGGCTCTCCTAACAACAATACATAACGGCCTGATTGGTACTTGATTCCCTAATTATATTCTCCTCTTGGAAACATCTCAACTCTATACTATGACTGCCTCTGACCATCACGATGAGCTCATCCAGGGCCATGTCCGTGAGCTGCCCAGCCAATTCTCCCTGCTGTCCCTGCTGGCGTTTGCCTTCTCCATCATGAACTCCTGGGTGGCCTTTGTGAGCCTGCTGGTGACCAACCTGACCCTCGGCGGGCCTGGTCTCTGCCTCTGGGCCACCATTGTTGCCTGTGCGGCCGCAACCATCATCGCCATGGGGCTGGCGGAGTTGGTTTCAGCGTTTCCCTCCAGTGGTGGGCAGTACCAGTGAGCCTATCCTATATCCTATACTTCCATCGATGATAACATTCGTCTCATTCCATAGTTGCGCCCTGATGGTCTACCCCCTCCGATACCGAGCAGCCGCTGCGTTTGCCACGGGCTGGCTCAGCGTGCTGGGATACCTGTTCACCACGGCCTCGAGTGCCATCTTCGTGGCCGAGTCGATCATGGGCGTCGCGGAGATCTATTACCCAGCCTTTGCCGCCCAGCGGTGGCAGATCTGGTGCATCTACGCCCTGATGCTGATCCTCGCCACCGTCGCCGTCACCGTCTGGCCCTCGCTGGTGCCCCGTACGCAGTCCAGCTTCTTCGGGGCCTCCGTCCTGGGCATGCTCGTCATCACCATCGCCGTCCTGGCCGCCAGTCCCACCAAACAATCGGCTGCCGTGGCCCTGGTCAACTACGACAATTCCTCCGGCTGGCCGTCGGGTATTTCCTTCATGTTGGCCACCGGCCAGTCCATGTGGTCGTAAGTAAGCCTATCCGATAAGACCCTCCCTACCCTAACGAATAATAACCTCAGATTTGCCTGCGTCGACAGCGCCACGCACATGGCCGAGGAGATCCCTCGCCCCGAGAAGAACGTGCCGTTGGCGATGCTGCTGGGCATGCTCATCGGCCTCGTCACCATGGTCGGCTTCACACTGGCCATGCTGTTCTCCGCGACGGATTTCGACCAGATCGCCACCTCCGCCGCGCCCATGTACGAGTGCTTCATCCAGGCGTTCGACTCGCCGGGCGCCTCCCTCTTCCTCACCATCTGGGTGATTATCGTCTATTTCGGCTCCTGCGTCGGCCTCATCACCACCACCGGCCGCCTCATCTGGGCTTTTTCACGCGACAACGGCCTGCCCTTCTCCAGCGTCTTCGCCACGGTCAACCGCCAGCTGCTCGTCCCTGCCAACGCCAACATCGCCACCTGTGTCTTCTGTCTGGCGTACGGCTGTCTGTATATCGGCTCCCCCGTCGCCTTCAACACCTTCATCTCCACCGCCATCCTCTTCCTCAGCCTCAGCTACACCGTCCCGCAGATCCCCCTCCTCTTCCACAAGAACCGCGACCAGTGTCTCCCGCCGCGGCCCTTTTCTCTCGGCCGCTTCCTCGGGCCCTTCTGCAACCTCTTCTCCATCGCCTGGGTCCTCCTCTATGCCCTTCTCTTCTCCTTCCCCCTGGTCATCCCCACCACTCTCGCCGACATGAGCTACGTCTCCGTCGTTCTGGTCGCCTCCATTGTCTTTGTCGGCTCCCTCTGGTTCCTCGGCGGCAAGCGCTCCTCCTTCACGGGGCCTCTGCAGTACATGGAGGCCGTCCACGCCGATCTCGCCGTTGCCAGCAAGGCGTCGCCGGCCAGTGGTTTGGACAAGTCCAGCTCGGTGTCGGAGTAATCTATCGTTTGTGCCTGAGTGAATGGCTATACTTGGTGGACTATATATAGATATACTACCACCAGTATCCAGCAATTCATAGAGAAATGTTGAATAATATATTATCATATAATAATAACTAAAATAAGGGGTATAATATATTTTAATATAACCCTCTATAACCCTATTATACAGTGTACTATCACTAATTATAAGGATTATTACGGATTATAATATTGATGAATATGTTATATTGTAGACATGCGGAAATCCTGCCATAATTCAGTGATAAGAAATCAACCAATTTAACTAGTTACTATAAGAATTAAGAATGGTCAACCAAGACGGACTTACAGTACTGATACCTGTCAATACCTGACAGATACCATTACCCACTTTCCCAATCCAGACAGTATGCGATGGATCATATAACAGATAAGTGATATATATTCCTCCCCCTGGTACCTGTGTTTGCGATACCCCCCCCCCCCTAAATCTTCAATATGGGCTCAGAAGCTGTGACGGTGGATGTGCTGGTCGTTGGCGCCGGGGTGGGCGGGATCTACGCCACGCACCGGCTCACCAAGCTCGGCCTCAGTGTACGATGCATCGACATGGCCGGCGACGTGGGCGGGACGTGGTACTGGAACCGCTACCCCGGGGCGATGAGCGACACGGAGAGTTACCTGTACCGCTACTCGTGGGACAAGGAGGACCTGCAGAGCTACCCCTGGACGCACCACTATGTCTACCAGCCGGAGATCCTGCGCTATCTGGAGCATGTCGTGGCCAAGCACGATCTGCGGCGGTACATGCAGTTCAACACGGAGATGACGGCCGCGACGTGGGACGAGGCCCTGGGCCGGTGGCACATCGAGTGTGCTGGTGCTGGTCGTCATCCCGGGTTCGTCGCCCGCTATCTGGTCAACTCGCTCGGCCTGCTGTCCGCCCCAAACTACCCAGCCATCCCCGGGCTCGAGTCCTTTGCCGGCGAGCTGGTGCACACGGCGCGGTGGCCCGAAGGCCTGGCGCTGGCCGGCAAGCGGGTGGGCATCATCGGGAACGGGTCGACGGGCGTGCAGGTCATGACGGCCATTGCCCCCGCGGTGGGCAGCCTGACCTCCTTCCAGCGGCACCCGCAATACTCGGTGCCCAGCGGGCAGGGCCCGGTGCCCGGGGGCTACCGGGCGGGCATCAACGCCCGGTACGACGAGATCTACGCCGGGGTGTGGGCGTCCAGCGTCGGCTTCGGGGTGCCCGAGTCGACGCGCAAGACCATGGAGGCCAGCCCCGAGGAGCGCCGCCAGGCGTTTGAGGAGGTATGGCGGCAGGGCAACGGGTTCCGCTTCATGTTCAGCGCCTTTGGCGACATCACCACCGATGTGGCCGCCAACGGCGCCGCCTGCGACTTCATCCGCCGCAAGATCGACGCCATCGTGCAGGATCCCCGCAAGGCCGCCATCCTCAAGCCCCGGGACCTGTACGCCCGCCGCCCCCTGTGCGATTCCGGCTACTACCAGATCTTCAACCTCCCCCACGTCGACGTGGTGGACCTCCAGGCCACCCCGATTGACGCTCTTGTGCCGCAGGGGATCCGCACCGCCGATGGCACCCTGCACGAGCTGGATGTGTTGATCTTCGCCACCGGGTTCGATGCCTTTGAGGGCAGCTACCTGCGCATCCGCATCAAAGGCCGCCAGGGGAGGACCCTCAAGGACCACTGGGCCGCCGGACCGACCGCGTACGGCAGCATCGCCTGTGCCGGGTTCCCCAACATGTTCCTCATTGCCGGCCCGCAGGGGCCCTTTGCCAACTTCCCGCCCGTCATTGAAAGCGAGACCAACTTCCTGGTTGACTGTATCCAGCACGCCGAGCGCAAGAAGACCATCATGGAGGTCACGTCGGCCGCCGAGAAGGCGTGGGGGGCGCTCTGTGACCAGCTGGTTGCCGGCTCGCTTTTTCTCACCACAGACAGCTGGGTGTTTGGGCGTAATATCGAGGGCAGACGGGCGAGCACCAAGTTCTATTTCGGAGGGCTCAACCGCTATCTGGAGTGGGTGGATGGGGAAAGGGAGGGGGGGTTTGTTGCATTCAATGGTAGTTCTCTGCCAGATGCGTGAATTCAGTGTTGGGTGGGTGTTGGGTTAGGGTTAGGGTTAGGGTTATCTACCTCAAAGTGCTGTTGAAAGGGCTCACTATATGTCCCTAGCTAGGTAGCACAAGTAACAAGTAGCATAGATACAACTGCCAGATGCGTGAATTCAGTGTTGGGTGGGTGGGTTGGGTTGGCCTAGGGTTAGGGTTAGGGTTAGGGTTTAGGGTCTAGGGTTTACTATGTGTCCTTAGCTAGGTAGCACAAGTAATACAACTAGCAAAGATACAACTGCCAGATGCGTCAATTCAGTGTTGTTGAGGATTAGGGTTAGGTTAGGGTTAGGGTTTTCCACCAAAGTGCCGTTATCAGGGTTTACTATGTGAGTAGCACAGTAGATATAGCTGCCAGAGCGTGAAGTTTCAGTGTTGGGTTGGGTTGTGTCTTGCTGTTATCATACTAGGATTACCACATCACTAGTATAATAGTTTATTAATATCTAATTCTATCTATCATTAAAGCTACTATTGGTTATTTAGACTACCATGACTCTGTCTTATTGTTCCGGCCTAATATTACTGCTTTGGGGCTCAATGCGACTGCGGGTCTTATCACTACATTTAATGTCATCCTGCCCTCCACTACTTTACTCTTTCTACTCTCTACTCTCTACTCTCTACTCTCTACTCTTTCTACTCTTTCTACTCTATTTCACTCCTCTCTACTCTCTACTCTATCTACTTCTCTAGAATGCCCCCCTCTATTCCTAACCTCACCGGCTCGTCCTCGCCCTCCGCCGTGCCCTACGGCCCCTACAAATCCTTTCCCTGGGAGCCTCTGCCAGAATACGGCGGCTCCAAGTCCGTCATCTACCGCTCTGAAGATGGCAAGGTCGTCGCTGCCGCCGCAACAGAGACCGGCACGGCGACCTTGACGTACCCGTGCGACGAATTCTTCTACGTGACGAGCGGATGGATCAAGCTCGCGGTGCATGGCGGCGACACGTTTACCCTGTCGCAGGGCGAATTTGTGTATCTGAAGAAGGGGACGACGGTGGACTTTACTTTTGGGCCGGACTTTGCCAACGTCGCGGTGTTTATTGACACGGAGAAGGTGACTTTACTCTAGAAGTATCTTCACATATCTTAATTCAGTACCGAGTAATCACATTGAATACTTTCCTATCTATATACTTTCCCCTTGGCTACTCCGTTCCGTAAACTTGATCTCCAGTCGGTGTCCCTTCGGCCCGGCCAGGTAGGCGTCCAACAAGTCCATGTCGCCGTGGTCGTGGATGGTGGTCGTGAAGTTGGCGTAGATGGCCGCCACCAGGTATTTCATTGCTGCCGATCAGTAACGTCCAATGCGGCATTCAGATGAGTCTTACAGTAGAAAGCAAAGTTGCTGCCGATGCACATCCTCCCCCCGCTGCTGAACCCCCAGAACCAGCGCTTCATCACTGCGAGATGCTCGGGGTCGGCGTCCAGCCAGCGCTCCGGCCTCCACGCGTGCGGCTCAGGGAACACCTCGGGCGTGCGGTGCAGGATATAGGCGTACGACTGGACGACGGTGCCCGCGGGGATGTCATCGTAGCCGCCCAGGGAGCACGCCCGGGGCACCACGCGCGGCTGGCCCCCGGGCACGGCGGGCCACAGCCGCAGCGTCTCCATGATCACGGCGTGGAGGATGGGCAGGCTGTCGAGATCCCGGGGCTCGGGCATGTCTTCCATCTGCACGACGGCTTTGTTCTTCTGCACCAGACTGGGGCTCACACCGCGCAGCTCCTCGTACAGCCGGGCCTGCCACTCGGGATTCCGACTCATCTCCCACATCAGATACGTCTCGGTGTTGCCGCTGGTCTCAAAGGCGGCCGAGTTGTGCGCGAACATGTCGCTGGCGATCTGCAGGCGCTGCGGATAGGCGCGAGCGGGCGCGGTGAGGTCGCTCATCGCCCGGAGGGCCTGTTCAAAGACCACCGGCTGGTTCTCCGGGGCGAGCGGCTTGCCGCTCGCCAGCAGCTGCTGGGCGCGGTCGCATTTCTCCAGATTCCAATCCTCAATGGCGCCGAACTTGGCGTCCACCGACTGGGGGACCAGGTACACGCCCACCTTTCGCAGCAGCGCCGCCAGCCCCGGGAAGTAGTACATCCAGAACAGGTACGGGTACGGCGCGAAGAAGCCGTCCAGGTACATCTGGCGCTCCCGGGCGTCGCCCAGCATGTTGCTGCTCAGCGAGCGCCCAAACTGCCAGCCGACAAACGTGTCCATGGCGTACGAGTAGTTCATCTGCAGCACCTCGACGGGCGTCTGGGACCGCGCCGCCTCGCTCAGCAGCGGCAGATACGTGTTGAACAGCACGTCGCGTGTCGAGGCCCGCGCTGTCGGCGATGCCAGCACAAACGACTTGGAGAAGGTGTTGGAGATCTGGCGCTTGCGGGCTGTATGGGGGGCGTTATCCTCAAAGGTGAAGATATTCTCGGTACTGACGATCAGAGGAAGTGAAAACGCAGTGGCAGTGAATAGATCAACTCACTTGTAGATGGCAAACCCCCGGAAGTAGAACACCGGCTTGGGGAATCCGCCCTGGTAGATCTTCTTGAGTCCCTCGTCGAAGCAGTTGATGCTGACCAGGCCGGGAGCCAGACGCACTGCCGGCCCCAGACGCATATGCCTCTCGTACACAGTGCGGTTCTCCCGGCTCGTCCATCGCATCCAGTAGATCCACAGCGGACAGAAGCCGCTCGACCAGTGGGCATGGGGGATCCGGGCCAGGGGGGAGAGAAAGGCAGGGTAAACGATCAGCTTGTACACGGCAGTCACCAGCAGCAGGATAGATAAATATAGAGACTCCATAGTGACTTTTGCCTTACCTATTCACTGTTGTCTCTGTTCACTCTGCACACTTCCCTGCTTTATACTCCGTGGACAGTTCAGGGTCGCATCTCGGTCTAGAGAGGCAAGAATTGGTGGGACAATCAATACAGCAGTAATACAGTAGTAATACAGTAGTAATACGGCAGTAATACAGCATCACTTGTATCTCATATTTAAGTTGCTCACCATTCCAGATAATCTTTAGTCTTCTCACATTCAGATCATGACTGAACCAAAGCGAGTCGCTGTCGTAGGAGGGACCGGTATGTTTCTTCTTCTATCCTTCTTCTATTCTTCTATTCTTCTGACTGTTCAGGCAACCTGGGCGGCTCCGTCGCCCTCTCGCTGCACCGGAACAGCGCCTTCAATGTCCGCGTCCTGTCTCGCAACGCAGAGGCCCCGAAAGCCAACCGGCTGGCACAGCTGGGCATCGAGGTGGTGACGGCCAACGGATGGGATGTCTCGGCTCTCGACAAGGCCCTGGCGGGGTGCTGGGCTTTATTCATCAACATCGACTCTGATAACCCGGTATACACCTGAATGAGCTGATGTCTAGAAAATCCCACTGACCGATATTGAACTTGAACAGGAGGAACAATGGAAATCAGGCAAGCAGCCGTCAGAGTTCGACATGGGCAAGAATATCATCGACTGTGCCGTGAGGGCAGGGGTCAGACACCTCGTCCATGCCTCGTTGCCCGCCGCCTCCAAGCTGACAGACGGCCGCGTTCCGATGATTTCTTTTGACGGTATCCCCTCTTTCTCCTTCACTCCCTCTTTGTTCTTTTTCTTCACTCTCATCTTTAATAAGATAAATCGCGGATTTCGGAATATATGATGGCCGCCGTCGAGACACACGCCATCGAGACTGGCACGGTGGTGAACGCCGGCTGGTTCCTCGAAAACGCGTTTGACCCCAAATACATCGTCTCCTTTGGCGGGTTTGCAGGCGCTGTCGATCCCGACGGATACCTGACCTGGAAGACGCCGCCGATGGGCAACAAGCCAGAGTCAGTGCCCTGGCTAGCGGTGGCGGACGACTACGGCGATCTGGTGCACGGCGTGCTCCTGGACCCGGCCAGATGGAATGGCCAGTATATCGACGGGGTGTCGGAATCGATGGGCTTTGGCGATCTGACGTGGACCTTTCAGAACGGTAATACCATATCCACTCTGTGTATTTTTCTATTGTTGATGTTTAGCAAAGTGACCGGCAAAAAATCTCGCTATCTCCCTGTCGACAACGGCGTCCTGACAGCCGGCGAGGCCACCAAAACAAAGGAAGTCAACGGTCTCTTCGATCTCATGCACGCCCTGCACGGCTGCTTCTTCAACGGGCGGCCCACGGAGCATGAAAAGGCGCGGCTCCTCAAGCAGGCGGCGTTGGCGGCCACCGGGCGCCAGGGGGGGTTGATGACTGTCGAGCAGTTCTTTCGCAAATACGCATGAAGCCAATATGAACATTACTCGTATACTTGTATTTGCAATTCCTAGTGGAGCTCCTCATTGGCCAAGAGAGCTTATCAATAGCCTTCTAACCAGTGGATGCTTATCAAGTAACTATTCCATTCTCAACTGATAGGCAGTGCCTGTATTGATAAGGTATTCGGGTGTATTATGGAATGCCGTATTCCGATACCATACGGTTGATGCTCCGTACAACCTCGCATTCATGACTTTTTGAGTAAGTCTTTTATTGACTTCTTGAGTAAGCTATCATGAGACCATATCTATGAATCATTGTGAATTGCGATATCGGCTACTTCAATGTCTTAAGGTCGAGACACCTCACCCTGCATTCTCTCCATACCGCATTAGCCATGTCAATGTCTGACCTGTTTGTCCAGTTGACTGCCCCCAACGGGCTGACCTATTCCCAGCCCATCGGACTCTGGATCAATAATGAATGGGTGTCCTCCTCGTCTGCAGAACGGATCGTCTCCATCAATCCCACGTACGGCGGTTTTCTACCCTTTCCGCTTGCATTTCTGACACCTTTAGAAACGCAGCTGAAATCACCGCCGTCCATGCCGCCTCCTCGGCAGACGTCGACATGGCTGTCAAGGCCGCGCGCGCAGCCTTCAACAACCCGGCGTGGCGAGACTTGAGCTCGACAGCCCGCGGGGATCTCATGTTCAAGCTGTCGGCGCTGGCAGAGCAGCACAGCCACCTGTTGGCCACCGTCGAGACATGGGACAACGGGAAAGCCTTCTCCAGCGCCCAGGGAGACGTCGACGAGGTCGTTGGCACGCTCAAGTACTACGCCGGCTTTGCAGACAAGATCCATGGCCAGACAATTGAGACCAGTCCGGCCAAGTTTGCCTATACCTTGAGGGAGCCGGTGGGAGTCTGTGGGCAGATCATTCCGTACGCCTACCCAACCCTATCCTAACTCTTCTCTACTGCTTCGATTTGCTAATTTCTAGATGGAATTACCCCCTGGCGATGGCTGCGTGGAAATTGGGCCCTGCGCTGGCGTGTGGAAACACCGTCGTGCTCAAGGCCGCGGAATCGACCCCCCTGTCGATCCTGGTCTTCGCCAACCTCATCAAAGAGGCTGGATTCCCTCCAGGCGTAATCAACATTATCAACGGGCACGGGAGGGAGGCTGGCGCCGCGCTCATCCAGCACCCAGATGTCGATAAGGTGGCCTTTACAGGGAGCACAGCAACCGGCCGCGAGATCATGAAGATGGCCAGCCAGACGCTCAAGACAATCACCCTCGAGACAGGCGGCAAGAGCCCGCTGCTGGTCTTTGCCGACGCAGACCTCGACAACGCCGTCTACTGGGCGCACAAGGGGATCATGGCCAACCAGGGCCAGATCTGCACGGCGACCTCGCGCATCCTGGTGCACGACAGCCTCTTCGACGCCTTTCTCGACCGGTTTGTCGCCTACATCCCTACCGTCTCGCGGCTGGGCGATCCCTTTGTTCCGGGAACCACGCAGGGTCCTCAAGTCTCGCAGGCCCAGTACGACCGGGTGCTCGCGTACGTCCAGATCGGCAAGCAAGAGGGCGCCCGGCTGGTGTGTGGCGGGGAGCCCTTCATGAGCAGCGGCTACTTCATCCAACCGACCGTCTTCACCGAGGTGACGGAGGAGATGCGCATCTACCGCGAGGAGGTCTTTGGCCCGTTTGTCGTCCTCGTCCGCTTCACGTCGGACGAAGAGGCCCTCCGCCTCGCCAACGGAACCGAGTACGGGCTCGGCGCTGCCCTGTTCACCAGCCACCTCTCCAAGGCCCATCGCATGGCGCGTGCCATCCAGTCCGGCATGGTCTGGATCAACTCCAGCAATGACTCCGACTACCGCGTGCCCTTTGGGGGGGTCAAGCAGTCGGGGATTGGGCGCGAGCTGGGCGAGGCGGGACTGGCGGCGTACAGCAACATCAAGGCCGTTCATGTCAATCTGCGAGTTTAATCAAATTCACTATCTTGTAGCTATAGTTGTATGTAGCTATAGTCTGCTATAAACGCCGAGTTGATCCCAGCAGCTTCTAAACCTTCTTCTGCAGCTTTATCATATAAGTAGGAGAAATAAGATAGATAAAAGGTAGACAATTACTAACCTTCTATCTATCTATTATCCGCGCTAGGCTCTGCGCACAGAAAGGCATTGTGTACGGGAAGCTATTGTCGTCGCCGCCACGCTGGATCGCCTGCGCCGGTGTATGTGTCTCGGGTCGCCGGACTCTTGTACCAGGTGGGCAAAGATACCAGTCACCATGCGGTACACCCATGCAGCTCCCGCAGTGCCTACCAGGGCTCCTTTGGCGGTGGGAAGGTGTAAACCTGTTATCGTAGTTAGCTGAGTTCATGTTGTGAATAGGTTAGAAATAGAGTTAGGGTTTAGGGTTAGGGTTAGGGTTAGGGTGAGGGTTAAGATGGGATTGGGATAGGGTTGGGATAGGTACCTTTGATTCATCTCCTTCCCGGAGCTGCCAACGACCCTTGAGGTCAGGAAATGCAGCATTGAGCCCGTCGAGCTTCTGTACTTATATACAGTGCACTATATATTGCACTGTTATATAATGATATGATGGAAATACATTGTATGGTAATACCAAACCTATGAGCATACCGTATGCGCTAGTCAGGGGCCAAAACAGCTGCCTTCCCTAATTAGCACAGATGCGAGTAGTCACGGGATATTCTAGCCCCATAAAGTGAATCCTTTATCTCCCAAGGCAATCAATAGAGAGTGCGTGGCTTATTGTCTAGACTGTGGATAAGCTTCCCGATCAGGTCAAAATGCGGCCCTGTGTTATCTGCCAGCCACGGCTAATGAGGTTATAAGAGCTACTACATACAGTCTAAGTGCACCCAGTTACTCTATTCCCCACTCAACCACAATCAACATGGTCAAAGTAACAATTCTCGGCGCCGGGTGAGGGTTTGCAGCCAATAGTGCCATTGCGATTCCAATTGCTGATGATGGCAGAGTCACCGGCATGACCATTGCCAGCTGCCTGCCCAAGGACTCGGAGATCACCATTGTCGGCGCCCACCTGCCCGGCGACGCCCCGAGCAAGGAATGGGCCAGTCCCTGGGCCGCCGCCATCTGGGTCGGAGTGCACGAATCCAGCCCGCGCGAGCAGGCGATGCAGCTGCGCGCCTTTGCCGGCCTGTGGGCGCTGGCCGAGACCGACCCGGCGTCGAGCGTGCGCCGCACGACCGTCACCGAGATCATGGACATGGGCTGCAAGGCCGACGTGTGGTACCAGTACAAGGTGCCCGACTTTCGCTTCCTGGGGCCCGGCGAGCTGCCCCAGGGCGCCCTGTACGGCATGAGATACTCCTCCGTGGTCATCACCCCGACGGTCTTTCTGCCCTGGATGGCGGCCCGGCTGCAGGCCCAGGGCGTGCGCTTCCAACGGCTCAAAGTCACCTCGCTCGCCCAGCTGCAGGGTATGGGCCACGACATCCTTATCAACGCCTCGGGCTATGGCTCCAAAACCCTCCTGGACGTGCAGGACTCGGCCATGCTGCCGGTGCGTCTGCAGTCCGCCATCATCAAGCACCCCACGTATCAAGGCCTACACATCCACCGTGGCCGGGACTACTATTCCACCCAGTTTTCTCGCTTGGACGGCACCGTCTATATCGGCGGCATCATTGAGTATGGCTCCGATGATGTATCGGTCACCGAAGATGGTCGGGACTTGGTATGTCCACTCGACGAATGGTTGTGTTGTACAGCAGACTAACATATCCAGATCTTCCGTCGTGCCCACCAGGAGCAGCCGGAAGTGTTTACCTCGCCAGACGCCCAGGATTACGACCTCGTCAGCGACCATACGGGCTTCTATCCCATGCGGGCCCGCGACAAGGGCGGCGTGCGCGTGGAAAAGGAGCTGCTCGGGTCGCAGAAGGTCATCCATGCCTATGGCCAGCACGCGGGGGGTTATGTCTTCAGCTTCGGCATCGCTCACGAAGTGGCCAATTTGGTTGCCGAGTTTATGGACCAGATCCCGGCCACTTCGACTCCTGTTCGTCCTGCTCGACTGTCGTAATAAGATATAAAGCGTGTTTCTTTTGCCATCTGCATAATAAGCAAGTACATGTTGATCAGTACTGCAGAATAAACCTGAAAATATCAAGTTAATAGTAGTATATATTGCTATTTAAAGGGTCTTCATCTATTTATAAAGTATTAATAATTGTTCTATAGATACCTCAGTGCATGGTATTCTTGCTATATTCTAATACTAAACATTCTATGATCTAAATGATAAAGTAAAGGCTTTAAGATTATTCTTTTATTAGGGAAATGTTACAGCAGAGGCAGAATGGTTGGCAGGAACATAGAAGTATAGGCTAACCTAGGGGTTATATAATCCTTAGACTAAGGCTATAAAGAAAGGACTTACTCAAGAACTAGTTTAATCTATGAGACTTCAACTTATTTCTATATATATGATATATAAATAAGGGCCTTACTTCTCTTTCACTCAACTATCTTATTTAGTATGAGGAACAGCATGCTCTCAACTGGATAAAGTATACCTAAGACCAGTATTAACAGACTAGATTTAGTTAGTGATACTCAGAGCCATAAAATGTACCCTGTAGTCCGCCGTACCAGTGCTGAAGCGCTAAAAATTGATGACAGATGAGGGGTTGGGAATGTATGACAGACTCCTTATGACTCTCTCTACCCTTTCCATACTCTACCAGCTATTCTTCTTCCGTTATTCAAATGAGACCTATTCCCACGGCCGAGGAGGTCCTCCCCACCATGCAGCGCATCGTCGACCGGTACAATGCCGTGCGCGAGGAGATCGTCGAGAGCGTGTCGGTGACAACCGCCTCCTTTAACAATGTCGTCTACCCCTGCATCGAGGTCGACCACTCCTAGCCGAGGCGGAGAGTGCATGGAATTCCCGAGAGGATTTTTTTGATATACTTTGGGCAGTTTATAAAAACCAAAACATCGATCAATACGGGAAGGAATCCATTCTGTGGCTGGAAAAAGAACTGCGAGCTTACACACGAGCTGGACATGGACAGCTCTCGACGGAAGAGCGTGATGCACTCCGCAGAGAACAGACAGTGACTTCCGATCTTGAAAAGGCATTCCGCCAGAATCTGATGCAGGAGAGCAGGGGAGTCTGGCTGACACCGGAAGAGGTAGAGGGGGTTCCAGAGAGAGAACTGAAGGAATGGAAGGAATCTGCCGAGTTGGCTGGATCAGGAGAAGACAGCAGGATATTCATCCCCTTTGCGAATGGGGGTTATAGAGCCATCCTAACACACGCCACATCTCCCGTCGCCCGCGAAAATATGTGGCGGGCTCATGGCGTGAAGCTGCCCGAAAATGTGCCCATTCTGCAGGAGATCGTCTCACGGCGTGAGGCAATGGCCCATCTGCTGGGATATTCAGACCATGCGGCCTTTCGGCTAGAGGAGCGGATGATACAGGATGCAGATCAAGTTGCTACTTTCTTGGCACGATTGCAGGATATAATACGCCCATACGCCCAGAGGGAAGTCAATGCATTAAAAGAGATGAGAAGGATGGACAAGGATCAGGAGTGCCAGGATGACACGCTTCCCCCATGGGATCGGCTGTATTATCAACGACAGCTAGAAACATCGTTTCATTGCGACCAGGAGGCCATCGCAGAGTATTTCCCCTTGCAACAGACAGCAACGGCAATGCTTGATATCTTCGCCACGATGCTGAATCTCCGTTTTGACTCTGTGGAGGGATTAACATTCCCCTTGATCTGGCACGAGAGTGTGCGGGTGTTCACTGTATGGGATGGAGATGTCTTTCTAGGCAATCTTTATCTTAATCTTGTCTGGCGGGAGAAGAAGTATAGGGGGGAGCAGTGTGTGATCATGGAGCTGGTAAGGATTATGGAAATCATGGTTATAAAATCTAAGCAGTCATTATCAGGGATACTCTCATGGTAAGAGACAGCCTCCATCTATCCTATTGATGGCTACATTCCCAGCGAAAGAAGTCATCCTGCTTCACCACCATGAAACGACCAGTCTGTTCCATGGTATATTCACCACCCTGTCACCTGTTTGACCTTACTAACTATTTAATAGAAATGGGCCACGCAATTCACAATCTGCTTTCTCACACGCAATACGCTCGTTTCCATGGAACCCTGCTCCCCATTGATTTCGGCGAGATCCCCGGCATGATGCTTGAAAACTGGTGCTGGCGAGCAGACGTTCTGCAGAAGATAAGCTGTCACTATACTTATCTAGATAATATTCTATCATCTCGCTGGCGGGCCTTGCATCCCAGACAGCCAGATCCCCCGCGATCCATTCCGGATCAGCAGATGAATGCCCTTCTGTGTGCCTGTCAAGGAAAGGCATTATACTACTCTTCCATTCTGTGGGTCTCATATACTTAACTGTCTTGTCTTCTCTTATACTTGAGCTTATCAAATAATCTCCAGGGCCACTGCACATTTTGACCTCACAATCTACAGAAAACATGGTATGATGCCCAGGAAAAACTAGGAATAGATTTCTCCACCTGTCGTGATGGCTTTGATTTTGTCAACTTCGGCCATCTGGTCAGCGGGTACGATGCAGGGTATTACGCGTACGTCTGCTGCGCTGCCATCGCCCAGGATCTATACCGCACTTGTTTCGCGGAGGACCCATGGCGGGGTGAGACGTGGCAGGAATACAAAAGGCTATTGCTTGTGCCGGGATCTTCTCGGGCTATTGGAGGCTTTTCTTGGCAGGGCAGTTGAGCCGGATGCGTTGGTCTGGGGGTGGTAGCCACAGGAAACCATGTTGTACTGTTCATATTGATTAAGAGTATATTAAGCATACCCAAGGCGCCAAGGCATCTAGATTGATATTCCAATAGTAACTAGCTACCTAATATCATTCATGACTAACAGAAGGAATGTAAATAGTTAATCATTAATATAAGTAACCTAAATATAAGCATTCCTATAGCTATAGTTATTAAGATCCGGGCATATTTAATCTAGTGATAACCCTTTTCTCTAGAAATAGGTAAAATATACTGCCAAATAATTTCCATTTCTAATACAATCATAAATGAATGTTTCTTGATTAGATGGTTATTATACTACTAAAGCAGCTTACCCCACCTTATACAACCTAGACTTTCAACATCACTTCTCTCCAATTCGTCTTCCTGATATCAAGTCAGTTCTATTAAAATGCTCTCTGCTCTGATCATTCTCATCCCTCTCATCATCCTAGTGGTGATATTGCGCCGGGCATTCCCCCGCCGGAATCTCCCCCCCGGCCCCCGTGGAATGCCCGTGATCGGGAATCTGTTTGATCTTCCCCCGTCCGGCGTCCAGGAATGGCATCACTGGCTGAAACACAAGAGTCTATACGGTAGGTTGAGTCCTCATATTCCATTTATGATGGAAACAATACTCTGTACTAAGCGACAGGCCCGATCAGTTCCGTCACCGTGCTCGGCCAGACGCTCATCCTCATCAACGACCGCGCCCTGGCCGTGCAGATCCTCGATAAAAACGCTGCAAAGCATTCATCCCGGCCGCATCTCAATTTCACTGAACTGTACGGTTCCCATGGCTTAATAATACGGATAACCCTCCATACTGACTTGGTACGATCAGCACGGGATGGGGAAACGTGCCTTCGAGTCAAGATAACGGCCCTCTGCTGCGCCGCTACCGCCGCGCCATGACTCGAGTCCTGGGAACGCGCGAGTCAACGTCTCGATTCGACCGGCTGTTGGAATTAGAAGCCCGTCGGTTCGCGTGTCGTGTGCTGCAGACGCCGGAAGACTTTGCCGCCCATAACCGGACGTGGGTTTTGATCATTTCATTGACACTTCTATACATCATTAACCTACGCACAGCGCTGCCGGTGCATTCATTCTGAATATCATCTACGGCTACCATATTGAGCCATTCGGCGAAGACCCCCTGGTCCGGCTCGCCGACCAGGCAATGAAAGAGTTTGCGGATGCGGTCGTGCCTGGGGCGTGGCTGGTCGATGTGATTCCTGCTTGTTAGTTGGACCCTGCGAGGAGGAAACCATCCATGATTTAACAGAAAAAGTGAAATATCTCCCGTCTTGGATGCCCAGGGCGGGATTCCAGCATGTCGCCCGCAGGTACTTGGCCACCGTGACGCGATTCGTCGAGGACCCCTTTGCTTTTGCCAAATGCAAGATGAGCGATGAAGATCGACCGTGTTTTGTCTCGACGCTTCTCAGCCAGGGCGAGGATGACAAGATCGTCAAATGGGCTGCGCTGGGACTGTACGGAGGAGGATCTGATACGGTATTCATTCTCTTCTTCCGTACTTGACCTACATCAGATTCCCTTTCTAAACAGCTCTGTAGTCGGTCGGTGTGCTGGAAGCATTCTTCCTGGCTATGATGGTCTTCCCCGACGTCCAGCGTACCGCGCAGGCAGAGCTCGACGCCGTGTTGGGCACACCTGTTCTACCCACAACCGCTGACCGAGACCGACTGCCATATGTCAACGCCCTCGTCCAGGAGTGCCTTCGATGGCACACAATGACGCCTCTGGGCCTCCCGCACCGGACTGATGCTGACGATCTTGTCGATGGGTTATTGATTCCGAAGAACGCGATCCTCATCCCGAACATCTGGTATGTCTGCACTTATCCGCGTGCTATCGTCTCTAATATCTCCGGCAGGGCTTTCAACAACGATGAAGAAATATATCGCAATCCCCGCGAGTTCCGACCTGAGCGTTTTCTATCCGAAAACGACTCCCACCCGTCCCTCGACCCGGCCGAGGTGAGTTTTGGCTTCGGACGAAGGGTGTGTCCAGGCCGACAAATCGCCGAGACGTCGATCTTCTTAATGATCGCGCACACGCTGGCGCTGTTCAACATCTATAAAGCCCGGGATGAACAAGGGCGCGAGATCGAGCCCGCAGTCGACTTCATGCCGGGCATTCTCAGCCATCCGGCTCCGTATGCGGCTGTGTTCACTCCGCGCAGCGCGGACCATGAACGGATTCTTCGCGAGTTTGAGAAAGAGCATCCGTTCGGACGGGGGGACTCTGAAGAGCTACAGCGGATTGTCGGGTTAGAGTAAGCCAGTGCGAGCTGATGTGCTCTTGGCCCTCTATTTGACTGTTTTTAAACTATAGATGCAATAACTTGGGACAATGGCTTTATGGGTTCATGGTTGCTATTTTTTGATGTGCTTGATTACTATAACTCATATTAAATACTTAATAAATCTAGTATTCTCTTAGGTTAAAGAGTTAGCCCTAACAGCTGTATTAGTGATAGGGATGTTGAATAGAACTTACTATAGTATTCCAGTGACACCATGACTCAAAGTAATACTCAAGTATAGCCAGGAGACCTATCTATGATGATGAGGAATTGGGAAATTGGATCTCATATGATACACAATTGTGGGTATCTTGACTTCAGCTCAAAGGACAGGGATTTTCCTGTATGGAGCCAAATATGGTTATATGCAGTACTACACATTGCTAGTTTATATAATAGTAAAATATATATCATTATTATTAGTTATAAACTAGGGATATATTATGAATATGGGCAAGGCCGCAGATCTTAATAGATCAGCAGATAAATGTAATTAGGTATTCATTATAGTTAGTTCACACTTATCTGTAGGCATTTCATCTAATTAGAACACCAGGATATAATTTCTATCTAGTTCCATGCCTTTCCTTTATGCAATAGAGGTCTTTATACTATAACTTATGATCAGGTTGCATATCAGGTCAGGGTGGGGTGCGCATGACACATGTGCGGTACGGCACGGCCCGGAAATGGACATGATAGCTCTAGACATCCTGTCAAGGATCCCGACAATAAGACCGGGGGTTGATTAGTTGATCTGATGGAATACTTTTCCTTGTTTGGGGTTTAATTGCCTCATACCAGTTCTCATTCTGAGGTCATCTATATGTAGCGTAGCCTGAAGGGAGGAAATATACATCTGTTGATATTAGTCCTCTTACTGGAGTATATTAAAGTAGGATCTAATTGAATGGCTATGGTCTAGCTATCTTTGCAACACATTCCATTCCTTGGAGAACAAGCATAAATTCTATGCCTGGAATAGTTCTAGGTAGGGATTGCAACATATTAGTGGGATAAAACAGCAAGTGATGACAGGACAACCGAGTCACTCTGCATATCGATATAGGGTGGGTTGCCAATCTGACACGGGGACGTTTCATTCCGAAAATATCCGACATGGTCAAAAGTGATTACTTGCATTGCAGAGAAGTAAAATAAATCAATAGAATCCTTACCCTACAAGAAAACAGGGTCTATGCATTGGATATTACATCATGCAAATAGAATGTGATATCATATTAGGCCTAAAATTTATAAATGCTGGTAAATTTTAGGCAGCTCAAGAAACATATCTTATCTATATAAGGCCCATTGTGAGCAAAAGTATTCATAGTACACAGTAAAAAGGAAGAAAAAATCGCTCATCTTGTAATCATGTACATGGTGGCAGAAGCAGTCTTCTTGGCCATTGGCCTCTCCCTGCTAGTTCTCATCATCATGCTGATATATGCTGTCTATCCTTCACGACAGCTGGTCTCCCAGCTCGACACAAAAACAACTGTTATGGGGAGACCGCTATTCTTCCCTGTCGTTCTCGCGCATAACCGCGTCAAGCCTGTGCGGGATCAATTCCACCATCACATGCTCCTGGTGGGTGTGCCTGTTGGTCTTTGCGGCCACATAGGCAACGTCTTGTCCATCACAGACAAGTCTTGGAAGAAGAGCTGGTTCCACATTGAATCCGGACGATATCTTGGTCGGGGCGATGGGCATCTTAGCCTCGAAGAGAAACTGCACTGCTTCTTACGTGATCTGGTATGTATGCATATATGTATCTGGTCTTTCAGGATACACTCTGACTGATAGAACCTCGATCCCTCGCGGTGGCCGTACGCATATCTACTGACGACTCCGCGGTGGCTGTGGTGGTTCCACAATCCCTTGAGCTGGTGGTATCTATACTCGGCAGAAGGTGAGCTGGATGCAGTGATCATGGAAGTCAATAGCTTCTATGGAGAGAAACGAAACTTCTTCTTCCACGTCGAAGGCTATGGGAAGCAGGTGTCTTATCCTCAACACACAGCGGGAGACATGCTGGATGCTGTTCAGTCTGTCGAGTCTGTGACCTCGGCTTCAAGATTCACCTTCTACAAGGGATCTTGGCAGAAGCACCTCTTCACCACCCCCTATGAAAAGGTAGAGGGCAGCATGGCCGTTCGAGTGATGGATCCGATCAAAGACACTGCATGGAGTGATCGAGTCTCCTTCTCCAACCTGACAAGCATCAGCCCGGAAGGTGATGCCCGCCTGGCAGCCCGGATGACCTGCTGTGAGGCCCCGGTAGACCCAATGCGCGTGTCTGCCTTGACTCTTGCCTCGTTCCTGTTGCGATGGAGCCTTCCGGTGACTCTGGCTAAACTACAGATCCTCTATCATGCTCTCCGGATCCGTTACACAGGTCTGATGAGCATGACTGACAGACCCGTCATTCGCAGGGGGAGTCTTCCTCACCCAGCAAGCCGGATCGAGAAGTATGCCCTATTCTCTCCTATCGAGTCGCATCATGCCCTAAGCTGACTGGCCATAAGAACCCATGAGACCTTTTTCCGGGAATATCTCTCCCATCGCGTCAAGGCTTTCCCTGACGCACTGGAACTGTGCTACCTGCCCTCCCGCGGAATATCCAATAAGACGATCATTATGCGTTCAACTACGGAAGATGAGAATCTCCGTGTTCTTGAGCTTGAGCCGCTGGATCCGGGCTTCTTTACGCGCATCGTTCATTCTCCCTCCATCGCCGAGGGACTGGCGTTGGAGATGACTACAGGTGGCACTCCGGCCGATCCTGAAGCGTGCAATCTGTGGGTATCAGACCCAGAATTGTTCACCCGACTTTTGCGCCCTCGTAAACCCTCCAAAAAGGCCAACAGACCGATTGGTGCGGGCTTGCCGTGGCATGGACTCTCTTGGCTGAGGGGCACTCGATCGCCCAGCGAAATGGACTTGTTCGTGCAGTCCGAGATGCCACCCTCGCGGCGCATGGTCTATGTATGGACCCTGGTGTGCGATCTGATGATGAAGCGATTCCTGCCGGATTTCCCTCGACGGATCCAGATCTACAGCCTGGCAGTCCTCTTCACTTTGTCTTGGCTGCTTTATACTGGGATAGTTGATCTGGCGCGGAATCTCTCTTTACTGAGGTTCATCCCGTTCCCCTTGGTCTTTATTGGGCTGGGATATGTCGCTAAGCAGGTGGTTGGATGGCGATAGATGGATCACTTAGGATGGAGCAATGCCATGTTCTTATTATATTTAGTTACTTATTTCATCAATCCAACTTGAGTCAAAGGGAAACTGAATGAGAAATACTATTCACTGATGTATATCTATATGTACATATTAGTTGGTTTTATATAGTATCCTCCTAGCCTTAGTATACGGAGTATATAAAACCAAACCCTAGCCTCCTAGTTGAATAATCAGTCATAATGAATGGCTATCAAGTATAAGTATCAACTCCTGAATATTAAATAGTCTAGTTGGATAGGGTAAGGAATAATAAGCATAATACTCTATTTAGAATGGTGGCGTTGGTATTGGGGTTTAGAGATAGCCTGTGGTCTCCTTTAGTATCCATTTATCAATCCTATCTCCATAGTATAGTAGAAGGAGAATCCTCAAGCAACTAGCCTTTGATTATTACTTCAGAAGTAATATAAACAGGCCCTTTATCATACTGTTCGAGTATTCTGAGAACATTATTCTCAACTAATCCTAACTCTAATGATTGAGTTCTGTTCTCATAACTCAGATATGTAGGACAACAAGAAATCAAGGGTTGATACTCAAGTCTGTAGTTGATTCTTATAAGATGAATTACAAATGCAGTTCCTCCTGCTGGCTCCGGATATCCCAATCAGCAGCCAAGCTCTTCGCCTGAGCCATTTCTTCCTCCGTCGGCATGTTGACAACCATAAGATAGAGCGCTTTCTGGACGCAGTCAGTAGTGATCGAGTAGATAGAATGTGGTGTCTTACCGAGGCAAATAGCTTCTTCATGCTACCTAACCCAACGGACTGCTGCTGCTGCTGCTGTTGGTATCTTGGGTCTTGCTGGTACTGTTGATTATATTGCTGCGAGTATCTTGGGTCTTGCTGATCGTATTGGTGTGAATATCTTGAATCTTGCTGGTACTGTTGATCGTATTGCTGTGGGTATCTTGGGTCAGTCTGTGGGTATCGTTGGTCATATTGTTCATATCGTTGGTCATATTGTTGATATCGTTGGTCACCCTGTTGGTTTGATTGCTGATAGGGCTGGTATCCCTGCTGGTATGGCTGCCCTCTTTCACCAGAGACGTTGTCAGGCACAGATGGATGGCTCTGGTACCGTTCTGCCTCGGGATAAGGAGCAGGCGAAGCCCTGCCGGTGCTGTTGGTCCTTGACTGGCCGCTCATGGACTGGGAAGCGAGGCCAACCAGCCCGAAGAGACCGCCGCCTCCTGCGCGGCCTCCCAAGCCTCGTCCCAGGAGTCCTCCTTGTGAGCCTCGGTCTGCGAAGAGACCTCCTTGTGAGCCCCGTCCTCTGTAATAGTCCTCTTCTGAGCCTCGTCCTCCGTAGGCACCTCCTTGTGAGGCTCGACCACCAAGGAGACCTCCAGATCCTCGACCACCAAGGAGACCTCCAGACCCTCGATCACCAAGAAGACCTCCAGATCCTCGACCGCCAAGGAGACCTCCAGATCCTCGTCCACCAAGGATACCTCCTCCAGAACCTCGATCACCAAGGATGCCTCCTCCCGAGCGCCCTCCTCCTAGAAGGCCTCCTCCAACCCCTCCGCCCGTGCTGCCATTCTGTTGACCTCCTGGGATAATGGAATATGTGGGATCGGCGTATTTGGAGAGGAATTTCGGGGCTGCGCCTTGGTTCAGATAGCTATCGGGATTCTCGGCGATCTGAGAGGTCAGTTCATGGACAAAACAAGAAATAAAGAAAGAGGCTCACGAATTTGGCTTGTGCTCTCCGATCCATGTAATCATCGACAAACCCCATTCCGCGCTTCCATTTCGCCTTGAAGCCCTTCTGCTGGTCCTGGGTCGCCGTGGCGATAAAGTCGAGGCCAGGGAAAATGAGGTCTGCCGTCTGCAGAGACTCCATGCCGTTTGTGACGCCATTCGATGACTGGAACTTGTGTGACATGCGCCCCTGGCTGTCGATATTATTCTGGATGGTCGTGGTGATACTGGCATTTGTCTTGTCGTTGAACGAGGTCGCATCCCAGGTCATGACAAGGCAGAACAGGCCGCGGGGACGGAACCATTCATCGTTGAGTCGGTCAATAGCTTTGTTTTGGCGATACCGACCCTGTGTCTCTATGGCGACTGTCGTCGCGATTGTGATTGCCGCCGATATCAGTTGTGAGGTGAGCGTCGGCAGCGGAGAAGCGGCCAGCGACACCAGGTTCAGGGCGTTGATCCACGGATTCGCGAGACTGGCTTCACACAAGGTGTCGATGAAGTCGAGCCAGGCGTCTGGGCTGATTCCCACGTTCTCCATGTCAGGCGCGTATGCCCGGACGAAGCCACGGGTCTTGTCTTTCGGCCGGCGTTGAGGGATGGCAACGGGCAGCGCCAGTCTGGCCGCTGGTGGAGTAGATGGAGGAGGCTGGCGCTGGAGAAACGCGGCGATGACTTTGTCTGGGTTTGCGGTGCCCTCTTTGCTCTTGCGAGGCTTCGTTTCTTCGATGATGACGTCCTGCGCCTCGTCGAGCTGCCAGGTGCGTTCCATCTCGTCAACACGGGCATCTGCGGTGTTCTCCTCGTCTGGGCTCGGTATACGGGCATTGGGAGACTGAGACGGTGACTTTTCTGTATTTTCTTTCTGCTGTTGGTCGTCCTCCTCCTCGCGCTGTTTTATCGCTGCCTTCTTCGCCTTCCTGTATCCGTGGGCTTCAGCAACGAAGCCGATGCCCGAGGTGACGCCTTGCGCCAGTTTGCCAATGGGGCCTTGTGTGTTGAGCATTTTCCGTGTCGTGGTAGTTTGTGTGGAATTAGAATCTGTACAAGGAGGGGATATTTGGACCCCGCTGGCTTTTTGTAACCATCGAAATAGAAACACAGCCTATCATTACCATATCAGGCATCCAACTCGGAGGCTTCGTATGGAGTATTTCCTAACTGTATTGGGAATCCTTCTCGTGCATTGCGTTGCACATCCTTACTCCATCAGGGATAAACACACACGTTATGGAGTACTTAATACAGGGTACTTCGTATTGATTAGCATAAAATTGAGGGGTTCCAGCCACTAGAAACTCACTAGCAAATTAGAAATTCCTTATGATGTCATTCGTCTTGATAATGGTCTCTACATAGTATAAAATAATACTATACTATTACAGTATACCATCTCTTAGTTATCTATCGGCTTAGATGAGAAGACTAGTAATGTAGTAACTAACCACTCAGCTGACAAGTATATTACATTGTAAGGGAGTAGTATATTTAGTTGGGTGATATAGCATTATTTAGTATTCAATATTATAGGTCCTCAAGTCTACAGAAAAATTCAGTCTATGAATCCTCTGGGAGAGGAATTTCAACATCATTATCAGGCCACTCATCCTGAAGCCTACTCTTAAACTGAAAGAAATGGGGTGACTCTTCTGTGATGGGAGAATCAAGACCGATGGTGCTCCTCTGGTCTTCTTCAAACCAGAATTGGTCCATTGGATATAAGGATCTGTTTAGCAGATTATGTCAACGAAGATATCAACCCATAGGGAGCAGCACAGACATGCTCACACTGTTTTCGTCTCTGGATCGAAGATGATCTTGTCAGGTCCGATGTTGTGTGCCATTCCTCGCTGGCGAGCATATTCGAGGGCATCGACGCACTGCTGGCGGATACTGCGCATGTCGTCTGGCGTGAGAAACAACGGCTTGGGCCATGGATCATAGAACCCCAAGTGTTGGCCGTGTAACTTGGTCATGACGAGAGCAAGGACCAGCCCTCCGTCCGGATAAGGATCTTCAGCGAGTCGCTGGGCGTGCTCCTCATGCGCAATATATTCGGGCATATGGCCTGATCCATGGCAGGCCTGCATGCATCGGATCTCGCGGTCAAACTCCCTGCGCAGGGTACCCGTGTGCATAAAGTCCGATCGCTCGATGGGTTTGCTTGTGTTGCGATCGATTGGAGGCAGCTGGTATCGAAACCTGAGCACCACCATCTCATCCCCGTTGAGATCGCCATTGTGCACCTCCACCCCGTCGAAGAGAACCTTCCATGCGTTGCGCTCCTTGGAGTACGACCCGTAGAAGACACGTAACAGGCGGAAGTTCCGCCCAGCCACTGCAACGATGCTGTCTTCTCGTTTCTTAAACCAGCTTCCGGTGGGGAAGTGGCAGTTCTGGTAGATATCGGCGTATAGTGGCGGCATTTCACAATAGAATAGGGTGATTTCAAAGGGTGGAGAGCAGAATGTAGTGTTGTGGGAAAGCAAAAAATTGATGAAGTCAGAATGACAGAGAGAGTATACTCTTTACTGTCTCTCCTCTCTCTCTTACTTCTTCATCTTTCTCATTATATAAGAAACAAAATATAGATGCAAAAGTAAGGATTCACTGTGATCACCCATGAAGCATATTAACTACCTGAGAGTGATATATGAAGTGGCTGTACTACTTTAATCTTGTGATTTAATAAAAAGATAATCCAGTTCTTTGACTGAGCTGATGTGACGTATTTAAGGAGAGACTATTTCAAGTCAATTTGATCCAGCCTGGACGCAGAGGTATATAAGTATAGATATATGTAATGAGCTGTATAGTTCATACCCTCTACAGATATATAACTATATCTATAAAACCAAGGGTATGACCTGGCAAACCAGAACCTAATGGTAGGACACTACAATTCGCGATATGATTTCTAATTATAGGCCTTTTACTATATATACAATTTTACAGACCCAAGATGAGGGTATCTATATTTATAATATCTTTAGTCACTATGCCTAATAGCCATATCAATAGGCTTAAATGTGGTGGTTTTCTTTGTTCTCTGGTCTTATAGTCTATTATATCAATGAAGATCTCAGGGTTGTCAGCAATCAATATTTGATCCCTAATCAGAAGATCTGCATGTCGGAAGGATCGATCCTTCGCCGACGCATTATGCTGAAGAAAATCTCTTCTAATCCCCCCCTCTTCCCACCTTTTTCTTCTTCTTTTCCTTTTATTCGCGACAATTCAATCCATCGTAACCATGGTCTCGCTTAAGGCTGTGCAAGCATCCAACGCCAGCCTCCGGGCTTTCCCTAACATCACCGCATTGTTTGTCGGCGGCACCAGCGGCATTGGCCAAAGCACCTTGCGCCATTTGGCCCGATACGCCGACAGCCCAACCGCGTATATCGTCGGACGTAGCCAGGAACGAGCGTCGCCTTTCCTCGCCGAACTGCGCAGCTTGAGCCCCAAAGGCCGATTCCACTTTATTGAGGCCGATGTCTCCCTGGTACGGAATGTCGACCTTGCCTGTCGCCAGATCGTGGACCAGGAATCACATCTCAACTTCCTCTTTATGACCCCGGGCGGCATTTCCCTCGGCGGCCGCAATGGTATGATCCATACTCTATTATTTGACATGAGTAGGATTTCTTATACAATACAAAAAAAAAAAACAACAGAAACTCCAGAAGGCATCGACTATCTCTTCTCTCTCCGGTATTACGCGCGCATGCGCTTTGTGCAGAACCTGCTTCCCCTTATGACCACCGCTGCATCCTCCAGCCCCAGTAGAGTCGTCAGCGTCTATGGCGGCGGCTTCGAGTTCCCCATCAACACCGACGACCTCGACCTCAAGCATACGTTCTCGCTGCTGAACGCCTACAAGCACTCCATCACGATGACCACCGAGAGCATGGAATATCTAGCCCAACAGTACCCCTCTGTCAGCTTTGTGCATGCCTACCCGGGTCTTGTCGGGACGAATATCTACAACAACAGCTTCCCCTCGCCCATTGCCTCCTTCTACAACGTTGCCATGTGGCCGTTCCACTCGGTCAGTCTGCAGGAGAGTGGTGAGCGGCATTTGTTCCATCTCACCTCTGCTCGGTATCCGGCCAAGCAACAGCCCGCTGGAGCCGGAGAGGTGGCGACAGGCACCACTGGGGAACCCGGCAGCGGCGTCTATCTGCTGAATTGGAAGGGAGAGGTGCGCTCAAGTCCGAAGCTTCTGACGCAGTATCGCGAGCAAGGGATTCCGGAGCTGGTCTGGAAGCATACCGAGCAGCTGTTAGAGGAGGCGGTCCGGCGATGATTATCTGTATTGTACTGTATTAAACTGACCTCATAATATCCCCCCTCTCTCAACATCCCTCAAGGCATCCTTCAAGGCATCCATCAATTGAATAGTATTTCCTCATGGTTGAACTAGCCAGTTGGCAGACCTTTCCTAAAGATTCCCTATTCAAGAACCGCAAGACTGATGACTGTAAATGAACGCCCTTTCCGGCTCACCCGCGTCATCCAGCAACCCGAGACCGACTCATCGACCGGATCATCATATTGAAAGTGGAGGATCTCGATGCGGATACGCCTATTACTGCTGAGAGCATGGAGCTGGATGAAATCCGCGGCGTGCTGGAGTCAATATTGAGCAATATGATGCAATATCCCGAGGCATCTGGCCGATGTGAGAATTGCCAAGGAATCGCCAGAGCCTGATGGAAGTTGTCGAGACAGCAAGGATAGTTATCCAGAGACAGACAATAGTTATATAGTCTTGATACCTCGGTCTTATACTGGGTGACTCAGGCAGCTGTTGCGTACACCCTGCCATCTCTAGAAATCATTATATTTTACCTCTAGAAGAGGATAAACAAGTAATGAAAGAAAGATTGATTAGAGAATAGTCTCATAGTACTATCCTAATAATACTACAAAGAAAGAATCAAAGAACATGAAGAAGATAAGGTTCTTCATTCACATCACCAGATCTTCCCTTATTTCTGGAACTGATCGTCTCTCATTGAATGGGCGATGAAACCTTCGATAGCAGAACATACGGCAAAGGATACTCAGACAACAGAGTCTCCAGTTGGTATAGTTGCAGGTTCAGTGCTAGTGTCTGCCATGTTTCTGGTCTTGACTGGGGATGGCTACGCCGACGTGTTATTCGAAAGGTCCTGCTCCTCGGAGCTGTCGATGGTCGAGGTCGCTACATCCTCTGACCAGTCTGGGATCTGGAATTCAGGAGCTGAGTCTTGTGAGGGATCAGATCCTTCAGGCTCCTCAAAGTCCCCGGCACCAGACATGTTGACAATGCGATTCAGAACGAATTGCATGTCGAGCAGTTCTTTGCTAGGCAAGGGCAGCCTTCTGGGATCGGTAGTTTGTAGCATGAACCGATCCCCCGTCTGAATTCGTCTTGCAAGGCCGTTTTGTTCAATGAAGGAGAGGCTAGCCGTGCTATTTGGGTTGCTTCGTTCATTCAATCCCCGACTTGATGATGGTACTGTGTTGACAGCAATAGTTTTGTCCATTGAGGTGGGCGGAGGAGGTTGCCAATGCCACTCAACTTCTAGAGTAGTCTTTTCGTCGTTATAGTCTAGTGGCCAAAACGCCACCCTTCCAAGGGACCAGAGAGCGTGAATACTAGGTGAAAGACATATCTGGTTGCCCACGGAGTCGAACTGTTTCTCTGGTGACTCCGAATCCTGGAAGACTTGGCTGTGCCACTGCGAGACTCTTTCCTCTGACCAGAAGTATTTGAGCATCTCCCAGAATGGGGGAAATGTGCGTGCCAAGTTCGTTCTGGCGCCAGAAAGTAGATAGTGTGGGTATATATGAGCCACTTCAATTGGGTTGTTCTTCGTAATTACGCATTGTTCATTATCCCGTTCAATAACCTTGTCGCGAATAGACTTGTTGAGTGAATTGTGAGAAGAGCTGGATACAAAGGACTCGGAATCTGCGGATCGTGGGCGCTGCGGTAGCCGCTGTTGCCAGACCAGAGGCAATGCTGCGCACGCATGCATCGTAAATTGCAGGAAAAAGGTTGATTTTTCCGCCTCACCGACGAGGATCTCGAGCATGGCAATATCCGAAAATATGAGAACAGCCCAGAATGGAGTAGGAACGGGCTCTCCACCCAGAAGAGAGTTCAACTTGTCGAGGAGAGCCTGCCGGCGAGGGCTAACCTCGTTGAATCTCTCTTCACCTGGTGTAAGGGCCACTATCGTACCCGACCTTCCACGTCGAGGGGAGTCGGTCGGAGGGAGGGCGGGCAAAGTGTCCAGATCCATTCTGTCTGAAGAGATGCCAGCCATGGCTTGGGTAGTAAAAGGGAAGAAAAGGTCCAAGGAGGCGCTTCAGAGAGTTGGCAGAGCAAGGACGAATAGAGTAGGCTTTCTTCGCGAGAAAAGAGATGGAGATAAGTGAGAGAGAGTGTGGGAGAGAGAGAGGGAGAGAGTGAGGGGAAAGAGGGGAGAAAGAGAGGAGAAAGAGAGGGGAAAGAGGGGAGAAAGAGAGGAGAAAGAGAGGAGGAAGAGAGGAGGAAGAGAGGAGGAAGAGAGGAGGAAGAGAGGGAGGCCGCAGGGCCAGCCCGTTTCAGGGAAAACCTCCAAAGTATGTGGTCTTTCGAGCTCTCATACAATTTGTATGGACAGCCAAAACATGGAATCAGAGGAAGCTTCTGAGGGTCTAGGATTAGATATGGTTTAGCTCCCGCTGTACTAGGCTTATCCTGTTTAATACTAAACCTCATATGGTTCACTAGTTGTAATTATTTATATTGACTTTATGTTGACTCCTGTGTTGATTTATTTATTGATTATATATTATTTACATAATGAATTCTATATCATCCGAGTACTTTATAGTCATGATCAGTTAGCTTATAGAGCTTCAAGTTATGTGAGTCTTCTAAGTGCCTTAATACCTTCATACCTAGAGTATATGACAGAAAATCTCTCTGAAGAGAGGTGTCGCTGTATCTGCCTTGCTTATATATAGTATACCTAGTCTCACTATAAGGGGCTATAATGGCTATCAGCGTACTAATATGCCCTAATAAGAGTAGTGTTCTAGGTATATAACACTAAATTCATAAAATGCCTCTACACATCCTATAAACTACAGCCACTCCTTTACTTGCACCTAAATAATACGGGCAAGGGGGCTATTCCTCTGACATTCTAGAGATGTTTATCGACAAAAGGACTGTACCAGAGAAAGCAAGCGACAGCTAGGAGTAATTTTAGGGGATCTATACTTATAAAATCCTTAGTCTGTATGGAACTATCTTCCATAATTTCCTCTATCTTTGATTATACCGATGTTGCTTATAGTTTCTAGCATACAAAAGTAGGCTTGGCCCTAATAACACGCAAAAGACAAGAAACAACAATCTCGTAAACAGATCCGAATATCCGTCTATACTCTGTAGTTGTGGCGATATGAGTGGAGACGTCTTGTACCCGTGTGGTTCCACATCAAAAGTATTTAAACTGACTGACGGCATCCGCTTTCCAAAAGAGAACTTCCTCCTCAAATCCATCATCATGTCTACTGTACTTGTTTCTGGAAGCTCGCGCGGCCTAGGCTTGGAACTGATCAAGCAATTTGCAGCTCTAGTGCCTGAGAATGGGCTAGTTATAGCCGGGGCCCGCTGGAGGACAGCCGAACTGGAGGAGCTGATCCGCAGCAACCAGGGCCGCGTGGGATTCGTGTCCCTTGATGTCAGTGACGAGTCAAGTATCATAGCATCAGTGCAGGAGGTGAAGTCGCTCCTCGGGGAGCGCCCATTGGATATTCTAATTAATTGTGCGGGCGTTCACTCAGACACAGATGGCAAGGTAGCGAATATGTAAGGTCCCCCGTCTGACACCCCATCAGATCCCGAGATTGACCCATACACCTGGATAGGGATGATTTGATGCGGCAGTTCTCTGTCAATGTACTGGGAACCCACCATACCATCCGCTCCTTCCTTCCATTGATGGCGACCAGCACAGAGAAGAAGATTGTCACCATGTAGGTCCAAACTACGGCCAAAAAAGCTCTTCGACGACGAAACCGACTGACTGATCCCGGTTTAGCTCAAGCATTTATGGATCCATGACCAATGCGCGTGCCGTGGCGTTTGCGCCTTGCCCGGCATATAAGATCAGCAAGGCTGCGCTGAACGCCTTGACCGTCCAGTATGCGCTCTCCTATGAAGATGAGGGCTTTATCTTTTTTGCCGTCAACCCGGGCGTGAGTTTATACCTCCTTATTCACTTGATAAGCCTCCCCTCTGCTAACCAACCACTTTCGCGCGATAGTGGCTTCAAACCGAGATGGGCGGAGAGGATGCAGACCTCACCGTTCCTCAAGGAGCAACAGCAGTGGTTAATATCATCCGGGCGGCCGATAAGAGCACAAATGGCAAGTTTAAAAATATCCAGGTCAATGGCTGGGAGCACAAGTACAACGGCAGTGACCTGGCCTGGTAAAGGTGGTCTGTTGAGTCAACTGGAGATTTAGTAACATCTATTATAACTCACTATATTATATTATTAAGAGCTTGATTAGACTATCTAGTTGTCTCATCACAGTTTTTTCTTTTCTTTCTTTTCTTATCTTTCAATTCAATTTGGGTATCTTAAGGTTTCATATTTCCACTAACTAATGCCAAAGTATGAGTTGTGTGGCTTGTGTTAGGGTTTTTTTCGGCTTTCCGAGCCCATTCACTCGGATCCCCGGATCGCCGACGTACCATTCCTTTAAGGATTTCACCCCTCTCCTAGCTTTTTTGGTGGAGAAAGGAACCCTTATATGCGTTAGGAGTTTTACGATACCACAGATTGTATTAGTTTAGAGGGTTTGAGTCGACAGTGTAATGGTCTAGTGCATTCGGCAGCCTAGGTGCATAATGCCCATACATAAATAATGCCTTCATATATGTCCACAGAAACCAAGGCATGGCGGCCACTTAATTAAAACGGATCTTGGATATAAAGCCGTTGCCGGGATCACATCTAGCAGCCGGAAGAGCCCTCCTGGTCGCCCACCTGTATTGCTTGCTCCCTAGGGCCTGCCAGTAGCAGAGCAGTCGTAGGAGAAGTGTTATGATATGCTCAAGACCACGGTACTGCCCCTAGACTCCTCTATATACTTCTATAAAATATATATTATCTGCGCTGATGTATCAGTAGAGCTTATGATGTGGGCCAGTCTATAATAACTTGTTCGCCTACCATAGTAAGCCTTATTGATGGTAGTTTTAGCTTGCATTTTGAATACACGATGTTTAGGTGGCGTATAAATGATGCGCCTGGCTAGATTTCAAGATGATAAAAAATATGATTTAAACACTGAATGCTCATAGTCTGTTTTATAAACCAAGAAAAGACATGGTGGTCATTTTTAAGTACTAAAAAAGTGCCACGGTATACTACAAATTTAGCAAGGACTATTATGACTCTGAAGCCTGGGAAGGCTCATCCGCCGTGATGGGGATGAAATATCTAGATATTTACTATGACCATGAATGGCCGTTGGGTTGTCAACCGTTGCTATGCTGGAAGATATGGAATCCGATCCTTCATGATTGAAAACGACTTGGCTAAAGGAGTTTAGGACTCGGTGGATGCTGGGCAAGAACTGTTACAAAGACAGAAGAAACGCAATCTGGTCTTTGTCACCGAGGTACGTCGAATTGCCCGGCAGCACCATAACAGGCTGCAGCCCTGGGTTTTTGAACACAAGGATTGATATCTCTTGAATATGAGTCGCTGAGAAAGATAGAAGATAGTCGATGCGGAGGTGTTCTAGAAGCTTCGTTGACCCCTTGAAGAGTGCTAAGTAAGATACATTATATGATGAGCAATACACTAAGGATGATAGATGGTACTGGCAAAGCCTTCTAACATTTTCGAGATAGATTAATGGAATTGTGACTCCATATAGACTAAACACTTCTCATTCTAGCTGTTAAAGCCTCTTCTTAGATTTCCTCCTAGTGTTGAACATATTCATCTTTTAACGGGTTGATAGGATTTTCTCGATCCTACTCTGCAAGTTCAGCTTCAATGATCCCAAGCCCATCTCCCTCTGGTACCCAGTACTTTATCACCCTTAGGCCATTTTCTGTCAGTAGGGTATCCCAGCGCCGGCGTGTCCGCTCCAGGCCTGAGCAAAACGCCATAACAGCCATGTCAGTCACGCAAGAAAGTAAGGCAGCGTTCTGATCTGCAAGTATGTACTCCTCCATGATGATCTTTGAGAATCCGGGCCTCATGGCAGGCTTGAGGTTCTTGATTATAATGCTTGCCTTTTCGTCGGACCAATCATGAAGAATATGCTTGAAATAATATACTCTGGCCCCTATATGGGCACACACCCTTTAGCAACAGTAGCTTCTGGGATGATCAGGGAAATCACATACCATGAATGGGCTGGATCTCATTGAAAAAGTCAAATACTTGAGTCTCCACCTTTGCGGCTTCAAGGTCCTGTGCATCCCGAACTTCATCGATCACTTTTGGAAGATCTTCCAGCATCAATTTGCCCGGAACATCCGGGAATCTCTGTCTGAAACCGATCAAATCATGGCCTCGGTTCGCTCCAATGTCAACAATCAATGGTGTTTCCGGGCCCAAGTCCGGATGGTCCAGAACTCGCTCACGAACAGGGAACCAGTCAGCCCAGTGAGGACGATCCGTCCTTTGTCCTTCCATGAAACCGTTGAAACGACGTAGAGCATCCGGGTTCCCACACAACCAAGTAAAGCCGTCCATATTGTTGAAGTTGTACGTATACTGTAATGCAGTAGCTAGTGGATCTTCCGGATTTCTGTACTTTGTCAACTTGAGGAATTCCGGTGTCTGGCGGAAAAGAGGTATGAATTCACAGAATCTGTTGTAAATTAGTGGTTTTAACTGCGGTCTCTTGAATCGGTAGAGCCACTTACAGGGATTCCAATACTCCAATCGACGGTCGCTGGGTCAACTCTTTCGCCACAGCGGTGGGTAGATATTCAGCAGGGGCAGGTTCATTGACAATCCCCTTGGCGACCAAGACTCGCAAGACTCGCTCTGGGGGTGCAGAGATTGCATTAGAGAGAGTCCCAAACAAAGCCCTAGTCCCTCTCACTCAAAACACACCAACCAGCAGAGGATCTGCCTGCTTTGCGGCTGCAAGCTCGGCCAAGGGCACTGGCGATGTAGCTGGCGCTAACACGGAAAATATGTTCAGATCAAGGGCTATCTTGAGCGCCATAGTGACAGCCGGCTTTTGTCATCATAATCATCAACCATGTATCTGAATAGTGGAGTTTCAGGCTCTGGATCAGACTTACGCCATAGGCCAATTTCATAATCGCATCTCGAGGCTGCTCTAGAGCCCATACTAACTTTTGCACCTGATCTTGGGCTTGAATGCGGCTTGAGAGACTACCAGTTGAAAGATGTTCCTCAACCAAGGCCCTTGTCTTGTCCAGGATGTCTCGCACACTCGAAGAGTCCATTTTATAATATGTTTTATCTAGAAAAGAATAAATATAATTCAGGTCTTTCTCGTCCTTGACGCTCAGCTTTATAGGCGGCGGGAACATTCCAGAAAAAAGGATCAGGAAAGGCCACCCTTTATACTGTTATCCCAGGCTCTATGCTGTACTATAATCCAGTCATGCCTCCCACCCCTCTTCATTACCTTTAAATGGTCATTTTAGGTTTGGCAATCTTCACCCTGTTGTGCAACCATCCAATATACGGAGTATGTAGGGAGGTGCTCTCACCTCATTTGGTGGGGTTTCTCATCAGCAGCTGACCACGCCTGCGCGTCATACTTATCTGCATGCAACATGCGCCTCTCCGGCTCAATGCCCAATAACATGAATGGATAGATATGCCGGTATTGTTCTGATATCTAGGTTGGCCAGACATTGGGTCCGGGAAATATTCCCGAGACTTTTACTAACAGATCCATGCCTCATCGGATAGCAATTTCAAGGTTCATATTCTCACATATGCTGCTCATAAATAGAACCCCAATTACTTGGTTGCTGCCCAGCAAGTAAGTCTCATGCCAGTCTACACCATTAAACCCTCGGCTTAGTCAATTGACTAATAATCATGTATTTCATAATTATTGATAAGGAGAGTGTGATTGGTATATATAGGTAGACCTGGTTCTCTTGAGCAACACAATTATATGACTCTTTGGTCCAACCAAGCCTTGATTATATTACTCTATGCATACGTAGTAGAAGCCCTGTCAGGCGTTTTTAGGGCCGGGCCGGCCTGACAACTATGTTTCACCTACTAGCCCTCCCTGGTTCGTCTCCATTCCGCTATAATACGCCAGCCTATTAACCCCTCACGCAGTGAGCAACTACCTAGGTATCCGTGATGTCATTAGTCAGGAGACGGCGAGTTGATACGGGCGGTTAATTCGAGCAGCGAGGCGGGGATGCCCAAGGCAGGCTGAGGCAGCACTTTCCACCTTCCCAATTGGGATTAGTACTAGGTCTTGAGATATCTGACCTCTTTATTCTTTCCTTCCCCTCTTTATCTTAGCCTAGATACTACCAAAAGAGGCCTATCATTTTGCGCAGCCACAGAACTTGTAAATATGTTCTCTTGGCAGACTATCAGCATAAATAGATAGAGTTCTACAATACTATGTATATGGGTATTTTATTTCTCTTACACTATACTCAGCATAATTCACACACTTTATATATAAGATACAGTATATATGGCTTATGCTGCGCGCTCCTATAGTTTAGGTGCGTGCCGGATTAGGCTTAGCATCAGCTCGGCACTGGCCGCAATTAGCCATCTCTTCCAACAGGAATACTACTATCAGATCTGTAAATTCCAAAGTGCTGCTTCAAGAATCAACCTAGATAAATACTGCAAAAGAATGGATTTTCAAATAGATGATATAATTGACAAATCAATGAAGTTTTATACTCATCCTGAGTCATTATTATAAAGAGTTATGAATCATGAGTCATCTCCACAAAGTGGGCCAACTCCACTAAACCCCAGCCTTGATCCAGATGTTGCCTTGCTGGAGCATGCTTATAAATAGCACGTTAATTCCAACCTTCAATCCTTCAATCCATTCAATACAGAGTGTATATCAAGAAACACATTCTTCATGGCGACAGACACCCCCGCCACAGACATCGTCCTGTACGACATTGCCTTCCGCCAGCCATTCTCCGCTTCATCAAGTGCTCCCAACCCATGGAAAGCCCGCTACGCGCTCAACTTCAAGGGAATCCCATACAGGACCGAATGGGTCGATATGCTGGAGATTCCCGACGTCCGGCGGCGCCTGGAAGTCCCCGCAGCCCGCAAGCATCGCGATGGGAGCGACTACTACACGCTCCCCGTACTGGTGGACAACACAACAGGCACTAAAGTAGGCGACTCATTCGACATAGCCGTGTACCTGTCCGAAACGTATCCCGACACAGGAGAAGCAGGGGATCTGTTCCCCGTGCAGTCGCTGGACTTTGCCTGCTCGAGCGAACTGGCGATCTTTGCACCCCCTCTCTCAGAGCGCGCCGAGGGGGTCGACAAGGGTGTCATCCGCGATTATGCGCACTTCAATCGCAACGTCGATGCCGTCTTCTCCGCGCACAGTGCGCTCATGGGTTCCGGGATGCAGTTCGACCCCGCCAGGGCGCCGTTGATACGCGCAGAGTTCGAGCGGCGGGCGGGCATGCGGTGGGAAGACATGATGGTCCATGCAGGGCCGCGGGAGAAGATCCTCGCGTCGCTCTGTGAGGCGCTGGCTCCCTTGGCGGAGCTGTTTCAAAGGGATCATAGTGGTCCCTTTTTGCTTGGGCGGCGGGCGAGTCATGCAGATTTTATAGTCGGTGGGTGGTTGAGAATGCAGAGTGTTACGCTTCCTGACGAGGAGTGGGCACAGGTGAAGTCATGGCATGGGGGTGTTTTTGCAAAGTTGCATGATGCGCTGCAGAAGCTTAGCGAGGGGGTGATTAGAGCCAGCTCTAATAGATAATAAAGTATATAAGATACACCTTGCCACTTTTTGAATTGTTATTTATCACGGGCCAGGTTGTGGAACTTGTTCTCGTGCAAGCCTGTGTAGAAGTCCGAGAGGTTCTTGCCGAGCAATGTTTAAAGAAAGAGCCGTAATCCGAACCATCTCTAGGGATCTGCTTCGACATTGGATCAAGTTCTGTGAGAATATGGCAACTCAGTTGCCCCCGGGCCAGCATTACTGCCAAGCTAACTAATAGAGAGGATCCAAGGATTAAAAACATGCATGAGATAAAACTTACATCAGATGGATGGGGAAGAGCTCAACAGCAATAGACACGCAGGAAGATCAGATTTCTGATGCTATCAGTACCAATGCCCAGCCATTACTAGTTAACTTCCTCATAAGATGGAGTAGCCAGACGCTGCTGGCCTTGAAGATATTAGGAACTAGGTAGATACCTAATATTAAGCTACAGGTCATTACACAGTTTCCATTATTAAGAGTCTATATATAGATTAGGGGACTTTTATTATTCTAAGCTTAATATCCAGGTAATAATCACAGTTAAAGAGATATTCATGTCAGGTTGCCAACATCCGACTATAGGCTCCCAAAAACCAAGGGGTGGGATAAATCTGAATTGAACCTGTATCAATAGATTAATAAGCTGATATTTGCTCGGCCTTGGGTCCCTGGAGACTAAGTAAACTTATATATGAGGGAGGTGTCTTTCTATATCTAGGACAGCAGTGATCATGGTGACGTCAGACCAGATACTGTAAGAAAGTGCTGATATTTTAGGTTCATGAGTGTCTCGCCACTGTAGCTTATTAGATAGTAATAACCAAGCTGACTCCCAGTTCTCCTCACTGTCATCAATGTGAATTTTTCTGACCAGACAGTCTTCCAGCCATGGCAGCATTTGCATCGAGTGGAATCCCCCCCTCCTTCCGGTAAGAACGGGACAAGATCCATGGCATATCATCTCTCAGACTCGCTGGCTAATATGAAGTAGCCGCCAAAACAACCGAGTCGTGTATACCGTTTGCGCGGTGGTGGCGGGCGGTTTCCTTCTGCACAGGTGGTACTCGACCCCTTTTGCCGAGAAGGACGCCCTTCCCTTTCCCTACTCTGAACGTCGGGACATCCAGACGGGGGCAATGGAGCCGGTCAAGGATGTGAAAAAGTCTTGAAATCTGTTACTGAATAGTTCATTATGAATTATGTATCCAATGAACTTAAGGTATAAGACCTGTTCAGCTTGAATGAGGATTTGTTTAGTGGTCAAGCAATCTACCGTCTAGGATAAAGACAGCAGTCCTTTGACAGGGACTAGAGGCTACTCTGTAATTATCTTTGTCAGGAGAATAGTTATAGCTCAACTGCTCTCATCTAATCTCTCAACTTATCTAATATCTATAGTACCTAATCATAATCCAGTCATCATAGAGGGAAGAAATGAAGGCTTTCAGTCTGGGCGATTCCAGCCGAGAGACTGGAAAAAGAGGCAAAAAATACCGAGCTGAATGAATGCTAATAACAGACGGCTTTTCCTGCCAAAAACAATGACAGTTTTCCACTCAACCCACCTCCTGAGCTCATCTGCTCGTCCATTCATTCTTTTTCGCTGTTGACAACCTCCTCGCGAGGGCATTCGTTTAATATGCTGCCTCTAGCCTTCTCGCTTCTGGCTTTCGGCCTGGGAGCACACGCCGGCGTGCCCGACACCCTCACTATCACCACCACCACCACTACAGCTGCGGTCGAGGTGGTCACCGTCTGCGCGACCGCTACAAATCTCCTCACCAATGGCGGATTCGAGCTGGGATCGCTGAGCGGGTGGACGATGACGGCCGGGTCGGGCAGCGGCGTGGTGGACGACCCTGAAGGCGCTGCCGAGGGGTCCTATTACCTGGTAGCCTACCCCGAAGACGAATCTGCAGGTGAGCGGTTCCTCCTCACCAACAACATCGTCTCCGACGTCTCCCCGGGCCATGAATACATGGTCTCGTTCGACTACAAGTGGACTCTGGGCACTGCGACCGGCTGTACTCTATGGGTTTCCTTTGACGACATGTACGGCAATATCGTCCAGCAGCACGCCAGCAGCGATATCACGGAATGGGCCTCGTTTTCGGACACGATCATCCTGCTGGACGAGAATATCAATCCCACCTTCGACTTCTTCTGCGACTCGGGCACCTTTACCTTCTATCTCGATGCCATCTCCGTCGCCTCGTCCACCTCGCTGGCCTGCACGACTTCCACCGTCGTCGTTGCCACCCCTTCGTCTTCGGCGGTGGTCACTCTCTCCAGCTCGACGATCGTCTCTGCGTCGCCCAGCTCTTCGCCGGCGTCCAGGTCGAGCATCTCCCTGAGCATCTCCCCGAGCATCTCCCCGAGCCTCTCGCCGGTGCCGTCGAGCTCTGCTGCCCTGCCAACTGCTTCTTCGTCGGCTGTGTCTTCCTCTGCATCCAGTGCTGCATCCCCGGCGACGTCCAGTTCCCATGTCGACACATCGCCGGTTCCTCAACCCTCATCGCCAGTCACTTCTTCGAGACTTCCTCCCGGGGTGCTCTCCTCTCGACCCATCGGCTCGCCTACCGTGATTCCAAGCAGCAGACCAGTCTCGACACGTCTGCCCTCGTCGGCGAAGATTCTTCCTTATTCTTCAGGAAGGCGCTCATCCTCTGCAGCCGGCATTCCCTCATCGCAGTCGACCGTCGCCTCTGGGGCTTCCACGGCCATCAACACTGCCGGCGCTGGTAGTAGCACACAGACAGGCAATAATGGCAACACCACCAGCACCACCACCAGCACACAGACTGCCGTTACGACCTCCACCATCCTGACAACACGCACTGGAACGATCACCAGCTGCCCATCAGCCAAGCCACACTGTCCGCCCAGTGAGAGGAGCACCGCCGTCACCACCGAGACCCTGGTGGTATCGACGACCATCTGCCCGGCCACGAAGACTCCAGACGGGTTTACCACGTCTACGATTCTCGATACTCGCACCTCGACCGTCACCGCTTGCCCGTCCACCGTCACAAACTGCCCGGCAAGGGAGAAGACAACCTATCTGACCACCGAGACCTTTGTTGTCTCCACGACCGTGTGTCCTCTGACTGAAGGCGCGAGGCCGACTGGCAACCCTGGATCAGGATCTGGATCTGGATCAGGAAACGGTCAAGCGACCACCGAAATTGTCTATACAACTCGCGTGTCGACCATCTACCAGTGCCCATCGACTGTCACGAACTGCCCTCTGACGGAGAAAACCTCCCATGTCACTACGGAGACGTTGGTTGCCGGAAGCACTGTGTACACTACAGATGTCGCTCCCACTGGCACCTTCACAGCAGGCAGTGGCGAGGGCGGTTCCACCACCGAGACGCTCTATACAACTCGCGTCTCGACCATCTATCAATGTCCGTCGACGGTCACCAACTGTCCGCTGACCGAGAAGACCGCTCACGCTACCACTGAGACGCTGGTTGCCGGTACCACGGTCTATCCCGTCACTGCCAATGGTCTCACCACCGAGATTCTCTATTCAACCTCTGTCTCGACGGTCTACAAGTGTCCGTCCACGGTGACTGACTGTCCCTTGACGGAGAAGACGGCCTCCCCTACCACTGTGACTCTTGTTGCTGGAACGACCGTCTATCCTGTCACTGCTACTAGTCTTCCAGAATTGGTTGAAACGACTATTTCTGGCTCCGCTGAAACTACCTCTGTCTCTACTGAAATTATCTCTGTCTCCGCTGAAACTATCTCTGTCTCCGCTGAAACTATCTCTGGCTCCGCTGAAACTACCTCTGTCTCTGCTGAAACTATCTCTGTCTCTGCTGAAACTATCTCTGTCTCTGCTGAAACTATCTCTGTCTCCGCTGAAACTATTTCTGTCTCCGCTGAAGCGACAACTATTTCTAATTCTGTCTCGGTTGTAACCACTATCTCTGCCTCCGCTGAAACAACTATTCCCGCCGAGTCAACCACTGTCGTTGCTGTCGAGGACATTACCTTCACATCAGCCGGACACGTCTATACCACCACCGCCACCTTTACTCTCATCGAAGTATCTGCTGCTCCTTTTTCTTCTTCTTCTTCTTCTTCTTCTTCTGAGTTCGTGTCTGCCGCAGCCTCGTCAACTGCTGCGGCTTCGACCAGTGGCTCCCAGACGACAAGTTCCGCGGGTGCTATCTACACTGGTGCTTCCACCTCGGAGAAGAGCTTCCTATCCAGAGGCCTTGTTGCTATCAGCGGACTTCTTCTTCTCTTCGTTCTTTAGGTTTCTATGATCCAGCCTTATTATTCATTTTTTATATTATCTAACGAGCTCCCTCGCATGCGAGAGTTACGGGCTCGTGTTAGATAAATTATAGTATATGTACATTCATCCAGTGATATTGATTTCACTCAAGTATCATGACACTGTATTAACTACATACATTACAGAGTAGAGTAAACTTCAAGTATAATAATAGGGTTTTATTTGATCCTCTACTTCAATCACACCCTTTGTCTGATGGATCTGCAATTACTAATAACCATAGGAAGAATTTATATCATACCACCTCTACTTGATGTCTTGCCACTACTGTCAGTTCCTACTGTCAGCCCTAACGGAGAACCCCGTGTTGATACACGTAACATACTTAGGCAAATAAATAACTTATAAGATATTCACTGTCTATTATAATAGTATATATTTACATTACTATACTATATCTTGAGCATGTTTCAATACCTAATTGATAGCTAATTAAGGACAAGCCCTCAAGCACGTCGGCTCTTTTTGCTTATCCTGCCTTCATCCCTCGCCAAAGCTAACCTCATCCTCCAGGCAAATAAACACCATCGCCGGGTGTCTAAAATACCGTCTCCTCTCTCTCGTCTGCTACTGTCATTCCTGCAATTATGGTCCCCAACCGATGGGTGGCTGGCCAGCAAGGCCTTTGACGACTGGGTCGCCGGCGAGACCTAAGATATCTCTGCCTCTGCAGACCAGGAGCTCAGCTTCTACGGCCTTTGCGAAGCGTCTTCGGGTCTCCCGGAGACGTCCATCGAGTTTCAGTCGAATCTGTTCGCCGGCGTCTTTTATTCATCCCAGTGGCCCTGTCTCATCTCCATTCCCTCATCTCGCTCCTCCATCACAAGACCGTATTCCACGGCTCCCACGGGTTCATCTTCTGCAATTTATACATCAACTTCTACTCAAGGATCATTTCAAGGATCAACTCTACTAGCACACAGACCGAATCGACCTCTGCTGCCCAGGGAGGATCAACAGGCACAGAGACTTCAACAGGTCAAATCACCACAGTGACATCCATTGATACCTTCTTCCCGACCACGCAGATGGCGACTTCCACCATCTTCACCACCCGGACATCAACCATCACAGCCTGCCCGGCCAGTGAGAGACGCACCTACACCACAACTGATGTTATCATCGTCTCTACTACTGTCTGCCCTGTTACTGCCGCTGAAGCCACCGCCGCCACCACTGCTCATACTGATGTGGCAGCTTCCCAACCAACTGGCTCTGGCTCTGGCCTTTCGGTTACTCCGATTCTTCCAACTCTTCTTCCTCTCAGTCTCTCTTCATCTTCGTCTCCTTCTACATTCTCCTCTTCTCCTTCTTCCACGTCTCTCCCTTCTTCCTCCGTCACGACTGCTCCCAGCTCCACTTATACTGGTGCAGCATCACGTACTTTCGGCCGGTACAAATGGTCTGCTCTGTCTTTAGTGGCCAGTCTCCTGGTCTTGCCTTTCTTCTAGCGGCTGCGATATCTACACAGACGAACATTTAGCAAATTAATTGACATGTATAACTATAATGATATCCTTTAAATTCAATGCAGATGAAAAAATGGAAAATATCTTATTCAAATAGTTACATGCCTCGGAAATCTTTCGTGCTATCTTTTCATCTGAAGAGTGTGGTCTACTGTGCAAATCTTAAGTTGCTGTGTATATCCTGGCCTGATTTTGAATAGGCCTACATCTGCTTAAATCTCTCATTCGAGGCAGCCAGTTTATGAATATTAATTTGAGTTTGAAAATCTAATTACTAGCTATGGTTTAGCTTTTTTGCATAAAGATGATGTCGCCAGACCTTATATTCTATGGGAACACTTATATATTGCTAGTAAAGAGCACATACACCGAATGAGTATAGGGAAAGCGCCGTTTCGCTTAAATCTGCCGTATTGCAGTCGGTTCCCTCCATGCTCAGCTGAGCCCTCCCAAGCTGGCGTTCTGAGATGAAACAGCTTTCTGGGCAAGAATTTGCGATGGGTCCATCTATTGGCTGTGCTCTACAAAGCACGTTTGCGGGGTAAGGCTGCTGGCCGATGAACTCTGCACGATGGCCAGTCTAGATCCATCAAGATGTAGATTTCCTGCTGCCTCGATCGGCAGGAATTGCCAAGTACTTTGTACTTTGTTTGCGATCTAAAGGTTAATCTGTGCAGATTATGCAGGCTTGCATTAGCGTGCAGACTACCAAAACAGGAAGAAATAACAGGAGTTGAGTGTTTCTAATAGTAAGTATGGATGCTTTTATCTATTAAAGTATACTAAGTATGTCTCTCTTATAGAATTAGAATCAAACTATGAATATTAACCTCAATAGTGGTTTTTTGATATTGTTGTCTGCTGTCATGAGGCCTGTACAAGATAAGAATAATCCCTCAGCATAGTACTTATTATATTCTATACCTTATAGTCGTTGAGAAAGAGTCTCTAAATGTGTACTTGATTGGTTCTCTATACCAGGCAATGCACCCCTAATCACACAGCTCGCCACTATCACCAGGTGGCTGGACATGTTCAGCTGAGGGTGGTTCTAGAGTATAGAATAGATAGAGTAAAGGGCATATTGTAGCGAGAGAGTAAGATATAAAAGGCCTTTCCTGCTCATCCTCATCATCTTTTCACTCAGCACTCAAGCACTCACTCAATCAATCACTCCATCAACTCTCAACTCGGCTTCCAAGGCAGATTCTCAAATCAAGTCCTCCATCACCATGTCTCACAACACCCTCGGTAACGGCGAATGGCTGAACGTCGGCCAGAGCCTTTTCAGCCAGGACGGCTCCGTCGAGCTCAGGATGCAGAGTGACGGCAAGATTGCTGTCTACTGGGGCGGCGAGTGCCGCTTCCAGAACACTGCAACCCAGCGCAACGACATCAAGGGCATTATTATGCAGGAGGACGGTAACATGGTCATCTAGTAAGAAAATTCCTTTCTCACCCTCCACTCAGTGATGTGGATTACTTTCTAACTCTGGGAGTGATCATCACCAGAAGCCCGTCTGGGCTACCAACACTGGCCCCGGTGGTCCTGGCGACAGCACTGTGATCTGTACTGTGCAGAATGATGGCAATGTCGTTCTCTACAAGGGCACTCCCATCTGGTCTAGCAACACCCACAAATAGATGTGGAATGGGTTTCCATAGCATACGTGTCAAGTTGTATCTATCTGCTTGTCTTTCTGGGGAATTTAGTTGATGAATCAATCAATGTGAATATGCTTTTAGTATACCTATTGATCCTTGTAGACACATCTCAAATCATAGTCAATTAGGTGATGATAGAGTATCTAGTGTTTATGAGCTTTTTACACTCTGAGTACAGCTTCTATGAAAATCACCTCATTCTCACCCCTAGATAACTATATTACCATCCAGGGCAGCAAGAGCATAGCTGGTCGTATAATCTCTGATTGTCAAGTCCTGCCATAAGCAGTCTTTCTATGATTATAAGGACATTTTGGTGGGAAGAAGAGAGAGAGGAGAAGAGCTCAGCCTCGTTGGCAAGCATAAAAGTATCAATAGAGCAAAGAAAGCAAAATGAATACTCTACCGATAAGCACGATCATAAAGATATTAGTTTATATTAACAACAGCAATTTAGTCTATATATACTACTATAGGTTCCTTTGAGGCAGATTCTCTACTATATAATCTAGTTATATGAAACATCTGCCATCGAGTTGTCTTTATACTGCTATAATATATAAAAGATCTTCTAATACATCATGGTGTTTGATATCTGCCTCCTAAAATAAATAGGGCTGGCTCTGACTTGCTGTTGCAGGCTATATAAATTCCTAACCATGGAATTTCATCATGAAGGAACTACCTAGTCATAGACCACTTACTTGGTATATGTTAATATTTTGATGGACTTTTTTACCCTTTGGGGTCCAGTTCTTCTCCTCCTGATCTAACCCGCGTTCTTTATTACCTGCTGGTATGATCTGGGATTATATTTGTCCGCCTACAGTGTATGCAACTCTAGTCAACCAAGAAACTGGGGGATCTCAAGTATATTAACACTATTCTATACCATGAATAGGCTGCTTTCTATCTCGATTACATACCACTACACTTTAATAGAGAATATATGGATATCTTTAAATTAAAGTCGAGATTAATATTCTAATACATAACAGATACCCTCAATCCCAGCCCAAACACCCATAGAGAACCCCGGAAGACTTTTCAATTATACAGATCATCACTCGTCAAGCTCTCAATCATCAAACTCTCTTGGAAGGCCGCTTGAATTTCTCGAGAAAGGAGGCTCGGTGCGAGGGTTCGTGGTCGCCGTGTAGCGTTGTGGCGGTGGAATAGACGGACTCGGTATCGAGCTTCTTGTTTTTTCTTTCAAGGGCAATGCCTTTGGCGAATTCGTCAATAAAGGTGGGCATCTCGACCCGTGCTTGGCTCATGTGCATTCTTGGAACACGAGAGGCCATCATGATGGTAGATGAGGATAGACTTTGTGAGGATAGACTTTATGAGGATAGAGGAGTAGATTGTACTCTGTAGAAGACTGTTGATTCATGGAATGCATCTGGCACCTAGACAGTCTTTATATACTCGTTTTCTGTATACAAAACGTCATGGCCGATTTCTCATAGCATGAGATGTTGCCTAGATCTATGAGGCAGCAAGAAACCCTCCAATCATATAAATTGTCTCGTCGGAGTCGGAGAGAGACATGACCCACCCCGATCCCTGCCATCCGAAATTTTCCCAGGATCGTGACTCTTTTGATGTAGAATACGACGGCGTGGCTGGTTTTATTGGTTTATTCTAGTGACTCATGAGAACTAATGCATTAGTAGGCTTAGCCAGGTCGGGAGCCCGAGGCTTAGCCAGGCTCCATTATTCTGTAGCAGTACTTGTAGTATCACTACACGGTGAAGTACTAGTATTGTTGGCTTTTGTACTATGCCTCGCTACGTGAGGGGGCTCAAAGAGGGGTTATAGTATAATTATTATTATTATTCTAATTAAGATGTTGTAGAGTAGAGCTCGACAAGTTAAAATTACAGCCCTATATTTATAATTATCTTACTAATCTAGACAGTGAAGGAATCATCTAGGAATCACCTAGGAATTAGTATATATACTTTATTATTTAATAGTTAGTTAGAAACTTACCTAGATAATTAAAAGAAGAAAAGGGGAATAAATAGAAAAAGTATTATACTCTATGTAGGGCTCAGATTAAATAAGACTGATGCTAAAAGGAATGGTCATTGTATGATTACAAGCAGGACGCCAAGAAATTGATATTTCTATATAACAGAGAGTAAGAGTAAAGGATAATGTGGTAGCAACGAATTGATAGTGCTGCCTATTGCACTGCCTTGTCTGTCTAGACTACTTGCTGCCTAATCATTGCAAATATACCCTTCATCTCTAAGATAATGCTCTACAGAGTCCATGGGCAATCATGTGATTCAGCTAAATCCTCGGCCTTCCACGCCCCGAGCGCGAGATGTTGAGTCAGCAGCATGCATTAAATAGTGCACCAAAGCTGTATAGATGCTGACATGCAGGACTGCTGACACACCATCTCGCGCTCGGGGCGTGGAAGGCCGAAGCAAGAGTATATAAGCTATTTGATGTGTCAGATAATCAGATCTAGCCATCCAGCTATCAAAATGTCCTCCATCCTACTGCAGAATGCAACCATCCTGTGCCACAAGGGAGAGCAGGTCCAGATCCTGCGACAGCACGATCTGCTGATTGAAAACGACACGATCAAGCGGATTGGCAAGAACTTGGCCCTTTCCGAGGCATCTTCTGGCCGGGTGATTGACTGCACGGGCAAGATCGTCTCGCCTGGGTTCGTGGACACGCACCATCATCTGTGGCAGAGTCAGCTGCGAGGCCGGCATGGCGACCACGGCTTCAAGGAATACATGGTCACAGTATGTCATGGTTCTCTGCTGTCTTTGCTCCTCTGACGTTCAGGGAAACATGCAATCCTTCAATTATGAGCCGGATGATATCTTCTGGGGCCAACTGGCAGGCTGTCTGGCCAGCATCGACGCCGGCGTGACCACCGTAGTGGACCATGCGCATATGTCTTATTCAGCGGAGCATGGTAATTTTTATAAGGTCTTTCTATTCAGAATCTAATATCAGATAGTCAAAAAAGGAATCCAAGCGTCGGTGTCTTCCGGTCTGAGGACGGTCTTCTGCTACACCCCCATCGAGCGCATTGAAGAATGGACGGAGACGGTGAAGTTTGCCGACGATTTCCTGCCGGACTGGTGGATGCCTCTTTTCGACGAGCTCAACCAGACTGTCGGCCAGGACGGCCGGGTGATGCTGGGCCTGGGAATCGAGCTGACGGCTCCTCGCGACGTGGCCGTGGCGCTGTGGAAGAGGGCAAACGAGCTGGGGATGCTGGTGACGACGCATTACGTTGCTGGGTTTATGCCGAGTATGCCCTTTTTTTTACCACGAGGCCGAGAACGATTGCTAACAGCATCAGATATTGTCCAGATCCTGGCGGAGAACTCTCTCCTCTCAGGGAGGATCATCGTCTCGCACGCGACGGGCATCGCGCTCAGCGACGCCGCCACCCTCGCCGAGAACCAGGTGTACATCTCGACGACGCCCGAGACAGAGCTGCAGATGGGCCTGGGCGAGCCCGTGGCGCTGCGCGGCAAGAACAACAGCCCGCTGAGCTCGCACACCTGCGTGGGCGTCGACTGCCACTCGAACAACTCGTCGGATCTCATCACCCAGCTGCGGCTGCTGGTGCAGCATATGCGCGGGCAGGAGTACCTCGTCGCTCAGGCCCGAGGAGAGTACGCTGCCATCAGTGCTAAGCTCGAGCACGCCTTCAATCTGGGGACTCTGCAGGGCGCGCGAGCCATGGGGTTGGAGCACAAGATCGGCACGCTCGAGGAGGGCAAGAAGGCGGATCTCGTCGTCTTCGACACGGATACCCCTGCCATGGTGTGTGCAGACAGTTATCCCCTCGCTGCCATCCTGCTGCACGCCAGTATCAGGGACATTGGCATGGTGATCATCGACGGAGCCATTGTCAAGGAAAACGGACAGCTGAACGTCACGCTGGATGGAGAGACAGTCGGATGGAAGACTGTCGCGGAGAAGCTGCGCCAGAGTCAGCAAGACGTGGTCCAGAGGGGGGAGACACAGCAGCTGGAGGGTGTCAGTCCATGGAAGCAGTAATAGACATAGAAGTTGTATAGGTTAGGGTAGAGAGACAGCCTACAATCTAGCCCTATAGGACCAGTAATAGACGGAAGTTGTATAGGTTAGGTTAGGGTTAGGGATTCGGTCTACAACTTAACCGTATAGGAACAGTAATAGACATAGAAGTTGGTTAG